CCAGTCAACGTGAAAGTAAAAAGCATTGGTGCTACTATAGATGCCAACAGACTACCAGCAAACACAATGTTTTTAGGACTTCTACAACTAGGATAAAGTGACGTAGTCCAGGACCAGAGGTCAACAGTTTAGCAGCGCTACAACACACAGCAGGTCCTGTTTGACAAGAAACACTTCTGTTACAGACACTTGGCTTACTTTGTTGAAGTGGTTTACCTGTCCAGCAGAAAGGTTACAGGGTCCGTAAGATCTCGAAGTATCCCCCATCATTTTATGTTGACTCAGCTTTTTAGCTATTGTCCGGTCTACCTCCTTTTTAAACGCCCATTATTCCACCAGAGTCTCCAGTGTTTACTCCGTTTTCTTGCTTGTATTGGCAGTCGTGGCCAAAGGAGGGTTCAGACAATTTTCCGTACTTTCTGGATGTTTTTACTGTCTGATATTGTAGCGCGCTAACTTTGTTTGGGCTCACAAAGTTAGCTTCTAAAATGTTGACTACACAGACATAACAAAAACACTGTGATGTTGTGATATTCCCAAATGTCATCAATAACTAATAGCTATTGACTGATATTAAAAGCTTTTTTGTATAGACACCACCAAAAAAGATGCTTCTTTAACAGATTCTTGCCTACCCCGCCCTTATTATTGGTATAATGACGTGTTTGACACTTATTGCAGAAACTCTAGTCTCTTACATATAACACCTTGACGGTGATAGCAAAGGTGTTTATTCTTGCTCTCACACTAATGAGAAACCATGTCTAAATATCCAAAACAACCTCCTGTGATTAAACATTTATTTGACTGTCCTTTTTTGTGTGTGAGAAATGGGCTGCATACAGCACTTTCCTGTACCTGCTGAGATGGAAAATGCAGAGGATGAAGAAAACAAATTCTAATGCAGCGGGCAATGTGCTAGAAATTATATTCAGGTGTGATTGATTTGTTTATCCTGAACTGCAGCAGGCAACAATTTAACATTATTACCATTTCCATAGACAGAGTCATGCAATTTTACATAAACAGCAATCAGTCTTATTTCACTCCTTCAATGGTACCATCATATGTGTTTGGTTTATTCAGCCATTTACACCCGCACTGCTTGATGAGTTCATTCATTCATTCGTTCTTTCAATCATTCATGTTCAGCTCATTCATTTACCTCTTCGATGTAAAATATGACTAGGTTTACTGTCAGGTTCCTGGGTGCGGTGCAGTCGATGCCTTGCCTTTAATTAGAGCATGATAACATGTTCTTAAACTCCATCCTCCTCTGCTTCATGTTCCCTGTGAAAGGTTCATGAATAAATTGAGGAGGAACATCCACTTTTGAACTCAGTGGGCTTTACACTTCAAGGAGACAAGCACTATGCTCGCAGGGATGTGGAACAGGAGATGACAAGATGCTCTAAAAATGGGGATTTGCTCTCTTTTCTTTTGTCACATGTTTGTGCTTATCGGACCAATGAGGAACAAAGGGGTAAAAATAAATCTCAACGTAACACGACCAAAAGGGAAGATGAGCAAGTATTTACAAAGTAACTGTGCACGTGGCAGAGGAAGAAGAAAACTCACACTTAGCAGTAGAGTCACCAGGTTTTTATAGCATCGCTGTGTTTATATAGCTCAGCTGTAAACACATCTTCGACTGTTATGATGCTCTTTATGCTTTAAGACAAACCAAAATAACAAACATTGACCTGCAAGTGCATTTATTTTACCATCTTAAGAAGCAGCCGACAGTTTGGCTGCAGTGCGGTAACGTGGTATAAAAGGAAAAAAGACTTAACTAACCCGTGAGCAAACACCCAATTTGGATCAATAAACTGAGTGGCCAATGCCGCCTTCAGATGCTCGCCATAAATCCACAAGGGCCGCCCTCTTCCTCATTAAATTATAAAGAAGCTGCGAGCCATGAAACACTAACAGCGAAGCATCACTGGTTGGTTTCTAAAAATAGAAAGGCCTAAACAAAGGATTTTTCTCTCTCTGGATTCATATTGTTACTCGAGAATCCTTTTAAACTAACCACTTTCTTTCATTCCCTACGGTCAGGAGAAAAAGGTGGCCAACGCCGGGCAGCACGCCGCACTCGCGTGCGTTCATAGGGTGTCCTCATGCATCAGCAAAACACCAACACGTCCATGTGATGTCATGATGAGGGAGATACAGCTGTTCTGGCGGACATGAACACTCTCACTGAAACACTCCGTCTCTGCCAGGAGGTCCGAGGTGCATCTTGTTGCTCCAATTTGAATTGCAAATCCACTTAAAGTACATAAGTCAAAAGTGCTCCAAGCTAAAATGCAAGCCGTGTTGAGTCTGGAAGATTTTTAAAAAATCATGGAGCTTGCACTTAGGGGGATTACATTTTCATCCCCTGGAAAAAAAGGGAAGGGAGAGCCCTAACCCATCATCACTTTCACCTCCGGAAAAAAAAGGGGCAACCCACACAGCAGATGATATTTATCCTGAATAATATCAATCACTTCCCAATGTGTCCTCTAATACATCTCAAAATTGGTCGTGTGCTTTGAGAGCGGTGAGAAATGGGTGTGTTGGGATTGTTGTGTTCTTGGTGATGTGAAACTAATCAGGGAGAAAGAGCAGTTTCCACACTGGTGACTTTTCAAGGCCCCGTGGTATAAATATCAACCATCTGTGAGGCCATCTGCATTGGGGTGCTATATCATGCACCAAGGCCAAGCCACCAAACACAGACAAGTTGCCTCCCGTGGCAATATCCACACCCAGGCGAGACAAGGAGCGTATCACAGAATCACTATCACCAATGGATCTGCCCCGTATCTTATGTAGTGTTCATACAAAAGTGAGCTCATCGTTTGAAGGAGCAATCATGATAACCTCAGTGCAGGGTAATGCATCGAACAGCTGCAGGCCCTACTCAGCCTCCTGATTTCATCTTTCTCCAGAAAAGCTTGTCTCAGTCGGGGAATTGAAAAAAAAAAAGAGTAATATATGTTTGAAATCAGGTGCCTTTTCAATCAAGTGTTTTTATCTGAACTTAGATTACAGTATGGCTGCGGTGATTGCAGAGGCAAGCATGTCTGACACAACCAGCCATCCATCAAAATGTGACAGCTGATTCTGCAACAGTTTAGAGTAGTTTCTCCTGTTGTACTTTACTGCACACTGCTGCAGCTGACTTCTGTGAATACCCACTTCTGCATTCAGACCCTGACCTTTTATATTCAGCTGGAAATACAAAGATAAACCGAGCAACACAAGCAAAGAAAAAAAAAAGATGAGAGGAGTGTTATTTTAAACAAAAAAAAGACCACACAGTGCTGAGGACTTCACCTCACTGTGTCTCATCTGCCTCTTGCAACATCTGGAAATGTGTTGTTAGTATTTGCTGCATGCTCTGCCTCTCATCAAGTGTTCCCTGTAAACATGTGTTTCTTTGTGGCCCTGTGTTTGCATTGTGGAGGGTAGAAATAAAAAAAAAAAAGAAGAGGGACAGAGTGCATGAGTGTGCACGACTGTTTGTGCGTGTGAGACATTGTTTCAAGCTATCTAGTTATTGGAACGGAAAGCAATGGAGGAGGGCTGGTGCTGAAGAGCAGGCCACTCCAGGGGGAGAATAAGAGGGGGAGAGAGAGAGAGAGAGAGAGAGAGGAGAGAGGGGCCAGTGGCAAGTGAAAATCCTTTTGTTGTTTCTGTAGATTGTTGAGACACTGAAGTGGGGGATTAATTTGTCCCAAGGTCCAAGAGCAATCATCAGCAGAGAGCAGCACTCTGCCTTTTGCTGTTTATTTACCTAACTTTGGCCATGCTGCTGCTCTTGGTAAATATCTGAAACCAAAGGCAAAGACTGAATTAATCGTATGTGGCAGATTTGAAAAGACTGAATAATGGTGAAATACGAAGAGCTGGTGGACAAATATAAAAATGGTAAACAAACATAAACATGCCTCTTGGTTCAGAACTGAGTGCCTTTGATCACAGGCATGCGTCATCAAACGCTGCGAAATATAAATAGCCTAGAAAATATGAAATGCCTTTGATTTAAAACATACTGCATTTCTTCTAACTTAATGTTAATCATGTAGGTTGGTCTGACAATGTCAATAGTTCTGCAGTCCAAACAAACAGAAATTCTCTATAGGAGTCCTCGTTAAAAGTAGCGACTGTTGCTAAAGAATCGCTGATTAGAAAAAGTCCTCATACCATTCAGGAGAAAAAAAATATTCTTAAACAGTTAATTGCTTTTCTCACTTAAATAATTAAGAAAAATATATATTTATATATACAAGACTGTTTTTTCAGGGGGTAAGACCCCTCACACTTGTATCAAGAATAAGAATTACAATTTAAAATTCTTCAGTTTCATTCTTCAGTCTTGGCTACTTTGGTTTGAATTTTAGTCAATGGTATATAGGTCAAAAAGGTAACATTCTAATAAATAAGTCAGAAAAATGTAAAAAAAATAAATAAATAACAATATACTGTATATCATGACAACTCCTTTGGAAAATACAAGTTCAAATTCAGACCTCAGAGTTGTGGTGGCCCTGACGTGCAAAACAACAAATAAAGAATTTTTAAAAATTGAACATACTGTCACTCCTTTTATGTTACCTGAAAAAAAAGCTGCTTTTGCTTTTTATAAGTTGATTTCAAATACTTTTGAGTCCCTACCACATATGAAGTGATACTGGACATGTGTCATATCATTTTTTGATAGACTGTTGATTTTTTTCTCCACCATCATGATACAGATAGTGAATGAGACGTTCCCTATACTCTTTAAAATGATAAAAGATTAATTTGTCCAATCAGCAGAGACCTTTTCCTTTGCTGTTAATGTTGCCATGCTTTCTGATTTCTTGATTGTTTTTAGTGATTTTTTGATTAGTTAGGGTGCTTTTGTGTTTGTTTAATAATTTGTAACTATATTTTGCACTTCAGGGTCACCATACATAACAAGTCACGAAGGCTGAGCTTAACCAGTTTGGTTAGTCTAGACTTGTGGAATCCAGAGATGCAACCAAGGAAAGATTTGTATACAAATCATAGCCTCTTTTGTTTTGTTTGTTTGATTTTTTTTTGATATTTTGAAACTGTGTTTTGCACTTCAGGGCCACCTTACAAAACAAGTTACAAACATGGGCTGACCTAAACCAATTCATAAGTCTAGGCTTGTGGGATCCAGAGTTGCAACCAAGTAAAGATATGTATGCAAGTCATTACCTCTTTTTTTTTTTTTTTTTAATTTAATTTTATTTTATTTTTTAAATAATTTGTAACTGTGTTTTGCACTTCAGGGCCACCGTACAAAACAAGTCACGAAGGCTGACATAAACCAATTTGGTTAGCCTAGACTTGTGGGATCCAGAGTTGCAACCATGAAAATAAATGTATACAAATCATAACCTTATTTATTTATTTACTTATTTTTGTTTGTTTGTTTTGTGTTATAATTTGTAACTGTGTTTTGCACTTCAGGGCCACCATACAAAACAAGTCACGTACATGGGCTGGGCTTAACCAATTTGGTTAGCCTAGACTTGTGCGATCCAGAGTTGCAACCAAGTTAAGATATGTCTGCAAATCATTACCTTATTATAATTATTTATTTATTTATTTATTTTTCAATTTAATCGGTGTGATATTGTGATCGGCTTTGTGCAAATTACCAAACAATAACACTTTTTTGTTTGGTTATTGGAGCTTAAAGGAGACAGGGGAAATGTAAACCCTGAGTGCAGGTCTTTGTTTGCTGAGAACAAGGTTCACTTTAAGAGGTTACTTGATTTCCATTCATAGGAATCGTGACAACAAGAGGACTCCCATCCTTTCATCGAACCTTTCAGTGTTTGTTGCAGATCGCTCGAGCTGTGTAAGAGAACTTCAGACTCTAGAGGTCTCCATCCTTCAGCATCCCCTCATCATCCACCTATTCGCCCTCCTCCTTCTCCACCTCCTCCTCCTCCTCCTCTCTAGCATTTTGTGCAGCGGAGGAGGAAAGGGGGAGAGACTGCTGAGGAGGAGACAGAGGGGACCCTGAGACAACACGTCCCACGCCAGAGCCAGACAGCCAGGGAACTTTGATTTGACGCCAAGTAGCCTGCGATGAACGTGACGATGAAGTGAGCGAGCCACGTTTCTTCTTCCTGGGAGGCTTAGATATGTCGGGCGCGTGCAACATATGATGTCCTTGGACTCATGTGTTCAATGAAGATTTGTTTATCTGTGATTTTGCTCTTCAATTCGCTGATGGTGCCGCTTCGTTCTGCCTGCACTTAGGTCAGCTGAATGAATCTGAAGGCAGTCTGAGCGCATTGTTTCCAGCACCGCTTGCATATGGGATTTCCAGCCGTGATGTCTGCAATATTTCGCTCTTTGTTTCTGGGTAAGTCACTTCCCTTTTCCCCCTCTTTTTCTTTGAGGTGATTTATTCATTTTTAGAAAAGCAACGGAGCGTGGTCGTCTGGCGATGTGCACAATGATGTCTGTCATTTCCAACCCATACAGTATTTTTCACACACCTCCTTATTGTCTCAGCCGCTATCAACACATCTAGCAAATTGTCGGCTAACAATGATGTCAGAATGTATTTCTTTTATTTATTTGATTTCATACACACACCCTTTCACTGGAATTCACGCGTATTTATCCCTCTAAGCTTACAAGTCAGCCTTTATTGTTATGTGCAAACCAGAGGCAGCTCGACTTGGGGGATTTGATTTATAAGGGTGAAAAATTAAAGGATAAAAGTTGACCTGACCCCTCCCTATAAATCTGTTGTACAGGTTTTTCCACTCTGTATGTGCATTTATAGGTATTTTGGTTATAAAACAGGTCCACTGTAGGGAAACAAAGAGTTGTATGTTAACACAAAGGTTTTTATTCACCATTTTTCTCATTTTGTGTATTCAGAGCATTAAAAAACTAAAATTCTTCATCATTTTATTGTGTTACAAACTGTCCTTGAAGAGCTGATGAAATGTTTGTTCCTACTTACAACTACTGATACTCATAGTTATACAAAAACCAATTCTTATTGTGCAACTCCTTTTCTCCAGCGACGTACGAAGTTCCTGGAGGAGATTCCAGGTTTAGAGCTTATGAGGAATTCTTTAATTCTACTGTGACTTCACTAGTGGGAAGTTTCCGTAGCACTGCGAGACAGTGTGTAAAAACGTCTTTATAGTTGGAGGTTTCACACTCCCCACCGCTGCCTCATCACCTGCAGCGGAATTTCCCCCTAGCTGGGTGTAACTGGAGATAAACCAGTATTTTCCAAATGGGAGTTCTGGTCTGAAGTGACTCAGAAAAGGGATTCTAGGTTTGAGAAAGTTTGGAAGCTCCTTGCTTTGAAAGTAGGAGTGTTTGAGAGCGGCCATATGAGGAATAATGCACCAGAGAGCTGGCGGCTCGCCTGCTTTGGTTGGAGTCCAAAAGTGGTGCTCTGGTCTACATGAGGCTGGGAGTATGGAGAAAATCAAAGGACTCGATCATTAACGTTGAATTTTTCATTCCTTTAGTTTAGACGTACAGCTGGTTTTATTTGCTCATGTTTTGCTGTAGGCCTGTAGAAACCTTGAGAGTTTCCCCCCTCCCCTCCCATTATTCACTTACTTTCATATCTTGGTGACCTCTCAGGAGAAGACCCTGCCCTTAGCCCGGTGCACCCTGGGAAAGGCTCCAGCTCCCTGCGACCCTGAGGAAGATAAGCAGTATAGAAAATTGAAGGAGGGAGATGTGGACCTGCACACACGCTGACTTATTAAGGCTTACACTGGTCAGCTGGTGCACCCACAGTATGTGGTTAGTGATCCTGCGCTTTGACTAAAGAAGTAGACTCTTCAGAAGATACTGCTCACCGAGCTTTGTATTGAATAATGATGAGATTGGAGTTGCACGAATAGATTATTGAAATGCAAGTCCACTCTTTACAGTTTTGATGCTTGTACTAAAAATAACATGAGAACTACAGCCTACTTAGCAAATACATGGTGCATACATTACAGGTCCAATCAACAGCACTGATTTTTTCCCTAATACAAATAATAATGGCTCACTGTTCCTAAAATAACCATCAGCCTGTGCCTTGAGTATGAAATGGTTTGTTGTTGCCATGGCAAGACATTTCTCCTTCCCCTGTTCTTGTCACAAAAAATAACTGTAGAAACAGTTTGTGATGCTGAAAAGGATATCGTAGGGGATGGATGTCCAGTGCACTTGCAACCTGGATCACTTGTCTCATGCAAGAACAAAATATCTGCCTGTCAGCCAAAAAAATAAATTTTTCCCTGACTGGGAAGATATACGGCTTTTCAGGCTAGGCTGCTCTGCCGTGGCAGACTGAAGGACATTTTTTCCTCAAGTTATTGCCTGTTTTAATTCAAGATCAACACCAAGGCCAAGTAATGTAAGGAGGTGGCTGTTTTATTATAAAGGAATCGATAGTCATTAATAGGGGCTCATTTCCTTTTTATTTGGCTTTGGTATCACGAGTCCTGAGACATCCTTAATTTAATATCAGTGTGAGATGTAATATCCACTGTTCACATTACAGATAAGTAGCGCAATTAATTGCCACAGAGAGTTCTGTAGCTCCCCTCTGTACTGCTGTCGATACAAAGTGAGAAACAGAACAAGGTCAAATTTAACTCGGGAACAGTGTGGAGGATCCAGCTAGGTAAAGGAGACTTAGTGATGGATTGCCTATCTGTCCTTGTTCCAGGATTAAATGACTCTGAATGAGGGAATTTGAAAATGACTGTCCAAGAAGTAATAACAGAGTGTAAGTCACTTGACAGAAATGTAATTGAAAAGAATGAGCAGCTTTTGTTTGAGATTCAAACCTCCGCAGCCTCATTCAGCCGAGTTTGGTGTGTGTTTGAGCATCAAGCCATGAGACACTGCAACATGAGTGATGGTGGGAGTGTTTACACTTCTCATCAGCTTGTGTGCACACGCTGGTGTCCCCTCAGCCATGCGAACGTGTGGATGTCATTGTGTAGATTGTGCCCACGCGCGCATGCTAGTATTAGATGTAGATAAAGAGAGCAGGGGCTCCAAACAGAAATTCTGTCCCCATTCTATATTTAGCATGTCTGCCGGGGTAGGCAGAGGATCTCTGAAATGTGAAGATGACAGGAGCCTCCTGAGCCAGAGGTTATGAAGTGACATCTTGATGTGTTTGCGCCTGAATCACACTCCCACACACACTCCCAGTCAGACTTCTGACATTCCTACAAACCCAGAGACATTTAGATATTTGACGTCTAGTTACCATACATTAAGGGTACGTTTTGATCTTCCTCTGGCTTGCTTTTTTCTCCGGCCTTACCATGAGGCGTCCCTTATGTGCATTAGCTGTGGAAATATTTGTTATGTGAGCGCGGGGTGAATTTGGCAGCTCTGTTCTACTGGCCTGAAACTTGCGTGCTATTTCAAAAATGTGTCAGTTAGGTGTGGATACCTGCACAGAAAGTGGAGCTTCACTGACTGGTGGTTAGGCATCCTTCTCAGACATTTCCATCCACAGACTGAGCAAACAGATAATGCAAAGCTTCACAAATGCATAATGCATCCCAGTGTAGATGTTGCTCCAAGCTATAGGACATACAGTACAATAACAATGCAGCTGAAAAACACCAAATAGCTCGCAGCACATTGCTCCAGGTAGCTGAATGACTTCCTCCCCACCTACAATGTCAGCAACATGACATGCAGAACAAAGTGTAAACAGACTTCCATCAACGGAGATTGTATTACTCAAAGCAGGAATGGCAAATCTAAATTTCTCAACAAGGGCAGAACAGACTGGAATACAAAACCTTGACCGAGGGTGACTAAAGATGCCTACAGATGAGAACAGAGGTCCAGGTGTCCTCAAAACAATTGACCCATATCATTAACAAACACTGATTTGCCTCCCAAGCACTTCTCCCGCTGATGTGATCGGCCTTAGAATGACACCGTGCTCCCCTGAATAACCAGCCATCCTTTGTCTGTACCTGAGGGATTCTTCATGTTTCATTGATTGTGTTGCTTTTAGTCAGAAGGTCTTGCTTTTCTGTCGCAGCAGGCTGAATGCCATGAACGAAGGAGAGTGTTTGTAGGTGAAAGTCTACCTGCTTTGTACTATAAATGCTTTTATTCCTACCCCGAAGAAGGTCAAGGCAGGTTTTATTTTTATAGCAGCCAAAGACATCTGAGGTAAAACTAAAGGTCGCACTGGTGGAACGAGCGTAGTCTGCCCTGAATTCATTTGCTGTTTTGCTCTTTTTTCTTTATCTAACATCTGTGTCCTCTTTCTGTAATTTACCAGCAATGCAAGCGTTTTCCTGTATGGGCTATTTCTCACTTGCATCTCATAAATATTAGACATTTTTGCCCATTGACAGAGACGAGTTTGTGCTGCATTTCTGACCTCTTAAACCCTCTCCCCCTTTTCATCCGTCACCGAGAATAATGAGTGCCAGATTATTTTGGAACGTATGAACAGGAACTGCCTATTTCACTTTACTGCTAATCTTTGACAGATGTTCTGGAGAGGCTCACGTCTACATAAACGGGAGGCACATGCACATCTTACGCACACACACACACATACACACAAAAGAAAACAACTGCACTGATAAACGAATAAAAAACAAAGATGTATTTACTTTTTGTTGAATCCAAGAAGTAAAATGTGAAGGCTGTAACAGTTCATCACTTTGGGTGAGACACTTATCTACTACATTTTTCAAAACTGGATGAGAATATTTATGTAGCTCTAAGATTAAGTGGTACTAAACTGATTTGGAAGATAACCCCTTAATTTCCCATTTTTTGGCTGGTAGTTCATAGCTATGAAATATTCTAGTACATTAACCTTCTTGAACCACAAAGTACTTTCCTTTTTTTTTGGTACACTTCACCTAATTTAACTCTTCATTTTTCCAATTCCCACAACCTCCAACAAGGACAGTGTCAGAGGCTGGTAAACCCCACTGTCCCTCCAGGTGGTTAAGCACGACCTTTCAAAAATGTACACCAGAACAACACAAAGACCACAATATTATTGTTTGGTAATTTAAAAAAGACTTGGAGCAGAACAGAAATAATCTACCAATTTTGACTGTTGCAATAAGTGGATGTGCATTATTTCATAAGTAGACACACAGGTGAGGCTGTGTGCACCTGTGAGTGACGTTCATACTCGTACAAAGTTGAGTCATCTTAATTCAGTTTAGCTGGTCTACAGAAAATAAGCCAAGCTGTATGCATTGTGTTGCTTGATTTCCTACACTGCTGTAAATGGACTTGCGGGCTTAGATTTGTCATTATCACCTCAGGGGTCATGCAGCAGGAAAGGAAAGTGGGAAAAATACCAACACCCTCTTATACTAATAATAATCATAATAAATGCACAATTATAAAAAAGTTCTACAGTTTAAAACATTTGAACACTGCAAATCTTAGCATTTTTTTTTCTTATTTCAAATAAAAAAGTCTCATCAGTCTTAATTTAAATCACATTCACCTGACAAGTCGAGAAAAAACGCATTGATTCAAGATGTTACACCAAAAATAGGAACTGCAATGCTTGCACAGTACAAAAAAAATGCCAAAGGAATATGAAATTTTATTTTTCAGCTGTTTTGCTAAGATTTTTGAGGGCACAGGTGGCATTTCACAAACTCCTTTTGTTTTCTTATTTCATTGGCAGTTTTTCCCCCCTTTTTTATGTTTTGCTTATGACAACTATTTAGGTTACGACTCCTTCATCAGTATCTTGCAACCTTTCAAGGGCCTTGATTCTCATTTTGTAAAACACTGATTTAACTAGTCAGACACATACTGTATGAGAGAACCATGCAAAGCTGAGCCTTGAGGGTTTTTTTTGTTGTCTTGTAGCCATGTAACCCTTTGAAATGCTAGCCTTTCTCTCTGTGCTGAAATGCTTGGACTTTTGTGACTTTTCATATCATTATAGGTTTAACTTTGATAATCGGATAAGTAATCAGATTAAACAGGCTCCCCTGGGCTCCAGAAAATCCTAACATATAAATATGTGACTTTGCAAATTACGTCAAATTACATCTTAAAATATAGAGAAATATAAGTTATTCAAAAAATAAAGATAATTCTTGGTTGCAGATATGCATGTTAGCATCCATTTTTATTTAGTTTTCCATTTACTGAGCAACATCTATCCCAATATAGATCCATCCATTATAGATCCTTTTAATGTACTGTACATTGAGACAAATGTTATCCAAGCAGCACAATATATATATATATATATATATATATATATATATATATATATATATATATGTTTAACTCATGTTACTCTAATGGAGACCACAAGACAACAATGATACAAGCAATCATCCTGCAAAATAACCCCTCACATTTCGAAACACTCCAGTGCTTTTAAATCCCTCTCTCACCAGATGACCAAAGCAAATATTGATTAACCATCCCAGTAAGATGGTTAACTAAATTAAAGTGACTGAATGGTTTCAACGATGCATTAAAGCATCAGGAATGTTCTTCTATAAGAGCTTGAATTCCCCAACAATGCGTCACTTTCCATTAGGACTAACAATAGTTGATGGAAAGAAGGTAACTCAGGACCAGCTGCTCATAAACAACAATAAATTTCCCTTTTTAATGTTGGTAAGCTATGATACTGGAATGTTAAACTGCCCTGGAACCAACTGTTATCTCCCCAGCCATAACAATTTCCTCCAAAGGGAGGCTTTCTGCCTTATTTGCAGTAGCATAACCATGAAAGTCAATGGAGCAAGTGCAATTACAGCTTTCTATTTTCTCGGAAAATGTGGCGCGATTTGCTGTTTGTGTGCATAAATATTTTAATCAAGGTCTCGGATTGTTTTATGCACGCAGTGAATAGATCAAAGAATGAACAAAAGGGCGAGATAAACTCTGATGTTGTCAGTGAGGTGGAGCATGGAATTGTCTCCCATTGATTCCTCCGCTAAAGGTTTGTTCTGATATTAATTCTGTGCAGCTATTGACATTGCTGAAAATGGAATTGCATCTATCTCCACCCCAGTGCTCTTCAACTTCAAGAACAGAGACGATCAAAATTCATGCGTCTTACAAAAACACCTTTAAAAAAAGATTTGTTTATCATGGTGGGGCTAAGGTGCTATCTCAGCACTCCCACCCCCCTTTTGTGACTCTTTCAAGTGCTTTCTTCCATATTGAAAACTGGCTGTGCAAAATAAAACTGGCAGGCTTGTCTTCTCTGAGCAGAACATGCTTTTGATCTGTGTTTCTTGTCCCTGAAACCAGGTATATCCGTGTTTCCTGTGCAGCTGTGCGTTCCAACTGTGCAGGAAAATAAACAGCTCAAAAACCAAAATCCCTGTTGCTGGGTGTCTTTCACTTGCAAGCAGCTTAGCATAGTACTTACATCAATGACACAAAGGAGAAAAAAGCAAAGTATTGATAAAACATTTACTATACCCAGTGAGCTGCACAGGAGTGACATTGGTTGTGTTATTCCCTGGTCAAGCCTGTTTGTGTCTTGAGGGATTTCTCCTGTCACCTGGGAGCTTGTTTTACCCAGCACTCGACAGAGCTTGTGCTTGTCATGAACTGTTCCCATTAGGTTCTGTTCCATTATTTTAGATTGTCACTTATCATTTCCTGTTTTAATTTTCAGCCACTGTCTTGTCTCTTGTGTGATGCTTTACCTCCTTTCTTTGTTTCTTTTCGCACCTTGTGACTGCGATTGTGTTTCTCGCTCCTGTTAGTCCTCACCTGTGTTCATAATTGCTGTTGTGCTTTTGGGTATTGTCTTGTTTGCTTGCCATTGGTACCTTACAAAAGTGAGCCTTTTTTCTTGCCTTCCCTTCAGATTGTAATGAATCTTTGCTATAGTCTGCATCTGGGATCTCTGTGCTACATGCCTTGAATGTATAAACATTTAGACACAGTCTTGAGTGAAGTCATCCATGAAGCCTAACAATGGGTAGCTGTATTTGAAAAGTGGATTCTGACTATCTTCTGGCTGATTGAGAAATATGAAATGAGATGGAGAGTTGATGTGGGGCTTTGGCCTCCTGGAAAACAAACAAACAAACCATGAGATTACCTCTAGAGGTGGGCGATTGATTATTATAATTTTTTTTTATGATTATGGCCCCGTATGATTAAAACAAGATGATAATCAAGACTGAATGATTATTGTGCTGCCTGCTGTGTTTGCTTTAAATGAAGCCAAAGTTTAAGAGACAATGCTGAATCTTCAACCTGTTGTTCAAAAGCGGTACATACTCTCAGGCAAGCACAGGTGGAGAGAGGAGAGCAGGGAGAGGAGCAGGAGGAGGCACAATAAAATACAATTTGGCTTTTAATCTAGAAAGAATTATCATCAAAATTCAGTAAAAGCTCCTTAAAGTTAAGTAAGGAGTTAAGTAAGGAAGTAAGGATCCCCGCACCAAGTACCACCTCCTACTATCAAAAAGTCAGTTGAAAATCTCTGTCTTGAGCTCAGAGATTAAAGGACAAAATCTTCTATAGATTAATATAGCGTAAGGTGTCATGCCATTATTTAAGTTCAAAACTATCTCTTGTTATAGCCCTACTAGTCCACTCTGTGTATGAATCAGTGCCTTTTTTGGTAAGGCCTCTTTTGACATACTGTGTTTTTCCATGAAAAAGAAACTGCTCTGATGGCTAAAGGTGATGTTTGACATTGCATTTTAAGGTCCTCTTTTAGGTAGGCCAGATGCATGTGTGTAGTTTTGGTTCCCCATTACAGAGAAGTGATTCAGTGTTGGCTAAGAAGCTTTCTCCTTAACATGTGTGAGGATGTGTCTTGTTCCTTACAGTCTTGTGTCATCTTGTTGCACAGATTGATAGCATTCCTGAGAAGGAGAAACTGACAACTGGAAATGGTTTCTGTCAGATGAGCATTTTTTATCATCATGGTAACAACATCAGTCAAACAAATCGTGATTTTGAGTCTTGCTGTAATCAAGCAGCCCTAATATCCTCCTCTCAGTCTGTCTTTAAGAATAAACAGTAAGAAACTGAGGGGCTATTTATAAGTAAATTCAATGGATATTTGTTTTTCAATGGCAAATTCTGATAATGTGAGCACTGGTTGGCTGGTGATCGATATTTAATCTCACTATCGCATCGCTGTTTTGTTTTGCATCTGACAAAATCCAACAATTTATTGATCCTAACAACGAGTCTAGATATTTTATTTAACAAAGTGGCAGGACTTGAGTGAATTATTTTGTGAAACTAACAGGAACAGCAGAAGAATATTATTCTATAGGTTGATATTAAAAAATAATGCTTGGGTTACAATAATAAAAGGAAGCCATGGTGAGATTTGATTTGCAGTCATAAGTGATAGGAAGAAAGTGTGTTTTCTTTTTTAAAAATTAAGGCCCTTGACCAACCTGATTAATAGTTAATGAGTCTATACTCTGTTAACACACCCGGGGTATCACATTCAATAGTTTTACTGAGGTCTACCATAGCTAGCTGTCAGTATGCTGGCTCAACAAAACCTAAATCCCCTGTCTGAGATAACAAGTATCACAAAGCTTGTTAGAAACCTTTTTCTGTTAATTCAGGCTTTCTGCTTCGGTCTCATAGCGCCTTCACAGACAAGAGAGGTGTTAAGCACATCATTTTGGCACCTTTTCTGCATAAAACAGAGCCGTCACCTGCTGTCTGCTTCAGTAAGACTGATGTAATGAGTAGAAATCATGAATATATGAAAGTTATTGCTGGAGAAACAAGCTCTGCTGCTGCAATTAAAGGAAAGAAAGTAACCTTGCAGAAAAACCGTGGTACTTAGTAAATTAGTGCATTGATTTTACCACACAGTACATGATAAGCGCTATAGTTTATTTCTAATGTGACAACTAATGCACTGCACAACTAATCAACATGATTTCAGCAGTTTTGGCAAAATCTGCAGTTAGTATGGACACTTCTGTTTCATTATAATCTTGGATGAGTCCCCCATGTGCATTTATTTCTACTGGGGAAGGTAGGTATGCCCAACTACTTTCATTATAACTCCACAAATTTTCACCTGATTCTCACACAGTTTGGTTTGTTACAAATGGTAGAGATGTAGCTATGAGACAGGATGCTGTCACACATAAAAAATATATACATATATTTGTTGATTATACTCGTGTAAGGTAATCCTTTTTGATCCGGTTTCAGTACTGCGCTGGTTATTACAACCATATGCAGCACAAAATACGGGCATAGTGCTCGTTCTCCGTTGACTCTGGTTGGCTTTTGTTCGAGTCTAGACTGGAATGAGGCATCTACGAATATTATGACTATGAGATTCACTGTGGTGATGTCATGATCTGAGCAGATAACACACTGATCTCTCTAAACTCTCATGCTGCAACCTGAAACTTTGCTTGTAATAATGCTGTTGACCAAATAGTTCACTTAATATTTGTTTTCAGAATATGAAAAAAAGCATAATACAAAATTTTCCAAACATTTAAGAGACACAGAAAATAGAAAAATGTGACCAAGAGTGGTTGTGTAAAGTGTCTAATAAAGGAACGATGCTGAGTGTGAAAGTGCTAATTGATGCTTATGATACGGCTTACACTTAAATTTCTCGTCTTTAGTGCAGCAGATCGTACTGTAAGAACTCCTACCCATTCCCCTGAATTCATTTGTTTCTCAGGTGTTTACTTTTTATTATCTAATAGTCTTGTTGCAGCCCTGGAGTTAACGGCAGGATGGTAACCTGTTAAAAATGAATGTAAAGTATTAATCTTTTAACTATGACGAGGACTTGACAAGGCTGTATTTTTAGCCTCTCTCGAAAGATAATATCAATAAATGATATCAGATATAACAGTTACCTAGTCCTCCCCTATCTTGATTGATCAGTGAGGAGATTGATATCTCACCTCAAAAATCACATCAGGAATTCTGTTAAAGTTACCATGGTGATTTAACTTAATGGAGGTAATAAGAAAAACCCCATCAATCTCCGATCCTGCTTCAGTGTACAGGACCCATGGCTAAATTTTACACCACCCTGTAAATAACTTTGATTCTGCTGTTCAAGTGGGCCTTTTAATATTGGTTTTAATATGGTTTCCATAAAAATTGGAGCAGGCCTCAACTGTGGTACAACAGTTTGTTCTAGTCTACCTACACACTAAATTAATTTTAATTGCTTCTCCTACCTTATCGTAGAAAGCTCATGCATATTGATGGATTTTTATGTCACTCTCTTGGTGCAGCAGTGGGAACTTGATGGAACAGTTTGATGTTGGAGAAAAAAGCTGACTTTGCTGGTAAGGCATTTTTGTGAGTGGCATAAAGTAAAAAAAAAAAAAACTCTCTACCAATAATTGATGTTTTTTTCTAGCTGCGTAATGATTTAATTGGTCATGGAGTGCAAGTGTTGGACCCTAACCAGTGTGGTGCCCACTTCCATGCTGTGTTTACCGTTCATCATGTCCAAATATCAACCTGGACTTTCAAAATGCTTCATATTTCTAAGATGAGAACTCGCAGGAGAAAACAGCTCACAGCCAGACTGCGACCACCGGGCGTTCTCCACATAAATCTTACAGCAAAGGATTTTTTCATGCAGACAGAGGAACAGTGAAATATATCATTCCCTGTATCCTGGGGTGGTGCCACTGCACAAAAAATTGACTTTTCTTTCACTGTACATGGCATTCAGATGTAAGTCTATCCCCAGAATTGATTGCAAAAGAAGAAAAGCGACTTGCATTACACCAAACAAAGGCAAGTCAGTCCCTTTTTTTCCCCCTGTTCTCTCGCTTTTCCAATTGAAGTCTGACTGAATGAACAGGAGGAAATGTTGCACGTCGCTCTATTTAGACGCCCGCTGTTCCTTTCAGTTCGAGGCAGTTTATTAGCCCAGCAAGCAGGACACTCCATTAGGTGTTTTGAAAGCGCGTGCTCCATTGTCTCACTCCATTTCCTCTTTTGCTTGCCAGCCTTCCCTAAAGCGTTAGTGGCTTTAATCAGCAGAGGCCCTTCTGCCCTTTAAGCATTTATCTTCAGCGCTTTTGGTCATCACCGAGCAGCTCTGGAAAGACCTGAAGATGGATGGGGTTTGGAAGGGAGGGGATTTGGTGGCCATTGATTAGAGTAGTGGAAGACAAAGCGGTTACCTGCGCAAGACCTGAACACCATCTGGAGGATCCCCTTCACTCTTAGCGCATGAAAGCTAAAGTCAGGACTCAGCCATCTGTCCAATTAAGATCTATGCTGAGTGTGAGAAAGAAAAAGGATCTTTTGGTGTTGTTAGAGAGTAAAAAAATCGATCATGCAGAAACTTTAAATAGCAGGCTTAATCTTTTTTATTGACTGCAACAAAACTCAGGGAATGACCTTTAAAACTCTATGACATATGCAATTCAGCAGATGAATTCTTTATGGGGATGAAACCCTTGCTCATCAAAAGCCTACCTCATGAAATGGGCATACATTAGAAAATGTAAGCTGCATTTATCAAGGTTCAGTCTGGGTTTACCGGTCCTGTTCTCTTGTACTGGGTGTTGTGTGATGGATAGTTTAATTACCCGACCACAATGCGCAGCCATTTGGTCCGTCGTAGCACAGCAAAAACATTATAAACCGAAAACCATTGATCAGCGGCTGGATTGTCCACAAATTAAGAGTGTAATGGCCTGGATTGCTCTACAGCTGGAACTTCCATATTTCACACAATGGGGCTTTTATCAAGCAGAGTGGTCAAAGAGTTTGTCTCCTCTTGAGATAAAACCACTCAGGTGTGAGTCAAAATACAGTTGATATCGCATGTGTGGAAAAAGCTTCTTTTTCCCTCCCACTTCTTTCCGCTTTTCCAGCAAAGTGGTGCAGAACAGATGGCACCACCGCCTTTGTTTTTTCCGACTCGTTAGACTTGACTTGTTGATGAAATGGAGCCTTTACGCTGTACTGCTCATGCAGATGCGTAGCAGTATAGTTTTTAATGTAGCCTCTGTCTTAAAGAGCCAGCCAGTAATTAACCTCTGCCTTGTGTTTCTACAGCACGGATGTTATTTCGTTTCTTACAAGACTGTATATTTTCTCCACTTTAACTCCAAGCAAGAGGGCAGTATAAGCTTTGCATAACCTTAAAGTGAATGCAGACAATGTTTGTTCTCTTACTAGCCAGATTAACATTCATACTTATTCTTTAGTGCTAACTCCCAGCTCAGGCAGGAATATGTCTTCCATTTGCCCCTCGTTTTGTCTTGCCTGTCACAATTTTTCTGACTTTTCAATCACCACATTTCTGGGAAAAGAGACAGGAAGAGGTTTAAGACTTCTTTGGAGATGCCTGTCATGGTTTGGCATTGTTGTCCACACTGTCAAACTGTGAGTGGTATCGTCTTTTTGTGGTTGCTGGATTAGGATGCAGAGGCTTTTGAGTGTGTGAACAGTGCAGCAGTGAATACAAACTCCTGTTTAATCATTCCCTTTCAGAATGATTAAACATGAGTCTGTTTCTTCGACATCACGTTTTCTTTCAGCATCAGACATGAACTTTATTTTGTATATCTTTCTTCAAGAGGGAAATCAAGAGTGTTAGCATTTGGCGTGATTTGCTGTCCAAAGTCTAGAGATGCTGCTGCTGCGTAGGAGGAAAAAGCAGACTTTACAGATTCAAGCTCTTAAAATAATTAAAGTTGGCATGATGACTCTGCTTTCTTGACGGGTCTAAACCTAAAAAAAGACAGCTTTGGGAGTTACCACACAGCAACAGCAGGCTGAGATCCACAGTGAAAAAAAGAGTGATAAAAGTTATAATACGCAGAGAAGGTTAAATCAGATGCATTATTCTGTCACTGGGGAGTGAAATTAAGCTTTTGACAACTGACCCATCATGCTAAAAAAACAAACATTTTCCATTTAGGAGAGGGAGACGCTGTTTACTCTATTAACCTTTCCTCTCGGTTGCACTCATGACATTGAACAATGTGGAAGAGGCGCACTCCTCGCTGGCCCTTTTGCTAATGAGGCAATTAAGTCTATGCTGCCTTGGTTGAGCAAGGGGCAGGGAGAGCAAGGCAAGTCATCTGCTGTCTCAGCAAACAGCGAGCATCTAAGCCACTCTGCAGTCTGAATACATAACTAGCTCAGCTTTGTTGTAGTGGCCGCCTTGTCAATGAGGTCCCGCCTTGTCAACGCAACCTTTTGCACAGCTGGAGATCACGGTTAACATCAGGCCACATCTATCTAAATGCAATGAATTGCAGCAAATAGAGCGGTATGCTAAACACAAATATGTAAATTTTGTTTACATTAAGCCAAGGTGGGGAGCAATTGTGTGACAAAGCCACAATAACCATCTGTGGGTCTTTTTATTTATTTATTATTTTTTAAATCTTATTTTCGCACATCCACTTTTACAATAATAATTCAACAGCCATTAAAACAATTCATTTTACAAGTGATCTTAGTAAACAATCGCCCCTTGTTTTCTGTGGGTCATTTTGAAATAACACAACAGTGCATCCACTTTGTTCAGACATACAAATAAAAGACTATTGCCTTTTCTGTCTACATTATATGGTCTACTACACCATAAATACTGCTAGATATGATTTGTTTACACTCTTGAACACACTCTGAGCATTTCAGGCATTTTATTTAGATGAAACCAAAGCCTCTGTGCAGTATCATTCTGCTCTCAGAATTGCATCACAGAAGTGAATATGCTATAGTTCAAACAGTCTGGTACCTGTTTCATTCATCAGTCTCTGTGTGTCTTGTTGACTTGGGTATTTATGATGCTCCTGGATGTTATGAGTTATTTATGCAGCTAAAAGAGCTTTTGCTGGCCGACAGACTGAAAGGATGTTGGTTTTACTGAAGGTCAGGGTAAAGAGTGGCGTACACCAGGTCTGGAGGTTTACTGTAAAGTACAGTGAAGTGGAGTAAAGATGTTGCTCTGATCCTGCAGTCCCAGCAGACCGTATGAGAAAGGCAAGGTTCTGACTCTCCTTCTATCTCCATCACTTATTTACTGATAACTGAAAGACTGGCACTGCCTGTGTGGTAGAAAGATAGTAAAAAATATGAATATACCAGGCGTACGCTAGATGATTGAGTGGTTCCTGATGTGTGCTTTTATGTCTGATCTTATCAGCACATTTCCTTTCTGTCACATGTCAGAGGGACACTATGGAAGTGCCATTTTCTCTACTGCTTTCAAGAACATTCAGACTTTAAAATGTGCTGATGCTTTGCACCCATTCAAAAAATTAGTTCTACCAAATTTGACGAGTTTAACAACTTGTGTTTTCGTGGCCTGTTAGCATGGTGACTTGCTGCCATTAGCAGCTGTGGTGTCCTAGAAAAAAGGCCAGCATTAGGGCCTAAGTTAATGTGTTTAAGGGATGCACAATTCTAACGAGTGATAAAGGAAGGCTTACGGCTGCTCAGAAGGGATTAGGGGACATAGTCGTCTGTCTTAAGTCTCAGGCTTAACCATCATACTCTTTTTTTATTTCCCCTCCTCCATCGCTCCTCCCGAGTAATGAATCTCCAGTTTTTCTTGACACAACGCAAGAAGAAGAACATCTCACTCGGCGGGGAATGAAGACGGCTGCTCATTAGCCGTGGAAAAAGTGTACCGAGCCAGAAAGAGGAGATGTCCGGACAGATTTGCTTGAAATCAATGCCTGTCTTCTGTGGCTTCCTCTACAGTATGAGCTTGCCACAAGTTATCAGATTCATAGGAGGAGGAAAAGGTGTTCTTAAGCCTTACAGACACATGTTTCGTGTATACACTGTTGAAACAAAAGAACAAAGTGGGCACTATGGCTCCTCTTAGCATCACATTTCAGCCCTGTTGAGCAGCTTTCACTGTCTACTTTAACATATTTGTCCTCATCATGTGACCAGATCAATACTGAGAGATTACCTCTGCTCGGTGGGAGACACGGATACCTCTGAAGTGGCAGGATTGGAGGATGGTTTTTAGTTACAGGACACTAAAGATGCATAGTGGCAAGGGCGGCTGAAAAAGTGCTCAGTTAGCAAAGGGCTGCACCGGCAACTGACCATGTGTGTATGCTGCTGGCTAAAATAACTGACACTGGACACGTCAGGATACACGGTTTTAATGTGAAAAAACTGTATCCTGAATCATCACTCAGCTCTAGTCCTCTTAATCCAGACTCCATCCTTTTGTTTCACACTAACATGAGATCCTGCCATGGCTTCCTTGTAAAAGCTTAAAAAACACGACTGTTCCATTGAATATTCAGCTCACATATTCAGCAGGTTCAGGACAAAAGAAGATGCTTTTATACTTTGGTCGTGTTTCGCTTTTGAGCTAATGTGTCAGACTGGTGGTGGCATGAAATGTACTTGACCTTTACATTTGATTTTCTAAACTATCAAACTATACCATGGTAGGAGTAAGTATTCCAACATCATGAAGATAACAAAATCTGTCACTTCAAAGTCCATAAAAACTGCTGATGAAATAGTGAATATGCTTTGCTTTTTAACCGATTCTACTGTATCAAAATAACTACATTGACATGTTGTTTAAAAAATCCATTTATTGCATTACTCTGACTGGACTAGCACTGAATTGAACTTTTCAAAGTTGGACTATCATACTAGGGCTGGGCAATATCGCCTTATATTAATATCACGGTATGATGAGCAGTTCATAAATAGACGATAACTACTCCACAAGCTGCTCAACCCCTCCTACATTAACTTTGTCTACTTCAGTCACTACAACTTTTGAACCGTCCTCCATCTCCTCACCTGTCTTTCCCTCTTTGTTACAGACTGGATGGGGTGGAGTCACGTCTCTGACGTAGGACAGCCTCTTAAAGGGACATGAGACCATAGCCTACCTACACACATCCAAAACCAACTTTGATTTGTTCATTCGACATTTGACAATATATTAACATGGGCAAAATGACGTTAGTTATTGTTGTAAATTTCGGCATCGGTAATTTTTCGGTTTATTGCCCAGCCCTATACCATACCTTGATAATGCTGTCAGGGGTTGATTTTTTTCTGGCATGTAAGCGGTGGCTCTATCAAACTAAAACTGGACTTAGCACTCTGCACTTAACCCAGTGCAGCCGCTTGCTAATGTGTTTTGCCGATTATTTTGATAGGTATTTCAGCCTGGAGATGACCCAATAGAAACAAGCTGAAAGAGGACATGTCACCACCTACCATAGTGGAAGTGGACACTAGATTTTTGCACAGCGCATATAAACAGGGACAAGGACAGAAGTCTAGTTAAATCCCTGTTTTGAGCTATGTCCATAGCTCGACTTGACTGTGCATGTAAATGTAATTATTGTTGAAACCTTTGAAACAGTCTGTTGTTTCAAGCCCTAAACTGATACTATGACTAACCTATGGCTTCATATACCAATGCTGCACTTAACTCAAGCCAACACACAGGAAACATGGGTGGAGTGTTTTTTTGCCATCTGTGTTGTCACTTAGCACCCAGATTTTGCCTCTGAAAATTGCATCTTAACAACCGTTAATTGACCTGCAAGTCAGCAATGTTTTGTCGCATGGTAAATGTACCATTCAGGGTCTGCAGGGAAATCATCATGCAGCAGCATGAGCACTTTTTGATTATTTATGGGAGTTATGCGTTCAGGCAATGCCCATTCTGACATTTACTTCACTTACCCCCTTCACTCTTCCATTGTCCTCTACCCAGTCAGACAGTCTGCATATATAATCGCCTTATGCGGCTGTTTTCATGAAAAGTGAGAGTGCTGGTTTTAGATGAAAGGGAGAAGAGATATTTAACCTGCTCTGTCCTGTAGGTGGAGATTATGACTCATTATTGCTCGCATTATCATTAGCACAGCCAGTAAAAGACAGGTAATAAAAGCACTTGTTATTTTGGATTTATCTTTTACTTCACTTGCAGAAGTGATCCCACTTGGTTTTATTTATTACATGTCACAGTCTGCACTGTACACATTATCTGGAGTGTTAAAACAAATATATTTTATTTCTTTTTGCAGTCCACAAATGTTCTGTGTAATGCCATTGTTTGCCTGCATGACAGCGATAAAAGTATGAATGATGTTTCACTACACTGACCGGCAAGGCCATGAATCCTAATATTTAGACTGGAGCAGCCATGCACTCCCAGCTGCAGCTTGACTTCAAGTAATCATAGCTGTACACCCTTGCGTATTGTGCTGCAGGAAAAACACTATCCGGCAGAGGCTGAGTCCATCAATCTAGGAGGCCCGACAGATTTTCTCCATCCCATGTTGGAGGATTTTTTACATGGCACCCTTCCCCCACCCAAAGGGAATATGTTTATGAGCCCTTTCTCTTACTGTCCTGTCTCCTCCCAATCCCCTCTCCTTCTTATGAGATGAGGGGTCTAGCATGGGAGTGTATGTGTAGAGCTTCCCGCTGCAGGGTCTTGATGGATGGCCACTCAGCTATACATGCCGTGCTCACCAGAGGATGGCCATATTTCTCCTTCAGTGCCCGCCGCGTAGACCTGCATCTGCATGAGGACAGTGGGGACGCTGCTTTGTGCAGGGCTGAGTAGGAGTATCTGATTAGGTGTAATGGAATTACAGTAATCTGATTCTAAAAGATGACATCTGTAATCTGTTGTATTTACTGTAAATATGCAGTAATAAGATCAAAGATGCTCGTGATGCGTCAGAGATATTGTATTGCTGTGTACATCTCTGGAATCTAAATTGTGGGATTTCTCTTTAGAGTGCAGACTTGTACATTAAAATGAACCCCATTTAACTAAAAGCTCTTATTGAAGTGTGACGTAAATTAAGGATTCTAGCAGCATTACTGGTCACAATTTTCTGCAGGTAATCAGCACTTTAAGTAATTGCATTTGAGTTTAATCCTCCTAACCCTTGTAACTGCTGTTGCAGTAAATGGCGGGCTGGTTGGATGATATGTTGAGGTGGAGTATTAGCAAAATGATGACCTAAGGGCCTTATTGGAGGCTACTGCTCGGTCATAGGAGGAATAAACGCTGCAGGGGGCTCTGCATGGCAGTGCGCTGCTGCTTTTGGGTCAGAGAAGTGAGGGAGAGAGAGAAAGAGAGAGAGAGAGGGAGGAACTGTCATTGATCCTGTGGTATTAGCTTGGGCTGCAATCATAATGAAACCAGTACTATGTGCTCTATGTTTGTGTGTGTGTGTGTGGGGTGTGTGACACTGACAACGCCTGTAAATATCTGCATCTGGAGTGTTTATATCCTGGTGATTAATTATAACTCATGTGGACACAAATAAATCACTCAAAGTGTTTGTGTGCATGCATGTGTTATTGTATGTGTGTATCCCCAGATGGCCTTGTGTTAGCGTATTTGTAGTGTGTGTGTACACACCGAATGTGTGTATCCCCAGATACCTTGTGTGAACATATTGCGGGGTATGCATTGTCATCGAGTGAGTGTACTAGGTGGATATATATTTCCCTGACTTTGAGTGTGTGTCTGTGTGTGTGTATGTGTGTGTATACGTGTCTGTGTACAAAGTGATGAAGCAGGAGAGGCTGCCTGGCGACTCATCCATCATTTTCCCCCCTGGCCCGTGGTGCCCTCAGAGGAGCGCTGCACTGTCACGGTGACATTGGGCTCATTTTGGTCTAGAAAAATGGTGCATCCACCCACGGCGTCACCAGCGCCACCACCTCCGCCACCGCCGCCCCCGCTCCCTCCAGCCAACCAGCCAGCTTAGTCTTCGCTGTTACAATCCCTCTAATAGTCTCAGACTTCCTCCCCCAGCTGACAGCTTTACACGCCGTATCCATGGGGACAGATTGCTAATCATAGCCAGCGCTCTTTTGAAAGGCCCTCTTTTGTCCACAGTCATTTAGTGGAGCTCTTCGGGTGGGTTGTCACCCCCGCACACCCCACTCCCACCCCCCCAGATAACCTTGAAAGAGGTGGAGGAGAAGGGGGGGTAGATGAGAGATATAAGGGGAGAGGTGAGACCACTTTATAGGCGTCCCGTGGCGTCTCTGCCTTGTCTTGCATCTCTGGTAATGTACAGGGTGAGTCAGCATGAGCAACCGCAGTACAGCCCAGTCAATGTGTTCAGGCTCACTTCTGAATAGACAACGCCAGCGCCATGCCTCCAAACCGCTGCAGCTGCTGCTTCGTGACTCAACATGGTGTACGTGCTCCTGTCCTCCAACTCTCTTAAAATATGCACGTACAGGACAGCACAGGCACACACACACGCCATTAGCCACTGCACAGAGTGAAAGGTGTCATGGTCAAAGGGGCATTCTGCACAATCTAGCAGGAGTCAAGGGTGTGAAAAAGCAGGAGACTGATAGTGCGACCGACCATTCCAAATCAATGTGTTGCAGGCCTGATGCAACAAACAGAGCTCTTTACTCGCTCATGTGAGGTTAGAAAGAACAACATGTGGAGCACACATTTTGAAAACCCATGTATGAGGTTTTATTTTCTGCGTGGCCGATGGTGCATGGTTTGTATACCGCAGGTAGGCACTCCTCTAAGCACACAATACTCAATGGACTGCTACCACATGGCTGGTATAGACATCCATCTTAAACAATCATATTAGCTCCTACCCTTATTCCCACAGAGACTGTGTGCTTATCAACACGAACACACAGAAACAGACAGACTGATAAGCACATAAATACATGCAGACATAGCTCAAGCACCAGCTCTGGTTATGTAACTGCAGTCACCACATTTTAGTGTCATTCCTCCCAAAACGGCACCTTGTTGTTAAGGGAGAAGGGCGGATGAGAGGCAAACAGAAACAGAACGCAGATAAAAAACTGAAGAGAGGGAGACGTAAAGAGGAAGAACAGAGGGAGACTGGGAGAGACAATAAGAGGAGGATGAGGAGGAAAACAGGAGTTGAGGGATTGCAGCATGTTTGCCCCCATTGCCATCATCCAGTGTATGCAGTTTAAACTGTGCCTGATCAGTCATGCTTCTCCACATTCACACACAGATGAAAACACAAATAGAATATATACCCACAACTCTACCGACAACAGTATGCCTGCATGGCTTTGCCTCAGTAAGCCTCCTATCATAGATAACCTCTCCAGCTGACAGTGGCAACAGTGGCATTAATCCTGATCCCAACAACAACAACAGTGATGGACAGTCAAGGCCTTCACAGAACCACATCAGCATATTCCGCCCTCTTTATCTCTTTGGGCAAAAATGTATTTTGTAATTCTAAAATGGATCTGCTTCCATATTTGCAAGCATCCAGTTAGGACATGCTGGATAGGTGGTGGATTGATCTGCCTGTTCTGTCACTGGAGATCAATTGTCATCTGTCCTCTTCGATTGGAGATCTTGTTTCCTCCATTTGCCTGCATGGTGTGCCCTGCAACCTCAAATTCCCATTTGACCTCACCTTTCCCATATCTCAGAGGGAAGGTCAACACCGATTATTAATTTGCATGACCTTGTTGACTCTAATGTCCTATTGAGCTGCTGCTGTGTGGTCGCACATGCGTATTGTCTTTCATACAGCTCCACAAATAACTTCCTTCCTGTACAGGGGGATCAATAACACAGCATGAGCAGTAAGAAATATTAAGCCATTTCCCATTTTGCCATAATAACAGGAACTGCAGAAATGCTAGCTAGCCTGGAATCAATAGCTCTGATGTAAATGAAACTCTTCCCTTCCTGTCTCAGTCACGTCTTTGTGGTTTGTTTGTGTGCATTTCTATACACTTAAGCAGATTTCTCTCAGACAAACAAAGCTTCTCTGGAGGAATTCAGCTGTTTCGGGTCACAAATATCTCTCAGGTTTCTATTAATATCACAGCCAAGTGTTATGATGTATTGCTCTGTGGACTCTTATCACAGTCTCTCACCATGAAGGCACACTGTATAGCATATTTCAATCATTCTGTCATGGGAGAACTATAATCTTTTTCTTCTGCATGGCATATGTCCTTCCACTTCTAACTAATCCTTATTATGCCTCAGAAGCGAAGGTCATTGTCAAAGCCGAGGGGTGATTAAGTTAATCCACTTGTTTTCTGAATCCGATTTACCTCATTTTCTAAACTAGGGAACAATGTTCTGGCACAAAGACATCAAGATGATACGCATTAAGGAGGAGGGCCCCCTCACTGGAGAGGCTTCTATTATCTGTCTACATCATCTGCATCCCTTTCTGCTTCCTAGGCCTATCAGCGGATTTCTAATGACTGCATTCAAAGCCATCTCTGATTTATGGAGAGTGAGAGTGAAAGTGAGAGGAGAGCACACGAGTTAAAAGACGAACAATCTCTCTTCTTATTCATGAATTGATCTATACAGCTGCAGTGTAAGCCACAAGCAGCGTAAGGCGCAGGGGCCTGGTGAGCGGGAGCCCCTGTGCTGCGGCCGGCCAGTCTCGCTGAGTTACGCAGTGCAGTAGCAAACAGTTGACTTCATTAGCAGGTCCCTCCCTACTTGGGGATGGATTATTTACGACTGCACTGGGCACGGACAGATGCTCCACAGATATTGTACTATAGAGAGTTCTGCGAGTACAAATAAGTGTGCATAACAGGGGGAGTGTGTGTGTAACACTGCCAAAGCTGTTTGCATGCCCTACTATCAGCAAAGCAGCCTAAACCTACAATAAACCCCGAGTTATTTAACTTAATGCTGATAAAAATGTAAAATGCATCATGTGTTAGAGAGCGGAATCAGTATTTGTGTGATTATTTGACCATTAATCTACATGTAAGCTCATATACCAAACAGGGAATGCCCATGCATGCATATTTGCGCATCCATGCTAATGTGTCGTGTTAAAATGTCATGCGAGTCTACAGTTACAAATATTTGTGTATGGATTTTTTTTAATGTAAAAGCCTTTCAGTGTATTATATAACCATTAGCTCTTGCCTGTCTGCTCTGATCAATCTCTTTTAGCATGTGAGTGATATGAAAACATTCTGTACGGGAACAATTTGGCAGCCAGGCATTATGTTTAACTACCTCCTACGTAATTTCTACGACAGCCAGCACTGATAAACATGTATATGTATGAGATATGTCAAGACTTATATTGTTATCACTTGTCACCAAATGCAGAGACAGTCCAATGGCGTGATCAGCCAATGAGGGGAAATGATGATAAATTATGTCTTTGCTTTTTGCATTTCCATTAGAGTGAAATGGTTTCATGACATCATGGGAGTTAATGGAAATAGAGCAAGGATAACACATACACTAGAAAGAGCAGTGGGTAAACATACTGAGTTAATGTTACACTCTTTGTAACTCTTACAGGCTTTTCATTGTCATGTATACCTACAATCAATACAGTAGTCACATTTTTAATCGGTTCTGGTGTTACAAGGTTTTGGCCTGTCAATCATGTGATTGCAAACTAACTGTAAATGAGCAATACATCACACAAACACTTAAATTATTAATCTATCATGTATCTATTTTTCTAAGAAGTCATGCCATCCATGTTTATGCTGTGCAATGTGCAGACTGAAAAGACTCACAATTTCTGTATTTATTTGCATGCGATTTTAAAGGGATATTTCAGTATTTTTCAGAGTTGATGTCGTTTGGGTTTCAGATTATAAGTACATGAATTAGCCGCACTGGACAGTTTTCTGCATTATAATTTTTTTTTTTTTTTTTTTTTTTTTTTTTTTAAGATTATGACCCAAGTACTCATCTCAGAACTTTTTGCTGTCATATGTATTATTTTAGCACTTTGCCATCAGAAAGCCTTTCTGTTTTAAACTATTTCCAAACACAACAGATGTACCTGCTTCTCTGCCTGCAGTTTGATGAGCTAATGAAGGCAAGGCAAGTTTATTTGTATTGCACCATTCATACATGAGGAAATTCAAAGTGCTTTACAGATGCAAGGAACTACATAAAAATTAAAAAAAGGAGAGATGAAAACAAATCACAAAGACATATAATGATTTAAAATCAAACAGACAAAACAATTTAAAATTAAAGACATAAAATGTCATTTAAATTCATTGAAACAGTTGATATTGATGGAACAGCAAAGTTGAAGTTTAAGAAATTAAAAGAGATTGTTTTGGGTCAAGAAAGAGTGAATTTGTTGATAAACAACTTTCTCAGTGATGTATGAAATATGATATGATTGCATGTCATATTGTATATTTTAAATGTTGAAGATCCTGATATATCGACTTTACCCAGTTTCTCTCAGTTTTCTCCTTTTCCCTTTGAGGACTTAAATCTCATTATTGGTTCATAAAGGTGTTCGGGGGTGTCTTTCTGATGGCAAAGTAAAGTGTTGAAAATTTCCTCAGTACAACATACACTTGAAACAAGATGAGTGGGAGTCTCTCAAAACATACAGTACTATGCAAAGTTGGCAGAAAACTGTAGCCTAGCTTGCATGTTCTTTCTCCTGGCAGAGCTGACCAGCATCTAAGGAGCTGGTACACTTATCAGTGACATGGCACCCATAGAACCTTCTACAAATATACTGAATACCCCTTTAAAAGTCTAGAGTGTGTAGATTTTTGATATTTTCATGCATTAGAAGTATTACTTGGATGATTTGCTTTTAACATTTCCCCATTTTTTATTGTTAGATTTATTGTTATTGTCAGATTCAGCTCCTAACTGAGCCCTTATAAGCATGCCAGCCGACCCAAATGTGCAGACAATTATTCAAACCTTTAGTTTGATTTAAAAGACCAAATTAAAAAAGCCTAATTTATCTACTGGCTTGATGTGAAAAACTGGTACTTCACACAAACGCATTGTCCAAAAACTCAGCCATCAAAAGGAATACAAATCAAAAGGACCAATTATGAATGATTCTGCCTGTGATGAAGATCATAATTCACTGGTGCATTATGGTTAATGTATTCCAGTAACTTGAACAATTTATTGTGACACTCAAATGCAAACAACTAGAATGCACATATAGACTGTAACTCTGCCTGAATTTGACAAGCCTGTTGGGATCTTTGGCTTCGTTGCAAGCTGCGACATTATAGTGTTTTGCAAGCGTGAGGCAAGAGAGGCCAGAAAAAGACAAAAGACAATGGAGAGAGAGAAAAGAAAGACAAGAAGAAAGGGAGAGCGAAGGAATGTGGGATGGACGAATAAACAGACAGTGAGCTGAAAGGGAAAAATGAGGCTAAAGTGAAAGAAGTGCAGATGTTTTACACTGTTTAGCAGATCCTGTTGCGAAGCTTCAACTCCGTCATAATAAACAGACTGAACGAGCAATTCAAAACACCTGGAGCCCCACCGTCACCTATTAAGTCAAGCTTATAATCATCAGGGGGGGCATCTACTCTGCAAATCTAACAGCTCTTTTTGTGTGTACGAGTGTCAGTCACTCCCACAGCTTTGCAAATTAAGGTGTGACCGAGCCAGAGTGTGATCCCTCCATAGCCAAAACAAACACCATAATAGGCGCTTCAAACGCACGCTCTGTTATTTTTCTGTAACCGGTGGGCTGCATTTAGTGTGGTCCTGGCGTCTTTATCAGCTCTGTCTGAGAAAAACACCCACATCTCTACCAGAAGATTTGAATCATCACCATCATCATCATTTTCTCCTCAGTCCTTCACTTAAAAACACACCACGTGGAGCTGAAAACTTGACTGCTCAAAAAAAAAAGGAACTTAGAGTTGACACATCCTTTAAGACAAATTGGATCAGAATTTCCAAGAGGAGTTGCTTTCAGCTTTTTGACTACTTTTGAGCCTTTAATTTGAGAAAAGTGCTAAATTCAACATCAGATTGAGATTCTGTAATCCACTTGCATTAGTCTTATTCTATTTCAAAGACTTAAAGAATAAAAGGTAATTCTTTAGAGGGAGAGATGTGAAAAAGCCATTTTGAAATGTACGTTTGTAGCTACTTTGAGGGCTTTTGGGGAGCAGCTTTTAAGTGAGTCATGATTCTTAGAGAATAAATAAAGAGAAGCAAAGATTAAGAAAGGAAAGAGTAAGGTCCCCTCAGCTCAAAGGTCTTAGACTGGATCAGATCTGCAGCTTGCTGCATGAGGTGTGTTCAACCTGGATTCATATTTAAAAGGGCAAGAAACTTAGTATGAAAGCTGCAAAAGCTCCAAACACAAAGGGCGCTTTTATCTCCTCTGTTATTCTTCGACTCACATCCAGCACCATATTTGTGCAGCTGCACAGTTTCTGGTTGTTTTTGTAGCTGGACTCAGAGAGGAAAGCAAACTGGAATCAGCAGAACTTGAAAGTATTCCCCTTTTCCTAGTAACTGGATTTCTGTATCTGCCCTGCAGCTGGCCACCCAGGGTCTGTGTGAGTGTGTGTGTCTGCTTCATTTGGCAAAGCTAGTCTGCTAAACAAACTCTTTCAACTCGGGCTGATTCAGGCTCATTCAGACAAGAGAGCAGAGGGGATAATCAATCCTTAGATGCACCATTCTTAAATATTTTATCACCTCAGACTCTGGAAGATGGCTGAGTCTGAAGCAGGAAAAAGAGGAACTTTAGCTGAACTACAGTTTCTATAAAAATAATCCCTTGACTGCTTCCACCGTGATTGAGAAGGAAATTAATTATTGCAGGGCATTTCATTAGAGAGAAAAAAAGTATATGCTAGGGGGAACCTAATCGCAGCCCATTTTCTCACTTTATTGTTTTCTGGATGCCTGTTTGTGATGATGGAGCAAAGCGGCAGTGGCCAGAGTGGGAGCCGATCCTTATCACTCCTGTTCCCATGCTTTTTTGCCAGATGGAGCTCTTGGTGGCAATTTTGAGCAGCAGCACAGTAAAGCAGGACAAACGACTCACTGATGAAGGAGGGCCTTAATGTTTTAAGTGTTAAACCCTGTATCCCCACTCATCCTTATGGGCTATTACAGTTTATGTTAATTAGATTGTTTTACAGCCCAGCTGACCTCCTTTGCTCTGCTTAATATGTACTTTCTTGAAACATATTGTCACAGGTACTTGAACCGGGGATGTATGAGCTTTTTTTCCTCTAAGGACCAGTCACTAATAAACTAAACCCTGATGAGAGTTTAACCTGTGATCTACATCAGCTGTTAACCCTTCTCCATTTCTGGAAGTAAAAGTACAATTGTCGAGTACCCTGGCCATCTAGCTTCATCACTGTCTACTTTGAGACTCTTGTCTGTCCCCACAAATTATTTCTCGCCTCACCAAGAGAGCAGGAGCGCAATGATCCATTTGACTAAGAGAGACACCTCCCCCATTACTCTCAGATCGAGCCTGGCACCTCTCACCCGGCCGTGCTGGTCACAGACAGGGCAGAGTGGAACTCATCTGTGTGGAGGGGAGCGGTGTTTAAGCACATTAAGCTGCCCTAAACGGATAAACGCAGTAAATTTGAGCCTCTACACCTGCATCCTAATCAGTGAAGACACCATTCACAAAAGCACCATTGACAAAAGCCATTGCATCACTGGTATGTCGAAGAAAATTAGCGAAGGCATAGAAGTAGACGACGGCGAAGCCTAAGACCGGCGCAGGACCGATTATAAGATGATTTAGTGAGTGAATAGCAGTTTTGACTCACCGAGAGAGCCTCTGAAGACAAGCTTCAGAGAGTAACAGAGTGTGGTTTATGTTGTTTCATCCTTACCTATCTCCAAGGAAAGGATGGAGACAAGGAGTCTGTTCAGTTCATGATGTGTACCGTTACTCATTTAGAGGACAGACAGAGATCAGAGGAGCTATAATCAATAAAACACCATTTTCTCCCCACTGTCTCCTTTCCTCCCTCCCTCTCTTTATCCATCGTTTACTCGATCAGAAACTTATAGGATTGTATTATCTGCTCTTAAACAGTCTTTTCAGCATGTTAACAGTAGTCAGGTAAGGCCCCCCGCGGGTGCATCAGGTCAGGTTTTCTATATATGGCTCACTTGTTTTTCTGTTAAGATCCCTTGAAGCTGCTGCTGCTTGATCTGCATTGCTGCTGATTTGCTCATACACAATACTTGTGTTGGTAATCCGGCATTCACTTGATGACAGCAAGTGTTGCTGTATTATTATTATCTGTATGCAATCAACATGTTTTAATGTGCACATTTCTTCAAAGTTGAACTGTATTTGATTCAGCTTTTGAATTTAGCGCCAAACATAGCTGTAAAACAAAACCACTCTATGCAATCTTAGGAATAAGTAAAATCGCCTATGCTGATTCTTGTTTGTCAGAAACGAAAACTTTAGGATGTCTCACAGCTGATATGTTGACTTCGAAAGAAGAGGAAAGCCATGAGTGTGTAACCTCAGAGACGATTGTGAAAGCTTGTTTGGATTCACTAAATGAGAGGCCAAGGGGGCTGGAGGAATCTGGTTTCTTAGTCACTGATGGGCTGGGATGGGTGGGGTGCCAGATGTTCGTGGACATGCAAGCAGTACACCGAGGCTGGCCCTTGCAGCATGCTGCAGTATGTGAAAAAGCTTGGCACCATCAAAGCAGCTCTCTCTTTGGCACAATGTGCTGGTGTGCAACATGGTCCTAGTCCCAGGCCTCTTTCTCTCCAGCCTCAGCTACAGTCTGAGATGTTCATTTCCCCCATTTCACTTCTCTTTCTGTCCCTTTTTCATCCCTTTTTCTCTAACTTAACAAATAACCAGCTTTGACTGACTATTCAGAGCACTTTTTTCTACCTCATGCATCAATGTTTTTTTTTTTTTCTTTAATGAGATAAAAAAGTCATGGTCTCTGTACCACAGCACACATTTGCAACATGTTCTGTCTGCACCACATTTTTATTGTCTGATGGTCTGTAACTTTGCCCCACTGGATCCCTTTCAGAGCAGGGCCTAACTCAGAGCAGCTAGACTCCCAAATCGAAACCTCCTGTGAGAACTTGTCCAGATTTTGCTGAAGTATTAAGATCATAGGATACCACAAATGTAAACAGAGAGCAACATAACAATCTATTGTGTCTTTCTGGAGTTGATGAAATGTCCATTTGGATAGTACTTTCTTATTTTTGTTCATCTACCATGAGTGATTACTGTGCATTAGAAAACTTTGTTTTCTCATGTGAAAAACGCATTTAATAAGTATAATTAGATTCTACCTTGTTGTTACCTAAATAGAAGTCAACAACTAAAACTCCTGCTATAATCAATCAGGGTCTCAGATTTGTGGCTGTATTGCTGTTGTTAAAGCTGCTATGAGGAACTTCTGGTTTGGGTTGATTTTGGCGCCCCCTGTGGACAGAGTAATACTTCTTGTCTCTTGTCATGTACATGTATAAGTAGTGGATCTCAACGAGAACCTCATGTTACTGTCTTATAACAGTGAAAGTTATCGCTCATTGTGAGTGGTTGCCAGGGAAACGGTTCTAATGAAGCTGTGTCTTTGCCATGCTCTGGTCTGACACCTGACCCCTCAACCAGTTAAAAACTCCCCACAGTGCATTTAACAATATATCCATGCGTATGATCTAATTTATGATTTATTTTAAAATGTCCTGTTAGAGCCCGATATGTAACAACGATCTGAAACGACCCAGACTGTAATTAAATAAAACCCAAAATGTAACAAGATACTGAACAAGTTAAATGTATAACTTTCTGCCCAAAATGTAACAACTTGTTACACTGTGAGTCAGTTATTACATTTTAGATTGTTGTTACATATTGGGCTCTAACATGCTCCAGATAGTCCATGCCATTCCCGTGTCTGATCTCCCGTCTGTGTGAGTCTGCTCTGAGCTCATGCCGGGGCTGAGCACCATTGAAAAGAGAATTGGCGCATATATAGTATAGCGCAGAAGGAAGAGACGCTTCTGGGGCGTAGCAATGATGTATTATGGCGCCAAGCGTTGACTAAGGTGAGCGTGATTCAGCTCCAGACCGAATGTGGTGCGAACAGAATGAAAAAACCCTCCTGAGATTCTGGGAATGCAAACAGGAAAGCCAATCTGAGATGCATCTTGCCTATTCCCATGGCATCTGGTGGATCTATGCAATCTTCAATCACCGCAGCAGACGTTCCCATTAACTGCGATTGTCTCTTTCATCTCAATATGCAGATTCAACTCATTGTTATATTTTAACCAACAACAGTTTCACAGCTAAAAACCGATCCGTTGAAGATTGATCGTGTGAAGGTCTGTGTTTCTGTGTCCATTGCTCACATATTTCAAGGTTGTTAGTTCTTCTAGCCCCCCTATGGTTTTCTCATCCTGACTTTATGGTGCTGCATTTTGCTAACTTGTCACTATCATGCCGAAGAGGTCAACCAGAGGGCTTGATCACTGACCTTCCAGGTCCTCACAGCCATGAGTCAACCCCCCCCCAACCGATGAAAGATGGCCTGTTAGCATCACAGGGAGCACCCATGCGTCCCTGAAGCTGATTAAAACACAGGTTGATGGGTGTTATTTACTGCATGGCCCGAGTGTGTGCCTGCATCTATGTGTATGTGTGAATTCTGTTTATGTGTGCATGCAACTCAAGGACTCTGGTCCCAGCAGGCTGCCGGCCTCATAACCCCCATCCATCCATCCATCTCTTCATCCATCCCCCGCCGTGCAATGGATCATGTGAGGGAATGAGAGAGAAGAAGGAGGGCCAACATGGCTGTCATTTCTTTCTGCGGGACGTGTCACCTCTTTAGCCTTGGTGAGGAGCTGGTTGAAGGTTGAAGACTGCTGACATACGCTCCGACCATGATATGCCAGAATGGGCTGGGTGTTTGTGTGCATGTGTGCGCAATCGGGTGCTCCTGATGGTTTTGTGTGTCTCTATTAGAGCACAGTGTGTGTGTTTGTACATGCATTCACGTGCGTGTATGTGTGTGCACCTCAGACGACATTGCAGCTGATGGCTTGTCACTGATAGTGGCCTCACCGTGAAATGAAGGTCACAGTACTCTCTGGGTTTCATCTGGCCCTCTCATAGGAGTACCACTGTAGCTGTCAGCTAATGAGACAGTGGAAAGGAGCAAGGGAAGCAGGGTAGATAAAAGAGCTGAGAGGGTGAAAGAGAGAGAGGGAGGTGGCGGGTTAATGAGAGAGTAGAGAGGAGGAAAAGGGCGCTAGGTAAAGGAGAAAAGAAAGCTAGAGATTGAAGTGAACTACAGAGGCAAAAAAAAAAAATGAAGTCAGGAGTAGGACAAAACAAAATGTGCAAGAAACAAGAATGAGCGCAGAGAGAGAAAAAAAAGCAAGAAAGCAAGAAATGAAGCAGAACAGCAGAAAAAGGGGACGTCAGAGAGAGGCAGAGTGGAGCTCATGGGAAAACAGCAGACAACAGGGACAAGGAGGAGGATAAAGCAATGAAAGGCTTGAAGAAAATTAGAAACAAAACTCTGCCTCAGCTCCATTTTCAAGCAAGCCATGAAGTATAGCTCCGAGGAGGAGGAGCAGCAGCAGAGAGATGTTGCAGGAACAGTATGGGAGTGGTCCCCTGCAGTCTGCCATGCACCACACCTTCTCACCGAGAGCATCTTGCCCTGTCTCTTTTACTTCCCCCCCAGTCTCTTCCCCTTTTTTTCTCTATGTAATTCACTGTCTTCCTGTTATGCTGCCTTTTTGACTTCCTCCTTTGTTCCAGCCCCCCCTACCCAATTCCTTTAGAGAGCTCCCAGACAGTGCCTTGAGGCCACCGTACTCAGGAATGATGGATTGGGTCGAGGGTGCATGGAAGCGGAGGGGGGTTGCGGAGCACTGCAGTGTAGCATGACTGATGGGAACATGCATTATTTTCCTGGAGGGCTCAGCCAGCCAGGACCAGGATGTAGTATATTGCCATAGCATGCTAAAAGGGCCTGCAGCACAGAGAAGGGCCCCTTTTTTTAATGGTCATTTGGTAACCCTTAATCATGACCTGCTATTCCTACGTAATAGCTCATGGCAGCGACAGAGGAGGATATTGGCAGATGTTCAAGCTGCACTACAAGACTGACTTCTTGATGGTTTGTGGAACAGCCCTGGTTCTCCTCCACAGGCTTTAGAGCAGTTAGTGTGTCCGTAAAAGGCTGTTTGGCTGAGGCAATACACAGTGACTCACCGCCACCATGGGACGTCATCCCACACCCTCTTGCCTCGTTGTCATACAACATACATATGCAACACTTTGGCCACAACCTACCCTAGAGTCTCCCTGTTTTGTTTTTCTGTCTCTGGGGTGAGCGCACGAGGTGGAGTCATTTACAAAATGGCTATAAACATCCACCCGGCTGCTCCTGCGGTGCTTTTAAGTCAGGTCATAATGTTTTAACTTCAAATCAATATTCCGGACTGTGAATTTCATGCGACTTGGGGAAAAACGTCTGTAAATGTCCCGTCCATTACACCGCTCCTGTCGTGCTGTGCATATGTACTGTAGCCTCAGCCTTTCTCATTCATTTGTAATGAGTCAGTTATGGTTCCCCTGAGTGATGATGGAGACTACAGTCTTACTGTTCAGCCAACCAGATCCTCATGATGAAGCGTAGAGGCAGGGTTGTGACACTATTCTCTGTTGTTAACATAAATAGCGAAGACGTGTTGCCATGGAGTAACATTTGGCAAGTGAGGGATAGTAATCATTTCTTTTTAGTCTGCAACGCTGTGTTAAATGAATATTTTTTAATTAAAAAACCTTAAAATAATATTCATTTGTGGTGTTATGGAACGTTTCTTTAAGGAACTGTCAGTTTTGGCGCCTCTGTGGACAAAATGGTCTTCACTTTTCTTGTTCTCTACATGCTGAAGTAGTGCCTTCCGACAAAAAAATCTTGTATTTTTGACTTTTGCCAGTCAAATGCATAATTTTATCTGAATATCTTATATGGAAATTGTGAAAACATTACTTTTTTAGCTGCTTAGCTGACACGTACCCCCTCACAACAGGTCCAGGCATTAAAAAGGGCAAAGTACAAAATGTCAGTCTGGCCACTGATGGTCTTGTTTGCTTTTGGACGTCGTGAAAAGGAATCAATATGAGCCCCAAGCTATAACATACGTGTCAAAAAACCCTAATTGAAGCTTTAAATGTTTATTTTGAAGTCAAATTTGATTTAACCCATTAAAGGAAATTTAATGTGGTCAGAAACTGAAATTGTCAAGAAAAAAAACAAAGAGTTTTCAATTAGCAGGACTGGTGTATAAACTTTATTTATAAATCACTTTTCACAGACAAAAAAAACAAACAAAAAGAACAATGGGATAACCATACAACATAAAGAAATGAAGTAAATAATATAACTTATCATCTAACATTAAACTGTTTTCCTTTTTACTCATGTACAGTAGATAATCCAGTTAAACTGATATCTCAACAAACTGAATACAAACCTTTCAGTTTCCTATCATTGCCCACCGTATCATACGACATTCAGCTTTATGTACAAGTCATTAAAGGCTGAATCCATATGAATATGAAGCACCAAAAGAGGCTCACATACCACATGCAAGGTACAGGATTTCTTTTTCACATTTGGCACATGTGGAATTTCACTGTCAAATATATGCTACTTGATTAATTCGACATGCATGCAGAGCAGTCAGTCATAGGTAATTATTTGACCTCTGTGCCTCCTTGAATGATTTTCCTTCAGTTATATGCACATAATTCTTCCTTCGATGGTTATAAAATGAACATAATGGACACAAGATTGTGGAAACACGAAGCCTGAATATAAGATTTTCTCTCATGTTAGCCTGTCTCACGAATAGAATTGAATGACTTAAGGCAAACCATAAGTCCTCAAAACAAAAGCTTTTGAACTGTAAACATATTTTATTCATAGATGAGAATAATGTCTTAATAGAGAGAGTTTAGTCAGCAGTTCTCAGCCTATTCAAAAAGGAGTGAAAAAAAAAGTGTTTTCAAAACCCAACTTGTATTCCCCGATGAAAAATTGCTGTTCCATTTAAGTGCGTCATCAGAAAATATCTCAAGAGATTAGGGTTTTGAGATTATCAAACTGTGGTAGACCAAGAATCCAGCCAAGAAAGTGGGGCTGCAATTATTCAAGCAGTAAATGGTCATAATAACAGTCACAATAGTAGTCATCATAATGACAGTGTTAATAGCCCGGATCCAATCTGTGAGTGTTTAATACACAGTCCTCTTCATTGTCAACACAGGAAAAATGTGCTATCATTAAAGACGAGTGTTTTGGCTTTAGCTGACGTAAAGATTGTTTTGTTAACCAAAGACCTGGCCTCAGTAAGCCAGAGCTAAAGTCGTGACTAAGAGTTTCCAAAGAGGTTTTAGCCAATATCCAAACCAGCTGTCAAAGAATGTGGGTGCTCTTCATTTATAATGTTATTTTTTGTCCTTTTCAATATCCTTTACAGTGTATGGAAAACTTTAGACATTATATTGGATAACTTCTGTTGTGGTATCTTTTGATTTTTTAGCACCCTGCTACACATAATCAGTTTTCAAGAAAATTCCTCCTCCATCTTTTAGTAAATCCTAACATTAATTGTCACATTTTTAAGTTCTGATGCCAAAGACATCACTTTTACTAAGAGTTTAGTTCAAATTGTTTAAGCCTTTGGTGGTTCAATGAGAGCTTTTGCATTTGGTGTGATAGAGTAGGACTTACAAGATGTTGAGTCCACTTCCAGGCCACAAATCTCAAGAATCGCGCTTGATGATGTGTTTTCCATTACCCTGCAGTTGTTGGTCAGACGGAAAGGAAAGCAGACGATGTGCAGCAGCCTATTTTTTTCCAGTCTCTAATGCAAGATGAGTCTCCTTTTACATGCGTGCAGTAAACAGGGTTTATACGACCCCGAAAAAAGAAAACCGAAAAAATGCGTTAGGGTGAAGTCACAGAGGGGGCGCTGTTAAGTTATTTGGTCGTGTTTCCCAGCGGTTTGTGACATATTTTGGATCCATATTGAGTTTTCACTTTGGTTTTCTGTGTTAAGATTTCTCATTCTTTATACCTGCACCGTAACCAATCTCTGTAAAATACATATTTATTTCATCCTATTATCCTGTGTCGTAGCTCTGTATGCAAAATGCCAAGCCATTTCATTGAACATGTCAGTTAACAGATCTCCTCTCTGAAAGGATGACTCTATTTAAAATCGAGACGGGGCTCAGTGTGAAGTGACTTTAGCTGTTTAGACATTGAAGGCACAAACTACTCCACACTGCTGTCACAGTCCAGCCATCTCTGCTCGCCTTGGATCTTGTAGGAGTCCCAGGTGTTTTTGTGTCTGAGAGCAGAAGCTTTGTGAGGGGAAGAGGCTGGTGCCAAATGACTCAAACCTAAACACTGCAGAGCACACTTCATCCCCCCTGTCTCCTGTAGTGTGTCCCTTCCTTCTCTTATCTCCACCTCCCTCTGTCACATTGCTGTTTTCCCTCCTTACCATGTCTCTTTCTCATACTGTGAAACAGTTCCCTTCCTCCATCCTATCCATGCTTTTTATCTGTGCTCCTTCATCTTTTCCTCCTCATCTCTCCCTCCAGCCCCCTCCTGTCCTGCTGTGAACTAGTTGGGCAGCAGAGAACAGAGAGCCGGAGGACAGAATGTCAGGAAGTCAGCTCCCATGAAAGGCAATGGGTCGCCACCATGCCTGTATAAGGCCAGATGACTGGCCAGAGCTGTGTGTGTCTGCGTCTGTGTCTGTGTGAGTGTGTGTGGGGGTTTTTATGTTTATCTACGGACGTTTGAGTAAATTTACTTACCGCTGTGTGTTCTCTTTGGTTTTGACCATGTGTGTTTGCGTACATGCGCTCCCTTGAGTGTGTCATGTCAGCATGTGTGTGTATTTTTGTGTGACTGCAGCCCAGCAGCAGGCTGACGTGTGCCGTGCTGCCACAGGGACCAAAGGGGTCTGCTCTCCCTCAGCTAATCCAAACAAAGCCCAGGCTGAGCCAGAATGAGGAATGTCTGCACTGTTGGTCAGAGACACAAAGGGTCAAGCAGGATGAGTGTGGAGAGAGAGCTTCAATGTGTTTGTTTGTCTGCGTGTACATTTGAGCAAGACACATAGACCTGCTTTCTGCTTTGTCCTTGCATCATCTTCATGTGTTTGAGGGGTAGACGTGCATTTGTGTATGCAGGCTCAGTATTCTCAGCGCGCACTGGAGTCGAAGCCTCGTGTTAACCGTGCAGGAGCCTCGTGTTGGGCGGGCTATTCTTATCCCCAGACTTACCTGATTGCCATGTATAGTCACAGAGAGATGATAAATTCACCCTTGCTGGAACATATTCAGTCTGCTGCAGAATCAGACACAGGGGAGTCGAGTGGTGAGAAAACTCTTCTTCCCTCACCCATGCAAACACTAAAGGACACACTATTACAACATTAATACAACAATATTCCGCAATGAGATTTTTCTTCATATGTTTATCTAAGTCCAAGTGCTTCTTCCATAACACTTAAGTCTGTTGATAAAAACAACTCATGTCATTTCCTGAAAAAGGAAACCTGATATATATATTTATTCCTGTTAGATTCCTCTTAAATTTGCTCAACACATTCCTCTCTAACTCTTTCCTCGGATTCCTGTTGCATTTCAAAACTTTTACCGTTGACAGTGGATCTGCACTTTCTTTGGATTGACTGGTGAAATACAGTTGAGGTTTGGAAAATTGACTGTTTGCTCAGCCAGATGGATCATTAGCTTCTTGTCATCAGCAAGGCTATTGGATGTCATGGATTTTCCAGAGAACTAACAGGGCACTGTGAACACACATGAGGTTTGTATTAACAGGCAACTTACTCTGGTGAAGATGGCAAAAAGTGTGACAGCGCACTGCAACTCTGCCTGTATCCACATCGGCAAAATAACCTCTTTTGACAAAGCGATGTATTTAAAAACGAAAGAAAAACAACTCAATTTGGAAATGTTAAAGGTAGGGTAGGCAGGATCTGAGAAAGTGACAGTTTTTGGGAGAAATCTTGAATGTAAACACTACCCCTCCCAACCAGTTTTCCCCTCAGCTCCTCCTCTCCCCTCCCTCTCTGCTCCAGCAAAACAGACGCTCCTGCTCGCTCATATCGTTCCAATTAAAGTCAGATATAATGCAGATAAATCCTTCAGATAAATACAAATGGGGCTCAGTCAACGTGAAAGTAAAAAGCATTGATGCTTCTGTAGATGCCAACAGACTACCAACAAACACAACGTTTGCAGGACTTCCACAACTAGGATAAAGTGACACACTCCAGGACCCGAGGTAAACAGTTTAGCAGCGCTACAACACGCAGCAGTTCCCGTTTGACAAGAAACACTTCTGTTACAGACACTTGGCTTACTTTGTTTGTTACTTGTCCAACAGGAAGGTTACAGGGTCCTTAAGATCCCTCATGGTCACCCATCGTTTATGCTGATGTTGACCCAGCTTTTTAGCTTTTGTACAATCTACCTCAGTTTTAAGCACCCATTATTCCGCCAGAGTCTCCGGTATTTACTTCATTTTATCGCTTGTGTTTTCCGTTTCAACTGTCAAATAGCTTTTGACTGATATTAAAAGTTTTTTTGTACATACACCAAAAAAAAAGATGCTTCCTTAACCGAATCCTGCCTACCTGACCTTTAAGCAATGTATTTAAAAAGGAAAGAAAAACATCACAGAGTGAAAATATGAAATTTGAATAATGATGTTGAGATTGATTTTATAGCTGTTCACCTCCAAAGAACTGCTTCCCCATGTCCTGTTTGTGAGCAAACACAAAGGAGCTCACTTTACTGCAGTGTGCCTGCAGCACCGCTGTGGTCAAGAGGCTATTGTTTAGCCAGTAGTCTGGCTCAAGTGGAGACACCCATCACACACATTAGTGTCACTGTGGTCAAATGAGAGAAAGAGGTTGGCTGGGGGTTTGGCATGTGATACGATACAGTGTGTGTACGTGCGCACGATGAGGGTTCGGAGCCAGGGGATTACAAGACAATGGCAAGATAACAATGAAGACACAATCCCTCTCTCTCTCATCCCGTTCATATCTTGTTTTGTTTGTTTACTTTTTGTTTTTTTGTTTTGAAACCGTTAAATGGATTAGTTCGCTGTTCGGTTATGAATTGTGAAAGAGATGGTTGTCACAGATGTCAGTCTTCTTTTAATTTTGGCTCATAATGTCACTCGTGCCCTTTTGGTATTGTCAAGCTATACACTGTATGTGTGTACATGCGTGTGTGTTTGTGTGTGAGAAAGAGGAGCAAAGGAGCAAATGTGTGTGTCTCTGATTAGTCTGCATGTGTCCCCAGAGCCCTTCAGCCATGGACTTAAGAGCAGCTGTGACTGGTTTGACCCCTGACCTCTGAATATTTTACTCCCAGGGTACATCCTAGGATACTGCCTTTGCTTTTGCAGGCTGATATTTTGTCTTGTCTGCATTGGGGACAAAGTGCATCATGTATATTTGCTATTTATAGAGGCAGCTGTGGCTCAAACGTAGAATCAGTGATCTCTCAATCTGGGTACCTGTGTTCACCGGAGTGTTGTTAGGAAAGATCCAGATATAAGAAGCGGAGAAATAATTAATACTTATTGAAATTTAGCATAAAATCTGCTGCTGCCAGTGTGTGAATTTGATGTGAATGTGGGAATGTGGGGTGTAAAAACATTCTGAGTGGTCAGAGAGACTAGAAAAGTGCCTTATAAGAATAATCCATTTACCATTCTTTATTGTCCCATACACTATTATTTGTCTTGCTCCCCTGAAACACTGTGGGACTCTAGGTATAAAACTTTGCAATCCATCAGCGGCTCTGGAGAAAGACTTTTATGTGTGTTGAATAATGAAAACAGTTTTTGTTTTGGCACTGAAAAATAAACTTTTACCTTCTGTGCACTTTCTTTCACACTTCATTGTGTAGATTCTTGGCAGTAATGAAACAATGCAGCAGCGGAGCAGTCCATTTACGGTGGGGATCGCTCCATTTGCAATGGCACATTTTCAAACACTTTAACTATTTGGCGCGGGGTCTTGCGCACCGTGCCATAGCTCGGTCCCCAAACTGGAACTAGTTAGAATACGATGATGTGTATAATATGTAAACCTCCTCTCGTCCATCTGTAGCTCCCAGCCACAAAGTTACACTGCCATTTCACAAGCAGGCCAATTAAAAGCCAGTGACATTCAGGTACGGGAGACAGAGTGACATTAAAACTAATTCCTGCTAAAACCCAGTGACATTACAGCAACTGTCGCCCAAGTGGAGTGCAGGCATTCACTGACCATTTTTAATCTACTGCGTTCTTTAGTGAAGAATGCAGTACTTTGTAGGGAAATTGCCGTCGGCACTCTATGCAGCCCTTCAAATGTCATTAGGCATTTTTCTCTGAGCTTTTAGCGGTTGAGATGATCTACGTATACTGTACAGTGTAGCTGCGGGGATTGAAAGGGAGGGCCGCAGCCTCCCTCTACCCGTGATCAGAATCTAAATCACCTTTATTACTGAAGACATTAACATGTTGGATGCATTTGTGATCCTAACACTTTCTGCATACACAATCTGAACCGGCACCTGGTTATGCTACTTTTAACCTCATTACTTACTGATATGCATGCTGCGCTTGAGTTAAGGGAATTGTTACTGTGGTGACGGGAATACATTAACTATTCAGAATAGATCTGCTATGAGAAAAGGGAGAAAAAGGGGAGTCCCCCCCCCCACCTATTCTGCCGTCCTATCCTCGCTCTCGTGCTCATGCAGATGTTATTCCCACCCCTCCTCCGTTTTGCATTAGTGTGAGATAGGAGCAAGGCCGTACTAAAGGACATCTCAGGGACGAAGGACATCGGGGTTTGAAGGTCGTACCATGGAGTCGGTAGCACATTGCTTAGGGCAGCATTACTCCCTCACTCAATTGTGCATGCATGTGTGTGTGTGTTTATGAATCTGCTAGGTGTGCATTCAGGTCGTGTGAGAGCGTGTGTAAGATGTCTCTTTGTGTGTGTTTGCACAAATTAATTAGGTATGGATGTTGTATTCAGTGAGTTTATGGGAAGAGAAGAGGACATTCTGTATATTCACTGGATATGCGCTTGCCCTCAAAGACCTCGCTCCAGGCTAAACTCCTCTGCTCATTAAAGCATACAGGAGAAGTCTTATTCCCCATCACTCCCGCACAGAGAGTCCTAATCAGCATACGGAGCAGCCCTGATAGCACTGCTTACACACCAAATGAACATCTGCATTTGTCCAGTCCAGCAGATCACACTCTAGTGCGCTTATATCCAAGTAGGATATGCGGACACACCCAGTGTAAGGTGATGAGTATGGACATAAGCGTGATCTCAGGTTAAACAGAAACCCAGTTCTCCCACACTGACCTCCTCTATCTCCTATTAGCCGGGCTTTTCATGCAGAGCCACAAGTGTCACATCACATCACTGGGAGGCATCACTAATAGAAATATTCATATGGAGAGGATGAGAGAGAAAAGGCTTTTTTTTTCACTCCCTTTCTCTCATTTTCCCCTCAGCAAACAGATTAGTACCTAATCCGCCCGGGATGAGGGGAGATAAATTGTTCCTGATTGGCTACATTGGGATAAATAAACACATGTCTGTTGCAAATGGATCCACACTGCAGCCGGCAATTTTTATCAAGCTATTTTCTCTCATGTTCAGTTAAAAAATTGTTCTTTCTTAGAGAAAATTGAATTCTGCCAGTGGGATAACACCGCTTGTTTTACAATGCAGCTGCTTTTAGCCGAGGAATTTCCTCTGTGCACTCTAATACAGAGGAAAAGTAAAAGCTCCGAGCTAACAGAAATCTTCTGGAAGGAAATTTGCGATGCAGGATGCAATTTTAGTTTCCTCATTCTGTGCAACATTAGATTTCTATTAATCCTTATCTTTAAATCCTTGTTTCAGTATCTGTTTAGGTTTTCAAGTAAGCCGTATAGTTCAGACCGGACACCAGCAGCTTCGGTTATCCTCTTTGATTTTTCTCTTGATGATTTTCAGTGGCCTTGGATTTAACTAGAGTGCAACGCCACTTTGATCTAAGCTGGAATCTTTTAACATAAACCCAGATACCTCTTCACTTGGAATTAGCAGGCAGGGATGTAGTGGGCCAGCATGTGGCACATAGGAGCAAGGCTGACTTGTCTGTTCAGTTTCTTCTCCTGGACTCAGGAGAGAACATTTTCATCGTGCTGGCATTGGTCCAGCCATGCATGGCACAGACATTACGTACTCTTGGCTGAGCAGGCGCCACGCGGGGACAGAAAGTGTGCTGTTACAGCAATAACTCTTTGTGTGTGTGTGTGTGTGTGTATGTGTGTGTTTCTTTATGAGGTGTGATGTACAGCTAGCCAGAGAGATAAGAGAGATGTAAGATAGATGACGGCGTTGTTGATGATAATGATGGTGATGGGGCAGGGGAGCTGGTGCTTGCAGTAACCTCTCTACCTTTCAGCTCTTGAGACAGGATGCAGAATGTGTTTTAAAACCCATAGACAGAGCAATTCACCCAAGAGATCACTTTGAGGGGATGTTGTGTGGCAAAACGGAACATTTCCTCTGGAGCAAGGAATCACATCCAGGCAGGGAAGTTGTCTTTTTTTAACACTCTCCCTCAAAGGCTCCCAGGTAAGCCAGCGGGATTAGCACTTTTTCATTTTATTTAATCATGCGTGAAAGCTTCACCGCTAATCTTGGATATTGTCAAGTAAGATTTGATGTCCACACCTGCTTCCTTTAGCCTTGCTGTAAGAGAGATTTTCCCAATTTTAGCTCAGGGATAACTTGGCGTAACATCCCAGCCGTTCCATCATAATAAGTTCTGCTACAATAACGCTAAAGCTTTTGATAAATGCAACATCCCAGAGCCCTCTACCCCGACCAGAAGTTTACATCTGTTGCTTTTTGTTCATGTGAGAAAAGAGTCAGACTATTTATAAGTCACCTGATGTTGGTCAAGTAGATAACAATATCCAGCACTAGTATTTCCACAGAAAGTGTTACACTGAGAATAGGGCTGGGCAAAACGAAATTTACGACAAAGACCAACGTCATTGTGCCCATATCGGTATATTCAGCATCAAAACAATAAATAAATCGAAGTTGGTTTTGGATGTGTGTAGGTAGGCTATGGTCTCATGTCCCTTTAAGACGCTGTCCTACGTCGGAGATGTGACTCCACCCCATCCAGTCCGTAACAAAGAGGGAAAGACAGGTGAGGAGATGGAGGACGGTCCAAAAGTTGTAGCAGCTGGAGCGTTGGCTGAAGTAGACAAAGTTAATGTAGGAGGGGGTGAGCAGCTTGTGGAGTAGTTATCGTCCATTTATCATTATCAAGGTGAACTGCTCAATATATCGTGATATTGATTCGAGGCCATATAACCCAACCCTAACTGAGACTCTGAAATCAACTAGCTTAGCAATGTATGGGCGTATACACTTGCAATGGTAGATGTAAATATTTTAAATCGAATTTGCCAGCTCACGAATTACAGAGAGAGAAGTATCTGAAACACAGCAAAACTTTACCATTCTATTGATTTTTTCTTTGTGTGGGTTAAATGGTGGAGAAGGCGTAGGGTAAAAGAATTGCTTCCTCCAGCGAGCAGAAGGTTCTCAGTGGCACGCCGCATAAACCTTCCACTGGTCAGAGGCTGTTTTTAACCTCAGCGTGGGATCCAAAATGTCAAAAAGCTGAACGTCTTTCATTAATCTCACGACAAAAGCTCCTTGCATCAGCACAACCTGCAGAGTGCCGGCAGAGTTAGAGTAATATCCCAAACTTTCAGAACAGGAAAGAAAAAATAAAAAATCGCCTGGCTGGGCTGCTCCCACCTTTCTTACATCACACTGACTACACTGTTTTTCTCTTGCACCTTGTTCTTTTTTTAATTAGGAGGGAAATACTGCCCGAGGACTGATGCATAAGGGACAAAGCACTTAGCATGTCTGGCCCTAACCGAGATTCTACATCCTGGTTCCTAAAATAAATCCATTTATTGCTCCCTCCTGGGTATGCTTTCTCATGCCTAAAAGGAGCACGATGTTGATTATAGCTTTAGCTGCCACACTCTGTAGACTACCCAAGCTTAAGCTGTGTGGCCAAATTTAAATGAAAGGACTGTGGGACATGAATTTGCATAATACACACATGGAGAAAAAAGAGGGAGCCCGAAGGTAGAGCCTGAGATGAAATGACTGCTCTTTCTGTGAAGCAAAAATTAAAGTCCCTTCTCCTCTAAACAAAAAATGAAAAATAAATAATCCCCAGCCCCACATAAAGATGCTATCATCTGTTAAATTATTGCTTCATCCCAATGACATATCCTCAGATACACCTCATACACATTCATCCTAATGTTTAATTCCCTTGAAAGTTGAGCACGGGGCATGTTTTCCTTTCTCCCCGCTTCCTTTCTCTCCATCTCCCTGTGGCGATGTCACAGGGGATTAAGTCACCGAGGCCGAGGGACTTGTTTATGATTCATCTGGAGGGAGGCTGCAGCCGGTAGCAGTGCCCACAGGGCAGGCGGCTAGCAGGCTTCTTCCTCCGCTTCCTCGCTCTCCTGTATGCTAACAGGACGCCCGCTGAACACCCAAAGTGTCTAATGGAACTCGTAGAGACAACATGGAGGGAAAATTCTTGTAAAGCGGGATTACACACTTCAGGATGACGTAGATCCTGCACCATGGTGTGATATTGAAATTTTATGAGGATGCTATTTTGGAGAGGAGATGGAGCATAAATTAATCAGTGTTGAAGTGCGATTGTGCTTATGGTAGACAGTATTTAAGGTCATATTTTGATTATCATTTCACCATTGAATCATATGGCAATAATGATAAATTCATGTGTTTTTGAGTGTTCCTCCACAGAGCCTCCCAGACACTGAGAACTTCCCACAGCATGTCAACCACTTTATGAAGTATAAATCAGAGGGAAAATAATGATGTGAAATTGATTTTATAAGACATGATGTAAAGCAATGACATATTTGTTGTACCCCTATTTTTGAGGGGAATATTTTCACCTTTCATCATGTCAGACTAGGACACCTATAGAGTAGCTTTGCATGAGCTGCAGCCTTAAGTACTCCTCATCATCTTATACTGATATCCATAAAAACTCTCATTTCTGCACCGTTCACCCTCTGCCCAAAATGCTTTGTTCTGGCTGCTTCTGCATTAATACAGAATTTTACACAGTGGGTGTTACTTTATACACAGCTTTGAAACCAGGAAACTATCACATAATATGCAAGAATAGAGGTTATGCTTCTATCAGGATGTGACGCAGAACAGCTGCACCGATGAAAGCTATGCTTAACTACACACATGCAGTTCGTTTACTAAACTCCTCTCACACTCAGCACCTACAGCACCTACTGAATTGCTTGTGCACTTTGTAAATATTTCTCTTATACTTCTATACGTCTACTCTGCCCTCACTATATGTCGGCTCTATGTAGCATGACAGATAACTAACAATAGATAATAAAAAGAAAACTCAGAAGTCTTGATTCGGATTATTTGTTCTTTTGTTCTTCTTTTTCCTCAGATTTTTTTTGCCAGCTTTCTTCCGATTAGTCTTTTTTGTAAGACTGAAATTACAAATAAAAAAGAAACATTACAAAATGTAACGTCTGCAGTCCCTTGAAAACAACAAATATAAAGTAAGACACTTTCATATATATAAACCAATAGATGTACATGAACCTGTATGAGGTAAAGCGCCACGCCCCTCTGCTGGGCAGATTAAATGCTATGTCGGCAGAACAAAAACGCGATGACCCCGAGTTTAACCCATAAAATTGATGGTCAGAAACGTGATATACCGTACAACATAAAGTAAATGGATACATGGTAAATTGACAATAATGCTGTAGTGTTTTAACTTGGACAGATTTTACCTGGGGCTGTACAGAAGCAGATGTGCATTTTGTGATTTTTGTGTTGAAATGGCCAGAGTCGGTCCGTCTCTCAAAACGGTCCAACTAGGAACTTACTCAAAAACGCTCGAAGGCGGAACAACGTCCTTAATATTATTTGTATCCTTATTTTATTGTACTCTCAGTACTTATTGCGTGTTTTAGCTGCACTCCTTTGAGTCGAGCGGTCCTCTCATCCAGGGCATTTCATTGCACTGTTGACCTTGATTAACACACACATGACAAACAAATCTTGAAAAATCTTACAGAAAACATCTGAAATTAGCAGTTAGCCCCACATGTTTGTTCCCTTTTTAGCAACATTTGCATACGCTAGCTATTATTACATTACCTGCTGCTATAGGTGTCAGTGCCAGTTGAGACACAAAACCAGCTTGCACGACCCTTTGTTGACAAAGGAGTTCCAAGTGAAGTGGCTGGCGGATGCCCAAAACACTTAACAGGCAACTTTCGAAGACAAATTGAATCAACAAAGTATAGAGCAGAGGAAGAAGCTGGTTAGAGATGCAAACTTTCTGGCCATCATAAGGAAAGTGGGATTTTCCTGTAGCATTGTCTTAATAGGATGGTGCAACATAGCATCAGGTTAGGGCCATGTCTTGAAATGAGAATGAAAATATCCACCATTATAACATCACGTGCATATATTAACTTTGGATTGACATAATATGTCACCTTCAAATTTAAAAGTTTCTGTACTTTTTGAGTGAACTACCTACATCTAAAGTTTCTTTTGCCACTTTGATGGTATTTGAGTCTCTTTCAACCTCGTCAGAGCTAACAGTACATTAGGTTTTTAATGACCTGTTGGAGTTGATTAAGTGCAACAGTGTGCGTGTGCATTGTGGTGAGGCATGCTTTTATGAAGGCGTCTCACAGTAGGTAAAACACAGAGGGTGTTAGAGGTTAGTTTGAAGCATATGTTCAACCACAGAACAGGCTAATCTCATGCCAGGTTTTTTTTTTTTGAGTCTCCCATTATAACCAGTCTTCTTTAGTCGTCATAATGGCTTGTTATTAGTGACAAACTAGCCTTGAACATTGTAATTCACCATCACAGCTCAGGTGTCAGGGGAACTAGCGGCTGATCAGAGGGACTTACTGTCTTCTTTTAATTGCTCTTTTAATTAACTCCTGTCTAGCCGTGGTCTTGTCAGAGTATGCCCGAGCATGCCATTTAGCAAAAGGTAATGAGATTAACCTCTCGTTGACCAAGCAAATGTAGATTAAACATTACGGCCAAATGAAATAAGCTGGGTTTTGTTTACTCATGTGTACAGGCAGGCGGCAGGCAGGCGAGCCACAACTCTCCCAGCGGTAACATAGCTAAAATGTCAGGGGGGGATAGAGAAGAGAGTGTTTGGCATTGAGTGGCGAGTGTGGCCGACCAGCTGCATGGGGAAGGGGAAGGGAGAGCGGCTAGCACTGGAAAAAAGTACGGAATTCTCCCACTTTGTCTCACTATCTCAGGAGAGGTGACTGCAGACAGTCGATGAAAAGCAGCTGCTAATCAGTCAGTCGCACTCACACATGTGCTAAGCGTCGCAAAAAAACACAGACACACATACATACAGCGCTCTAAATCTCTCTCCTATCCTTCTCTTTGGCTCTCTCGCTGTCACACCGAACATATTCACTCAGAGAGAACGCAAATGACACCCTCTTCCTCTTTCCACACACATGCATACAATGACATGACCTCCAGCACCCTCGTTGAGTGAGCACACTAACTGATCAAGGCAGGAGAAAACAACACGTGGCATGTTAAGCTGAGTTTTTTTTCCCTATCCTTTCAGTCCCAGTAAATTCTTATCCAAAGTTTCCTGTATTGCTCAACACTGACTGTAATGTCTGTGGACACTAGCATGAGCATTATGCCTCAGAGATCTTGAAAACAGAGTCATATCCTCTAAGTATTAAGGATTTATCCCTGACATGCAGGATGCACCCTGATACTACACACGACTACACACTGGACCGTTTTAAAGGCCACTTGATGCACAATAAGATCCGTAATGGTCTAAGAAAACATGGTGCTATCTCAGAAAAGCATTACTTAATAAAGTCTTATTCTAAGAGGTTTCTTGGCATCAAAATAGGCCAGACAATGTAAATATAAGAAAAAACTAAAGGTTATGTATCTATAATTCAAACATGCAATCATTTCTTGGACCACATATAGATATTCGAGCCAGTGCTCATACAGTATCAGGGTTTTGTTTTTACAATGATCCATATCTCTATCCAAGAAATGTCTGACACTTATCATTTTTTGCTGCACGATTCTTGCAGTTTGGCCTCATTTTTTTGGCACATCAGTTAACAGATTCCACCCCAATGGCCTACTTTTTTTACCTCCTCAGCTTCTGTACCCCCCACAAAACAGCACAATGCAAAGTGACAGATTCCTCCTTGTGCTGAGGCAGAATCATATTTTATTAAACTCATCTTCAAATAAGAGGATTTCATCTCCCGGAATTAAGTCACCGACTGCTTTGTATTGGAAGCTTCTATTAGGGCGGTGTGTGCAAATTGCGAAAGCTTTAGTTTCGACCTCCGCCCTGTTTCCTCCTCGTCCAAAGTGTCACTGGGAGCGAGTGTCCTTCTCCGAGCTGGAATAAGCTGCCTGGGCCCAGTCTGTGCTGCACCTTGTTTTAATCAGGCTTTGGGGAGTGAAATATGGGCCTGTGGAGCAGGCTGTACCCGAGCTCCATTCATCTGGTTTCAATCTTCTCTTCGCCCCCGGATGTGGCCGCGTGGGCATTCCTTTTCTAGACATTTGGGGGAGGGTGAGAAGAAGTGGTGCTGAGCAGCTCAAAGGGCAGGCATATTAGTTTGGAGGAGTTTGCATTCATGTGTGTTTTTTATATCACTTTTACAAGCCTGCAGTGGTTAGACAAGTTCTTACTGAGTTTTCTAGACACTAAGGCTTATGTAGTATGCTTGTCTCATGGAAAAAGACCATCAGTATAACATACAATTTATTATTTACTCTGTTTTGGCAAATCATTGAAGTGGTTTTTGCTTTATTTTTTTAGATCAATATCACTGCATTTCAGGCTTGTGCTGTATGGAATATATAAGCGTAATTTAATGCAGCCCAATAGTAGTGTTGGACGGTATGACGTATATACCGTGTGATGGTATGAAAGTGTCTACCGGTAGAAATGTTGGTATACCGTTTATACTGGAGAGAGAGAGCAGATGTCTGCAGCATCTCTCTGATTCAGTGAGTAGTTGTCTGCACTTGCTAACAGGAAACCCAGAGCTCATCTGTTTGGATGCATTTCCTTATGTTCACCAGCATGTTGTGCGGAGTTTGTTCGCTCCGTTTGATTGGTCAGGTTTGGGTGTGCTCCCTATAATCACCAGCATGTCCAGCAGACTGCTTGGCATAGTTTCGACGAAGAAGAAACAGCTTTACTGGTAATGGTCATGGCGGACACAGAGATTAGTGGCAGTACCGAGCAAACCAAGGCAGCCCAATCCACCCCACACGAGGAGGAGGAACTTGTTCCGGAAAAGGGTGCGAGTCACGACATCAGTTGTCTGTAGATTCTTTGGATTTAGAAAATTTGACAATGATCAAAAAACAATACTATGCAAAGAGTGTTGCATGGCTGTCGTTGCTGGAGGTGGAAACACCAGCAACCTCTTTCACCACCTAAAGATGAAACACGCCAAGCTCTATTATGAGAGCCAACAGGTGCGTGGCGCACCCAGTGTATCAAAAACTAAAGTTGTAGCAGCTCCTCTCATACAAAAGAGCTTGGCAGAGTCTTTCACCAAGGGTATGCTATATGATGAAAAAATGGCCAGACTGGTCTGTCATTTTGTTTGCATTTGTATAAAAATCTGAGTTTATAAATAAAAGGAAAATGAACAAATGTGACAGGACGGTTATTATTAAGCCATTAACTGAATTTACAGGGGGGAAAAACATACCGTGATATATACCATTACTGTGTTGTGAAATTACTCATACCGTGATGTAAGATTTTACTCATAATGCCCAACACTACCCTATAGCAAACAGCAACCTCTGCACTGTTGTTGTGTTGCATTTATGTGTGTGGCTGCAGCAGGTGATTAAGGTTAGTGTTCTGCATTAATTGGCTTAGCTAATCAAAAGGACAGATGGTAGGTTAGTCCATTAGCTCGCCTAAATGAGCCTAAGTGAGGCCTTTTCCTGGACGCCTTGCAGCCCCTGTTGACCTCCCTGGCCATTGTGCAGCCACCACTCTGCCTCTGTCAGCTGCCTCAGCAGTCAACACCTTTCATGCTGCTGCCAAAACAGACGTGGCATCTGCTCACCTCTGGGGAAAAGGCAGCCATCGCCATGTCCTTCCTAGTCACGGGCCCGTACAGATAGGTTACCTCTTTGTCCTTTGCAGCTGCAGCTACTTGAGCAGCGGTAACAATATCATCCCCTCATTTGTGTGCGAGGCGATCCCGGCTTTGTTATTTTCCGCCTTACTGATCAGGTAAAATTATATGTCAGATGCATACCATAAGACTGGCGACAGCTCTAATATGTCATTGACACGGTGTACTAGTGCTGGGCGGATGGAGAAGGGGAGTTAGCCTCCCGTCTGTTTTCAATTAGCTCATGAAATGTACAACATGGGAACTGCTCTGTTGCATTCAGTTCCTATTCGCATGTGGATCCAGCAAAGTAAATAAGTAGAGAGAGTGTGGCTGTGTCTAACCCCATGTGAACCTTGTCAAATACTTGCAGTGACCTAAATAATGGAATTAGATTTATGTGTGCAAAAAGGCAAGGGGGAAGAAAGAGAGGGATGTGAGGAGTGTCCAGACTCCAAACAGTCTCTTGACTATGAGCTCCAAAATGTACTGCTTACATAGCCAGATTTGGGTTATCTTACAGTGCCTCTAAAGCTGGGCTTTAGTGCTGCTCCAAATATAGCACCAGCTCTAGGCTTGTTTCCCTCACATTTCTCTTGTTTGCCACGTGCAGCCCAACTTAACCATATAGCCCACTGTGGCTTTTATTGTTTCCCACTACTTATTAACTGCTTCTTTGAAACACCATTGGAGTATTGAATTGCATTTAATAAAAGTCAAGAGTCCAGTACTTTATAGTGCATGAGGCAGATAGTATTTGAAGTTTTCATCGGTCTCACACTATTGTGTAGCATCCATCATCAGGAAGAGCCGAGGCAGCGATACATTCCACTTCCTGTGGTCATACACCTAGTCAGCTCTATTTTCAACCTAATGGACATAAAAAATTGCAGATTGCAGCAAAATGGACTTGGCAGCACAAAAGCTTATTAAGTATTGATCCGCTGAGGTCAGTGCCCATGTCCAGCCACTCCAACAATGTGAGAGGAGTTCGTTCGTATGCTTGCCAGCCACAAATTGAGATTAGACCACATAAATAACAGGGGGAAATCGAGGAGCAGTTTGTATCCTGGAGAGACGGAGAACAGTGCTCATGTTTGCATGATGGGCTGAAAAAAGCAGCAGGTGAAAAAAAGCTGTTTATATGTGCACTGTGGGCATTGTGGCTGTTAGTATCATGGCTAGCCCATCTGTGCAAAATCTAGCAGTGCTTACTGTAGCTGATATGATATCATCCCATACCAATGCCCAACAGCAAAGCCGTAAGATAATCAGCAGCAGGTGAACCTGTCTCCTGTGCTGTTTTAATGAAAACAGACCATTGTGTCTCTCCGCTGCACCATCTGTCAGGCATGCAGGGTAAAATGAGGCTTAAACGAAGCAAAGTTCAGCCTTTGACTGAAGAGTCTCAACTATGGTGTGTGCGTGTGTGTGTGTGTACCTTACCTGGAAATCTCAGTTTTGGATTTTTCCCTCTCTTTTATGCAAATCCTTGCCAATGAAAATATCGTAATGCCAAACAGACCAAGAAATAAGCTCAGCCGTAGGAAAGAAGTTTGTTGAAAAAGGGAGAAATCTGTAAAGTGTTTTCAAGAGGAAGGAAGGGAGGGACAGTTCAGTGTGAAGGAAACTAAATTTAATTCCTCTCAAAGCAAATATAATTTCTCCAGATGGATTCAGATTTGTTTTCTTTGCTCTGCCCAAATTGCTAACTTATACCACTGTAAAACCAGGCGATCACTTTCTCTTCTTTCTTAGTAAAACTCGGTTTTGCAAAATCAGAAGTGCTTCAACTTGGACTGAAACACTCCTTGTGTATGTATCAATAGATCAGATGGTTCAGGGTGTCCTCTATTAAAAATGTAAGACCACTCTTATATAGTTTAGTCCTTGAGCAAGTGCTGCAATGTGCCCTTGCAAAAACATACATAAACACAGAGATTTATCGAGTCTATAAGATGTTGATTCTCTCTTATTTCTACTGCGAGCATCTCTGTAGTCCAAGGTTTGGAGACGGTCATGCAGAACAAAGTGAGTGTGCGCACATGCTGGTCTGTTTAGACTTTGCCAGATGTTGGGAGGATCTGTTGCTGCAGCAAAATAGAGAGGTCAGTGTCCAAGCCCTACTTAACTGAAGCGTGTTATCTGGTGCAAAACAGACCATTTGACATTTGAACCCTGTTCAGTCAGAAGACATTAAGGAGAGGAAAAAAAACGTCTCAAATGTTTTATTTTTTAAGCTGAATTTAACCCTGTAATATTTCAAGCTTCTAGAGATTTTTCTTTAAGTCAAGCTGAAGTCAGCAAGACGCATTACTGTAATTAACATTTGCAAAAAGGTCCATCCATTTTTGACATGATGAATTGGTTTTTAATTTAAAGAAAAAAATACTTCCAGCCAATGATAGTCTCCTTTTCTGAACTTTAGACAAGTTTTCTGCTTGTCACTGTTTCCACTTGGTTACGTGTCAAGCTGTAGTTAGAAAATCCTTGCAGGATGGAAAGTATTACAAGTCAAACTGTCTAATTATGTTCATCATCCCAGTGTTTTCTGTCACCCTGTATATATTTTACATTTTGGAGTATAAGTATAAATAAGCCATCACAAATCCAACAGGATGAACTTCTGCAAAGATTATACACTTTAACCTCCTCTGCACAACTTAAAGTGTGCAAGTTCGTGAATAACTTATAGCCAAATTGTTGCTGTTTTTGAGAAAACCAATGTTCCCTGGATCATTTCAGGCATAAATCAGAAGATTTATGGGGTAGCCAACCCTTCTTGAACAGCTACACCCATGAGTATGGGTGATGCCACCAGATGCAGCCTGATACGATGTGTATAGCATTGTAAGCAGGTTTTACTGACTTTCCTTCCCTTGGGGATTGGTGTAATTAGCTTTTCTCCATCTCCTCCCTTCTTCCTTATTTTGCGAAGGGAAAATGCTTAATACTTTGGGGGAATTAAAAGTGCTTGTCGTGAAACTAATTTTGGATCTATTTTGGGGATCTGTCAGCGGGATGGCATCCTTATTGCTCGACTTGACAGCATTGACGAGGCCATGAAAGGGATGCTAATGATTGCAATAGGCGATGCACGAGGTGAGCGGTTACCACAGGGCCTTACATTATTCAGACCTTAGTGGTATTTCATCTTCCTCCTCCCATTCCCACCGGTCCTTCCCCTTCTCCCACTTCTGCCTCGGTTCAAGGGAGTAAGGTGGAAACGATTCCATCCCTCTTTTCCTTCTGAAACCCACCCATTAAAGCTGCAGCCAGACTTCTTAGAAACCTCTCATCAAAGATGAACAAGCTCAGGGTGCCCCTCACTTTTAGATGTTTCCATCACAGGCTGCAGATGACTTAGTCATGTCGAAGTCCTCATGATGCGCCAAATACTGAAGACAGGGTGAAACTAAATGGCATCACACCGGTATGTGATGATCGCCTTCAAAAGTCAGTGCAGTTTTTCAGCAGATCTATAGGTAAGATGAAAGTCATTGTTTATTTTCTTCACCAGTAATCAAAAAGCTGCAAATCCTTGAGAGGATCTTATTAGAGCAGCCTGCGAATAAGAAATAAGGATACCTGTATTAGAAGTGCCAAATGCCTGTTTTCTGATCTTTTTTTAGACATTCCTGAATGTACACATTTATTATGGCTAAAAAAACGCTGTCATTGAAATTGTTTTATTTTAACACTCTGAGAGACTGTTGGTTAAGAAGTCCACACTTGTCTCCTAGACATAAACAAGCACTAAGTCAAGCAGAACAAAACTGTTTGCTCAATTGAGTGTTTGTCAGGTAGCTGTGGCGTTAGCAGTGGTGCAACTTGTGTGCATGTTTACATTCTACAGTCATTTGACACAGATACAGACACTACATGTCCAGCAGTCAGTTCTCTAAGAGTTTAAAGTAACATAATGAATGTTTATCATATATAATCTTGGATATTGAGGAAAGGCTGACAGCATGACATCTTTTAGGTTATATGATTGGCATTCCACACCTTACTATTTGCGCATTTGCGCATTGCAAGTCTAGGTATTGAACCTTCTATAACTATATGAAAACAACTGGTTTGTAATGCCTGTTAAGTGGTCTAATCCCAAAAACTTATCCTAAATGGTTATTGGTAGAAACTTGCAGACCAACATCAGAATCAACAAAAGTACCGAGTTGGTGCTGCTTCAGCACTATAACGGATTCTAAATATGTTATATAATGAAGACAATTTCAACTAATATCTCAAAGTGCTCCCTAAATAAATTTCACACACTGCTTTTAAGAGTTGTAACAATTGCAAGTTGAGTTAAGACACGGTTATCGTATTTTTCAACGGAAAAAAGACGTACATTCAGACACCAAGCAAGCGCTTATTAGCATCTAGCTCGTATTTGTTCCTTACTCATTTTACTTCTACTATGCACCTTGTTTAAAATGCCAACAAAACCTGTGTGTCAGCAGAAGGGAGCGCTGGTCGCTGGGTGTGAGGCAAGGGGGATTATGGGATTTTATCCCTTCAAAGAGTCAGCCTCCAGTAAAGGGGGAAAATACAGCCCCCTTTGATTTTCACAGAAGCAATATATTCATGAGTTGGACCTTGAAACTACAAGGAGACTAGTGTAGTGTTCCATATGCAAAACATGTGTTTTGATAGTGCTTGATAACTTGGTACATTTGAAGAGACTTACCCCCTAGAAGCTGTAATTAAAAAGGGGAGCTATGGCTGTGTGAATAAAGAACTCTCTCGCTGAGTGTGCATGGAAGTTGTTTCTGTGGGAACTTGATTTGAGCAACTAGAGACTACTGAAACTTCAGAAGGAGGACTTTTAAAGCACATCTGTATGAAAAAGATAACAGGAAAAGGCAAGGTGTAACTTCCTATCTGTGTATCTCTGAGCCACCCTGGTGGTATTTCGAGTATACACGATGTTTGGCCTTTGAATCGCCCATTTTTATTGACTGGGCAGACATAACCATTTCAACAGCATGCTGAGCTATGAGTATTTCACTGTTGTCTCATTAGGTCTGTGCTTTCCCTGCAGTTTAGCTAAAAACAAGCTTTGTGTCAGCAATAATAATCGAAGAATTGTGTTTTTACTTGCACTGTCAGAAGTTGTTCTTTACATACATAAGTCCTATAATTAGCAGATTTCTAATTATAACAAAAGAAAGCATGTGATACATGATAAGCCTGTAGAAAAACTAATCTAAGAAGATGATTGTAATTTTGTCTGCTAGATGAGGCAGTAACTGCTGCTTAAATGTGAAAAGAGACTGTATGTCTGATGCAACCATTATTCCAAAGCTGAGGTTTGTGTGCTGAGGCATTTTTTCCTGTCCACAAAACACAGTTCCTCATAACTCTGTAATGCAGAATGGCAGTGTGCAAGTGCCTTTGTGATAGAAAATGTGCTCACTAAAGAGTATGTCATGCACACCAGCAGTCATGCGTGCACATCAAGAAGTAAGGATGAACATGTATTCTACACACAGAATGTAGCATGAACGCACACTAAAGGAAATTGTCAGTAGTAATGAAACAGTGAAACCTCCAATCTTCCTCTCCTTTTGTGCATCAGCTAACCTGTGTCTAAAACCACCTTTATGGTGGATTAATCCATCCTCCACACCAGTGATTTACAGTGGGTGTTCAAAATAAGGCATTGCACATCCCAACACCCCTCCCTCAACCCATTTTTTCCTGTCCTTTCATTCCTCTCACCCTCTCGATCTCCCTCTGTCCCTTTCCTTTCTTTGATCTGCTGTGTGTTGAGAACCAGAGGTTATAAGCTTTGGACATCGCAAAGGCTCCAGCCAGGCCAATGTGCTGACTGAGGGGATACGGAGCTTGACTTTGGGCAGTGTGAAAGATCCGGGCCTGTCTTGTTTGTCTGTCTGTCCGTCTCACTGGCCACACTATAATAAGATTGTAGGGCTCTGTAAGGCGGATTTACTGGAGCACAACTCCCCCTAGGGCCTTGTCATAGAAATGGGTTCCTCCATATTTCACCCTAGTCTTCTCACTGGATTCCATTGTCAAAAGTGTCTTTCTTTCTTTCTGTCTCTCTCCAACTCATCCACTCTTAGAAAACCCCTGGTGTTAGCCCCCACTTGCTTTTGTGAAAGAAGTGGGAGCTTTAATAGGCTTTGTCCTGTGAGTTAAGATTGAACCTAGCAATAAATAGGAGCATATGCTGAGCCAAACTGAGCTGAGACAGAATACACAATATACAAGAAAGAGAGGGGGGTCAAGAGATGGAGGATTTGGTCTAGGACATGGTTTCACAAGTCCTCTCCACATTTTATTTCCCACTCAGCATGGCCATGTTTGTTTAGTTGGACTTTCCCATCTTCTTGTGGAATCTCTTAAAGACGTGCATAACCTGCCCAGCTCTGTTGCAAAAAATTGACCAAGGTGAAGCTATTACAGCTCCCTGTTATTGCTTTTACTGGCTTACCCTTACACATATTAATCCAAGGTCAAAATCCAATCCGTCTGACCTGGCAGATTTTCATACCAAATAACAGGATAGGTGTAATACTGCAGTTGCAGATGTTACACTTTGCTTCCCACATTCTTATCAGGAAGAATCGAGTAACACAATTTAGGCTTCTCTTAGAGTGGTTAAGTGTCTTTACCTTTCTGTTGGCAAGATTGCACTTGTGTGTCTGCCTTATTGACTGTACATAGTCTGCTGAATCATTACAGTTGCTTCTGCCCTGCTTTAAGTCTGTAATTGCTTATGTCTCACAACCCAATGACTCTTGCTTCCTTACTGTCTGAGTTTCCGGTGAGGAAATCCGATTTTCAAGCCTAGTCAGTATTTAAAACATGGTTGGTTTGATAATTTATTTCGTAAATCTACTTTGAATACTTAAGTAATGGTTGAGCTCCTTTTTCAAGACTTGGACCTACCAATGTTCTAGCATTTTCTTTGGTTTTATTGTCTCAAAAACTCTGAGAGACTACAGAACCTATTCTGTAGAAGTCTGACCAAATAGAAGGGTTGTATAGAGTGAGTCTGTTCAATCTGTTTGATTTCACCCAGGGAATAGGACTGAACGTATCATCTGAAAAGGCAAATTAAAGGCCTCTTTTTTTCTATTTGAGCTTTTTTCTCAGTAAAATAATGGGGGGGAAAGTTTCTAAATTTCTTAACTCTTCCAGAGAAGTGTCATTTTCTTTCCAAGCTTGGCCCAATTCTTTCACAATAGTTCAGAGCAGAGGCCTAAATGTTGCATAGTGAAACAGAATTTGCTCGTCCCAATGGCATGTTGGGAGTGTCTTTGATTGTTGCAATACTGTTTGTTATTGTAACAGAAACATGGTCTGATGTTGTTGTCCATGTGGAGGTCCACTTTGCTGGATTTTTGTATTTTCAGAGTACATTACTAATAACCAACTATCACAAAAACAGTGTCTAAAATGTGATGTAATGAACTGGAATTGTCATCATCGACTGTCTGTATACTTGTTGGACTAGCAGGATACTTCAGAGGTTGTGAGACTTAAACTTAATGAAGTTTGTACCACATGCAGAACCACATTCTCGGTTACATTTTGGAGCGACTCCAGCCCTATATTATCATTTTGTATTCATATTCTATTTCATACTGTGTACATTGCTACCGGAGGGTTGGATTTGGCTCTTACTGTGTGCATTGCTGCTGCAGAGATGAATTTGGTTGTGTATCATCGCTGATGTTGACACAAATGATGGGCTCCAAAAGTCCCAGCTGTGCACACTGTGCGGTGAATGAGGCCAATCCAAATGCAAGCACAAACTCATATCAAGGGGAGCTAATTTTGGGAGCACTGTGTCATCCATTCCACAGAAACAAAAGCCCTTCTGCAAGACCATAAATAACTTGGGAAGTATAGAGCAGGGGTTGTATACCAGTCAATTTCCATTATGAGTGGTCTGCTCACTCATTCTAGCAAACAAGAAAGACAAATGTCTTTCCGTCATAGATGCCACATATCAGCTGTGTATTTTTTTCTTCATGTGGAACACAGTTTACAACATTCAGATCCCCACTGTTAGAACACGAGGCACATTTCCCAGCAGTACCATCGTTGGTGATGTTATCATCACTGTTGGTTTAATTCAAAGTCATGAAGTAGAAAGTCTAGTTCTTTGTGTGGCAAAAACCTTTTTTTAAGCAGTCACCCTGTCTCTGTCTGTCTTTCATGTGCGCCCTTCAACTCATCAAGCCTAAAGTTGAAGTGGTGAGCAGTTACGTTAGAAACACGAGGAGGCAGGGAGCTCTTATCAAGGCTGCTACAAGAGTGCTGGGTTGAGTCCTGGGTTGATTGTGGGGGCACTGATTACGACCCTGGAGTGCTGAGAGACACTGGGTGCTGGTCTCCCAGCAGATTTCTATACCACCATCAGAAACTACATCTATACTTTACATCCTACAACCAACTTTACACATACACATAGTCTATCCAGTCTACCTCTTGGATATTCTTTACATTGCAAAGCCAGTCCATCCAAGCTGGTATCAGTGGGAAGTCCAAAAGATGAATGAGCCTACAAATGCTGCATTAAAAAGTCATAAACATGGATACCTACTGGGTCGCGGAGCTCCTCTGTAAAGAGAGGTGGCCCTTATTTTTCTGCTGACTAATGATTTGAACAGAGTAGGTGGTCAAACAGAGCAGAAGGACTTCAGCAATTTACCAGTCAGTCAGGCTGCCAAAGTGAACACTCTGCCAAGCTCAAAAAGCATTCTCCGGCCAATGGCAAATGCAATCCATGAAACTTTAACTTGATTGACGGCAAGTGGGGTTTATAGGGGAAGACTCATTAAATAGAGACAAAGCTTAAACCAAATTGCTGAAATCCAGCAGATGATGTCATCATAACGGGTGAAGAGCCTTTGCAGGAAGTAGTTTGTGTGAGGCCTCTCTTTGCCCCTGTGTACTGCATCAGCACTGACTCATTGGTTTCACAGCACAGAGCTGACATTTTGATTGGCTCAAAGATCACTTACGGGACAGGGTGTTGGCCCCTGTGAGGGCAGACGGGTGAACAAGTGGACAGGCGCCCAGTAAATGCTGATGCACTCATAGGCCACATTTGGCCTCTTGTGGAACATTTGACAGCACGCGCTGGTGTTTGGTGAGCACAAAAGCATTCTTTCACTGAGTAGTTTTGGCTTGAATCACACTCGATTACACATAACACCTGTAAGTCAACATAACTTTTGTGAAGATGCATGCGCAACATAATACCTTGTTTACTCAAACTGAAGCAATATTGATTTTCTACTCTATCATTGCAGTATGATAATGAAAAGAAGTAACAATATTTAGACAACCTCTTCATCTTCTGCAAGATCCCAAGCGGCCATATGCTGGCTCAATAACTTTATTTTAAGCCCTCAGATCCCTCAGAGCGATCAGCTCATTCGGCAATTAAATTAAAGGCAGGTAGTTAAGTTAAATGTTGTAGAGCCAAAAATATCTGTCACATTCAAGCGTGCAGGCTTAGTGGAGCTTTGCAGTATTGTACAGTCTTTCCACCAGGTGGAAGGAGTTGAATATCTCAGCAGATCACCGCCCCCTCCAGACACACACATACATAGGCACACACACACTAACACCATCCATAGCTGCTGCTTCCAGCAAACCCCCCTGACGCCTCTGGCTAATTCCACTCAAGCCCGCCGGGCTGTCCAGCATCCTCCAATAAATTAGCCTTGCTGCTCCCCCGCTGAGACACAGGCCCTGACAGTCTGGCCAGAACCCAAAGTCACTGGCTTGAGCACACACTCATAATTATTGCTACTTTTTACTGCAATCCAAAGTCGACGTTAAGTGGACTGTCGAATTTGTTAGCAAAAGTTGTTAGTAGTGTAAAACCCCAGATTGGTTTTGTCTACTTTGTCACACATGACTGTAGAGAAGAGTGCCTTGGTAATAGTACTGAATATGGATTTCTTCATCTGTTATTGTCAGTGTGGCCTGAAGTCTGCATTGCTTCTTGGTTGTCCTTACCCACCCCTCTCTTTTTATATCTTTTTGTATAACGGCCTATACGGCTACAGCTTGTAGTTGTTCAATAAGAAATCTGGTTTTTTTCCAAGGGATCTGCCTATTAAAGGGAATCTTTTACTTGTAACCTTCTTCCAAATGTTTCCAAGAGTTTGCTGAAGGTGGATTCATGTTGTGTCTCTCTGAATAACCTAGCCAAGTGTCAAGAAATGTCTATTTAGGCTAAGCTGCCCTTCGAAGACAGTATCAGTGTGCCTTCCCCCACCTGACCACAGCTCCCCACAGCTGTTGCTATCACCAAGCATGCCTTCTTTGACTGCCCTTGTCAAAACTAGAGGATTAATCAGAATACTTTTCTCTCGCTTCACATGCCGAAATCTATTTCCTGCAAAATGAATACCAATCTGTCTCTCTTTGGTGTCAGGGTGTGATGTATCTGAGCATTTGTCAACTTGTGATGGAATTCTAGGTCATATCTCTCGCTGTGTATTCTGTCTCAATTTCCTCTACCGGCATGCTTTTGCTTCCTATCCGAAGCATCTGCCTCTTGTCTCAAGTTTGGATCGAGCCAGTGTCCTCATCTGACATCTCTCTACCTCTCTCCTCTTCCTCTCTTTCCCTCTCTCTCAGTTCTATTCAGCCTGCTGTCAGTGGGTGCCCAGACGGAGATGAAGAAGGTTGTTGGGGACAATGCCACCTTACCGTGCCACCACCAGTTTCCTTCCTCCAGCTCTCTTGACATCGAGTGGCTACTGCAGAAACCAAACTCCAAACAGAAAGTGGTGAGATAACAATCATTTCTCCTCCGTTTCTTCTCCACATTTGGTTTATCAATACATTTGTCCTGAGTTTTTGTCGATTCCAGATTGTTGGCCTTGAAGGAAAAGGAAAACAATTACAAAACATTACTGGGATTACAAGTGTGTGACCTTTCTGTGGGACCCTCAAAATGACAAAGAGAGCATTTAAGCACAAGCACAGACCTTACAAACTTCATTTTCATTGAACTCAAACAGATCTCTCATCACCTCCCTCCGTCTTCCTCTTTTATCTTTCTTCTGTCTTCCCCATACTAAGCCACGCTGATTGATTTCCGACAGGAGCCATAATAGTTGCACATTAGCTCAATTCCCAAAGTTACAGTGGCACTTCAGGCTTTAGTGCCTCTCACAGAGGAGCAATCGTGCTGAATGTGCAACAGCTCATTTTGCTGTAACCTTGCACTTTTCTAAAGAGAGCACGCCGTTTATAAACATAAGAACATCTTAAATATGGATGTTTTTGGATTCGGATACATCTAATGGTGAGATTTGTAACATCTTTTACATGAAATCAGTATTAAATGTGTGTTTTTAGTGCAGCTCAGAAGAATATTCAACTTTAAACAACCAATAGAACTCAAAGGTTTCAAGCTAGCAAGAATATGCTAACTCAAGCTAACGTTAGCTCACAGACAGAGGAGTTATTTTGCTCTTTTTCCATAAAAAACACTTCAGCAGAGACTACACAGTTTTCTCTTGAGACTCGACTGTAAACTGCTCCACCAACAGTCAACTGATGTTAGACAACACTCACACAAAAGAAAAAAACACTGTTTCTAAAATGTTTGCTCATGGGATGAAGACGGTGAACGCTGCATATCTGTCACTCCAAAGTGCTTCTGCTGTCTTTGCAAGTTGTTTTGTTGTTTATTCAGTGTTGAAGCTGCAGATCACAAATTTATCTAAGCGTATTGTGGTTTTCTTTCTTTTGATTCAATGACAAATACATATTGACAAGTACAGTACAATAAGTAAAAAGCAAACCAGCACGAACAGGAAGTCAAAGTCAAGATTTACATTAGTGCATGTTACAAGTTTTGCTTGGAGGGAAAGTTATCTTCTTAAAAATAATCATAAAAATAAATGAATTAGAGTAATAGCAATCGGGCTGTTGTTACACATTACATAACGTAGGGGAGACAGAGGTTGGTTGTCACATTGCGTATTACAGCTAAACACCATGGTGGTGTGTCATCATGTTAATGACAATCATTTGGTTTGATGTGATTACTTTTATGTGGCATTTTTTAAATTAGACACAAAACACTGAAGTGTGTTGAATCCGTTATCAATCAAACATTTATCAAAAAGTGGAATTTTATAAGTTTAGTTCCAGCTAGTAGGCTAAAGCTAGTAGCTGGTAAAAAGTACAAAGTGGTCAAGAGGGGATGGTTGTCATATACTTACGCAAGTTAGGCCATGTGTAAAAAAAAAAGTTGTCAGCTCTCTGTAGATTTTTTAAAAATTGTTTTACTACCCAACCAGTCAGGATGACGGAGTATTGGGGCCACACTGAGAAAATGAAAGAATATAAAAAATCACTTTTTAAAGACTAATTTATGATTTTATTCTTGTAAACTTATGACTTAAATCTCTAAGTATTTAAAAAAAATTCTCAATATGGCTGTAATACTCCTCGTAGAAATTTCTATCCCTCTCATAAACACTCCATAAAAATAAATTTTATGTAAAATTGATGTGAATTACTTATTTTACAACCTTTACTTTTTGCTACACAATGATTAAAATGACTGATATAAAGGGTGGTAAAGGGTGGTATCTGGTTTTAAAAAATTATTAACTAACTCGTAAAATAACTTTCAAGAATTGAAGAGATAACCTCTTCAACACAAGAATGCTAGCTTCGGTTCAATATAAGAAGGACAACTGTAAGATGTATTGATTATGTGTAATTCACACAAGAGTAAAAAGTGTAACATCCAAACCCCTGTCTCCTCTACTCCAGTCTTAAATAGAACCATATTGTGTCTGTGTTAAGTCAAGCAGTAACTAACTCACTAGCTCAAGTCTTACGAAACCCCTCCTTTTTTTTTTTCCTTCCCGACCTCTGAAGATGTTTAGTGTCGTTTCACTGGTTTTAATTCATTGCTTTTTTCACCAAAATTGAACATAGCATCTGATAGCAGACAGAGCATTAAATCTCACCAGCTTTCTGTCGGAAGAAAGAGATTTCCTTTCTCTTTGGGAGTCATTTGTTCATTCACTGATGTGCTGGTTAGCAAAGTGAAACCTTACACTCTGAGAAAGACAAGGAAAGAAGTGTGTGAAGGGGAAACAGAGGGGCCAGGAGTGAAAGAGAAGGGGAAAACGAGTGTCTCACGCTTTGATGAACCAGAGGGTTGCTGCCACATTGAGATGAATATTTAACAGGAAGATAACATTGAAGGCGCCATTAATTAAAATCAAACGTCTGAAAATTTGATTAGGAAAGAGACTGTGCCTGTAGCTGTATGAATAAATCATTCTTCTGTTCTGCTGGAAGGCTGTGTTGAGAGAGAAAGAGCATCTTGTCAACATTTAGCCTCTGTTAGCAAATGTGCATGCTACATGTGTCAAGGATACAGGGGGTGAGAGGCAGGGCAAGACAAGAGCACTATGTGTATCTTCACAAAAGTCATCTATTTTCCTCAAATTGAATAACATTTCAGGCCCACAACTAGAAACACTGTGTATTCAAAGTACTTTGTATTGAGCACGCTTAGGTACAGCTGCTGCACAGACAGGGAGGGATGTCATTTTTCTAAATAATGTAAACAATGACAATAAGCTGCTTAAAGCTGAAAGTCTTCCCACAAATTATCATCCTTTCTTGGAAATTACACTTGCAGAGGTGTAATGCTGAAGAGGGTTTACTGTGTGCTGCAGATAACTACAACAAAGCGCTAAATTGCTGCCCTTCAAGCTCACATTATATGGTGTGTTGGTGTGTGTTAGAATGATAATCATGGCCCACAGAGCTGCACCCTTCTCCAAAGCGCTTTTTTTCTAGATACCTTTTTGTGTTTTCTATCAATTAGATGATTATGATCACAACACAATAAAAGCAACTAAAAGTCTTATGAACCATACTATTAAAGACCCCAAGTGTTTTTAATGTTGACAATATTTTGTGTTAAATAAATTGTATTTGAATTTTAGGGAATCCATTCATGAACATCATAAGGTTCAGGTTCTGTTACATGTAATTAAAAGTGTTTATAATTCTTGAAAAATTATTTGCAAGTTCATGAAAACTTTAAATAGAGCTCTTGTAGGTAAAAACTGAACACTTCATATACTTCTTATACATTCACAGAAGCCACTGAGAGAAGGGACACTTCACGCCAGCATGCACTATTTTAATTTTTACGGAATAAACAAACCATCTCATTTTAATTGCAAACTATGCAAACAGCCTGCAGCCATTTTTTTCTAAATTCTTCTTAAATTCCTCACACTCGCTGGCACTTTTGCTGCCTGTCGGTGCCATAAGTATATGTTCAGAGTGAGTAGGCAAGACTAGAAGCACAAAAACACATGCGTTTGTAGTCTATACTCATTTATTTGTGAGTTCATGAAAGCATTAGAAGTCTTCCCATAGGCAGAAATCTTATTTCCCGCTTTGTTTAGGTGTTAAGGCCATGTCCCTCTTTGCCTGTAGCTGCAGCACAGTCATTATTCCTGGTTGCATTTCTAGTGTTTTGTTACTTTCAATGTATCTTTAAAGGCGACTGTATTTTTCACGTAGGTCTGCACGCCTCTGTGTGTAAATGGCCAGTCGTCACCTGTGATACAGCAGGTGCCCTTGTGTCTTAGGCACTGATGCACTGTGGCACCAGCATTTAGCAGTCCCCATCTGCAGGCTCTCACTTGCCCTGAGTTATAGGCCAGTGTGACAGCTGTGTTTGTTTGTGTTTGTGTATGTGCATGGAGAGAGAGAGCGAGAGAGAGAAACAAGGAGAGGATGGGAATAAGTCGGCAGAGAAAAGAAAGATGTATCCTTTCAGTAGAGGTTGTTGTATTGAGATTGTACTATAGTGCATCAGATCTATTCTTTGAAGAAAGCCCGTCCTCTGCAAACATCAACAAACCCTGTGATTAAATAAGAAGTAACAAAAGAGAAAAAAGATTCAACTAATGGGATGAGAATGTCGACTTTTTTTTCTTTTTTTCTGAAGCGTTACAATTATATATATTCCCCAGAAAGCAGAAAACCAACAAAAGCATAACTTGCAGGCAAAACAGAGAAAAGAAAACAGGCCAACGTTCCTAATTACTGTTTGAGTCCAGAAATTTGTACCTGCTCATTATGAACATACACATAATACACAATTAAATATAAACCTGTGTGCAAACAAATACTTAACTATATTTTAACACTTAAGCACCAGACATTTATTAAAATATGTCTTAGCAGAAGTCATTTGTTATTATTACCAGTCAGGAGTTTGTTTTGTATGTATTAAAATAACTTATGCAAAGTCACCTAAAGATACAAAGAACTTATGCCATGTACATGATAGTGTCAGCCGCAAATGTGCATTTCTACCTTTCTGTTTGCAGTTGTATTTTTATTCATTAATTATACATGATTGAGTTTACTGCTATGGTAAAGGCTCTGAAGTAGGGCTGCCTGAGATATCGTTTGAGCATCATCATTGCAATGTACGTGTGCATGATAGTCACATTGCAGAGCCTGCGTTGTTGGAGGTGAATGAACTCATCTAATTTCAAGGGTAGCTGACTGAGATACACTGCATGTGACTCTGCATGTGCTGTGCAGGGATCCACCAATCACATTCATTCTTTACTCAGTTGCCAAACAGACTACCCTGCCAGCCGTCAATCAAAATCGGAGAGGAGGAAACCACGTCCCTGCACATGGAGTGAGTCGCTGGCGCTGGTGGTGTTGTGCCGAGAAATGCATGCCCGTCGAGAATTACTTTCAGAACATCACTCATCACTGTTTAGTCCCACAAATAAGAACTGTATGGGTTTTAAATTGTACATTTCCATAGACTGCTCTACTATGAGTGGTGCGCGTTTTGCGAGGTGCAATTCTCGGCAGGCATGCCAAGAATTATTACTCGGCACAACACCGGTAACAACAACAATAAATGCAAAATGAGAAACGAACAAGAGAAAACCACCGAAAATGAATACTTGTTGCCAAAAAAAAGCAAGGTCAGTTATCAGGAATTATTTCAGTGACAAGAAGGATGATGTCGCCCAAACACGTGTCGGCAGTGTCTTTCATCTGTTGCCACAACAGAAAAAAATACAAATGACAATAATGGATGTTCATTAAAGAAAATTTCTCAGTTTTCATGTAAAGATAGAAAATATGTAGGAGATTGGTGTTTCTCAACAAAAAATCGTGAAGTAACAAAAATGTCCAAATACGATTGCATAATAAAATGTTGTTTGGTGGGACGTTTGTTTTAATTATCCAGCCTTTTTAATCTCACCACTGTGCTAAAACCACACCATTGCTGCTGTGGGTATTTGAGTCTTTTATCTCAGCACCAGACTAGATTTTTATTTGGTCAATTTGACAGCTCCCCTTGTAGAAACAGCATAAGGAGATAACGGCGCTGACAGATTATCAGCTAAATGAGCACTGGCAGGATTCTGGCATTACAGCAAATGCATTCATTTGTAAAATATTATTTCCCTGGTGTTAATTAAAAAGTGTTAACACTGTTACCCATGAGTGCTGCTATTCTGTTTTTCTCTGGGATGTGCACCCAGTGAGGGACTAAGTGAATCTGTTTGAGCTGTGCCTACACCATCATTACAGTTATGTAATTTTAAGCATTAATGGCAGACAAATAATCAAATATATCAAGCGTAACACTGTTGGGACATGTTGTTAAGTGATATGAAAGAGTTATTTTGGGGAGTAGGGAAATCAATTACATGAATACTCACGTTGGCTGTGTTTAAAATAGTAGTTTACGATATCAGGTCTGATGAAAATTGGGAAATTATTCGGCAATGGGACTGTTGTGATTTGTTGGTGCTCAGTACGGTAAGAGAAGACATTAGGGTAACACAGGACAGATTTGTGCAAAACCTCCCGCTGTTCAACATCTCTCTGAACTCTCCCTTAAATACAATAAACAATATCCAAAGCACCCTCTCTTTTTCCCCTCGTTATTACAGATCATTACCTTCTTTGGAGGCCAGGTGTATACGAATGAGGCGACAGACCAGGCCAGTCGTCTGTCCTTTGCTGGGGAGTTCCTGGGGGGAGACGCCTCCCTGCTGATCAGTGACCTGCTGCTGACTGACTCTGGAGAATACTACTGTAAAGTCAAGACCGGGGGGAAGTACCACTGGAGCCAGGTCAACCTCATTGTACTGGGTGAGTGTTGTCTCATTAAATAGAAACACACACACACACTCAGAGGTTACAGAGAGACACACACAGGTGCACACACATCTGGGTATGCAGAGACAGAAAACCCATTTGAACATACACATATACACACTCAGTCTGTGACACACATGCGCACATACAGAGAGAGACCTAATCACTGCATCATTAGCCTGGCACATTTCCTCCGTCATGCTGACTGATCTAATGATTCAATTTGATTCAGACAGTGTGATTTGATTTTGCTCATGCTGTTTGGGTTCCTTTGGATTGGTTTGTTGATGAGGTGAGACCAGAGACATGGGACCCAGTCTGGAAATGCACAGAACTGATTGATTTTCTCGGGGTCTAAATTACAAGGCCAAACATCAAGTTGAATTCTCTAAACCCCCACTGTATAGCACAGGCTAATACATTTATGTGAGAGTGCAGACTCACTCCGAATTCAAGAGACAATCTGTAATGATATTTGGTCATTCAAACAACATCTTAAATGACAGCTGCTATCAATCCAAACAGCTCAGGAAAGGGGTTTGAACAAATCAAGTTTTAGCTCTTCAACAATACAAAAGCCTGTTTTGACCCCATGAGTTACCGTAGAGTCATCATCTTTTTGTTTTCTCAAATTGCCCATTATACCAATGGTTATAAATGGCTTAGCAGCTTGCTCAGTGGTGCTATGTATCTCTGCTGGCATGACTCAAACAGCTAAACAACTCTGAAGGACAGACAGCAAAAGGGGAGTTTCGGCACCACAAAAGGCAGTCACAAAGTCCAGCGGGAGGAGCAAGATCATTCTCAATGTCAGAAAAGCAGGCGATTTATTAAAACATCATGGGAGATTAGTTCAACCGGCGGTTATTGGTTTTCTAATGGAACAGTCTGTTAATCCTCTCGTGCTCACTCTCTCCGCTCTCTTCCATAAAGACATTTCAGTGAGTTAGGGCCTCTATTTTTACAAATTGCCCTCAGCTTTGCGGTGACACTTTCGATTTTGAGAGAAACGGACATTTGCATTTTTTTTTTCTCTCTTGCTCCCCACGCTAAGATAATAGCTTGGCAGCCAAGCTGGTAGCTGGCTTGGCATGAGACAGAGTGTGAGTGAGTGTATGTATTTGTGTGCAAGCCAGGGTTTATGCCTCCAGTGGTTGTGTTTGTGTTGATGTGCAAACTTGCATGTTAATGTCCGGATGCCTGCTTTGTTCTAGTTACAGAGAGAGTGGAGATTCATCTGCAGATTTATGACTGAGAGTGAATTAGTTGTTTTGTTTTTTTCGTTAAGCGTTGGGAATGTAATTTGTATTTGTACTGGTGTGTGTGTATGTGTGTGTAAAGGTTAACTGTTTTCTCCCTCCCATGTGACTTATTTTTAGATCAGTAGTGAACCATATTGACGCCTTTATTGTTAAGGTTGACATATTGACTCTTAACTTTAGTAATCCTAGCCTGACTCAGAATATTCTATTCATCTAATATTATTTAGCATCATTATCTTATCCTCATGTATTGCACATATGTCATACCATCATTTATCCTGTAATAAACTGATCATCTAAGTTCTTGCCTGTTAGAGCTCTTTCAGAAGTGGAGACCCTGAAATGATCACTTCGGCTTGAGATATGAGAATAATTAATTGAAGATTGACTTAAAGTCATGGTTGACGATCTGAGAAGCAGTTGAAAAAAATTGAGCCGTTGAGGCAGATTTGAAAAAAGTGTCCCACCCCCCACCCACAAACCTTTCCACTGTGCTCCACGATAACTTTACCCCCAAACCTGTATAGACCACCAAGACACACCCCCTCTGGCAGAGCAATAGGCCAGCCTGCAGATGATCCTACGCTAGCTTTATATAGGATTCACCATGTCGGATTGCTAGTGACTAGGGGCAGTAAACACCAGCTCTGCTAGCTAGCACTGCTGCAGCTGCCTGGACAGCTACTGTGTTGACATTGCAGAGACTAATAAGAGTTATTTATGTAACATGTGCCACGATAAAAGGCAAAAATTACCTGTTCAACAAAAACGCTGCTGTCTCGGCGTCTGTTTTCAGGACCAAATCCTGACGGAGCTTTCTCCACCGCTCGAGGGATGATCGAGTTAGATTCCTCACTTGGTCACATTTCCTCTTCGTCTCTGCTCTTTCTTCTGTCAACTTGTGTTTTCTTAGCACTTTTAGCACTACAGCCCCTGTAGTTTAGCTGCTACGCTACTTTTAGCCGCTCAGAGCTCCAAGGAGGGCTGGGAGAGTGGGAGGGGTAGAGTTGCAACTACGGGAGAGGGGTGTGTCCAATACAGAGAGGTGATTGGATGGAGAGGCGGAGCAGGAGATTTACCAATACTATAGCTGTCTGGGACGGATGGCTCCCATAGGTCAATGTTTCTGAACGGATTTTTTCCATTCTTTTTTCTCTTCACTTTGTGGAGATCGCACTGTAGAACCAAGATCGCCATATAAACGAGGTTCATAATAATTACCAATCTCTCTAATCGTCAACCATGCCTTTAATATTCACGTCATGCTTGATTTTTGAATTGAACTTTTGTTTTTCTTTATTTCCCCACTATTAAGGTGGGTGGTGCCCCTTTCAACGAGTGCATGAATGTCATAATTTAAGATTATTAATCTTAAGACATTTATTATACATTCAAATCATTACAACTGCTTCAACTCATAGTGCTGCGATAAGCCGTAACCGACCCTGACAGAGCTGTGAGATTCTGGGAACAGGGATGGAGAAAAAAAGAGTCACATTCACAAAGGAGGTCATATACATTATCTATATGGCTCACAGCTACCACATTAGGCACCACTTTTCAGTGTCATAGAGTTACTGAAGATCAGCAGCAGCCAAAACTCAGGAAAGTCAGCCCTGCTGAATTGATAGTGTTACAAAAATACAGAATAGATGTTTAAATATAGTTCGCTACTGATCTAAAAATAAGTCACATGGGAGGGAGAAAACAGTCTGCTTTTTTCTGCTTTGATAGCTCAGCAGTGCCTCCCAGCATGTATCCAAAGAGAGAAGCTCTAAAGGGCTCAGCAGGCACCAGCTATACAGTCCTCTGCCTCCAGCTACTGGACTGTAACTAAAACCTTTGACCTGTGGAGAACATATTACCACAAGCGTTCACCGCCAGCTTTGGGGTCACATTGATCCATACCCTCTGGGAGTGTTTTCATGCGTCCGCGCCGGCAACAGCAGAGGCCAGAGGCATTTTTTTGTTTTGTTTTTTTTTTTCACGTTGTCAGTCCGTCCATCCATCAGCGCTGACCGAACTGTCCGACCTACCACCAGACCATCTCTCAGTCTTTTAAACCCGACAGCATTATGTACAACAAAACACTTTTCTGGCCCTCCGCAGGAACAGATGGGGCAAAGTGATCATCATTTAAATTTAGTCTGATACTGAATTGTTGGCTCTTGTCTTGAATGCAGACCGTGCATTTCAGGGCCTGCTGATTGTTTAGCCATTCTGTGCTTCCTGGTTGAGTTCGTGTGCAAAACATCAGCATTAACATTGCAGCGACATTAACGTTTTTGAAGCTCTATCTACCCCGAGGGTGACACTTTTTAATCAAGTCCGCTTCATGGGCCGAGCTTGTGAGCACGAACTAAAAATTTGACTTAAAATGTTTGTTACTCTCAATGAACTCAAGCACTAATGGGCTAATAGCAGAAAAATAACAATAAACAAGTCAAGTCAAATCAATTTTGTTTTTATATCTCAAATTCGCCTTTCTATCTCTTTTTTTCTCTATTGGTATTGTTTAGGATAGCTAAACAAAAGGAGGAGAGAGAAAGAGAAAGGAGATTTAGTGGTTCTGAGAAACTTGGCGAGCTGACAACTGTTTGGAAAGATGACAAAGAATTCATGCTGTACTCAGAAATGTAATCAATAACAACACAACTAAATGAAGATAATATATCACTGACAACTTCAGATTAAGTTCACTATGCATGTTTAACATTTTAACTAATGCAGCTTCACAAGTTGTCAGTGTCCTTATGAGCCCACTTCCATTCCCATTCACTTCTCTTTATGTGGAGTTTTATTTAAAGGTTATAGTCTGTACTCTGGTTTTGGACACTTAAACTTCACTTTATGTCCTGAAATAACTCATGCTTCAGTACATTTCTGTTCACAGAGATAATTCCTTATAAAAATATATGTCAGCTCCTCAAAGATATTTACAGGATGACGTTATTTCTGGTCTACTCATTGACAATAAAGGGGAGATGAATTTTATGAGCAGTAACAATATTTGTAAAAGTTTTATTTTATAAAGAAATAGCATCTTAAAATTATTAACTATATGTATATTCCTACAGGCACATGAAAAAGTGACCTATTCATTACCAATACAATAAATGAATATAGTCACTTTAAATAGTGACACAGTTATCTTTGACTTTAAAATGGCGTTTGCTCAGTGCATACATCCCTGATTGTATGAGATCAAGCCTTTTTCAAGTTAATGCAATTTAATACAGGGTGGGAATGGGTGGGAATGAGGGGTTGGATTGGGGTAGGTTCAGGTATTCTTTGTTTCTTTAATTCCTTTGCTGCGTAAAGCACTCTGTGCTGCATGGTTTTGTATGAAAAGTGCTATACAAATAAAGACTGATTTGACTGAATTGGATAAGGGCATGGTGTGGTCCGCCCTGAGCTTTGACTCTTATAGTTATCTTTCAATAGTTGGTCTTGGGTTGGTTGGGTCGGCAGGAACTGAGGTAGTGCCAGTTTTTGGAAAAAAATTTGAATGTTAACACTACTCCTCCCAACCAGTTTTCCCCTCAGCTCCTCCTCTCCCCTCCCTCTATGCTCCAGCAAGCCCCGCCCACAAAAAAGATGCTCCTGCTCGCTCTCAATTAAATTCAGATGTAACGCAGATAAATTCTTCAGATAATTACAAATGTGGTCCAGTCAACTTGAAAGTAAACAGTATTGGTGCTACTGTAGATGCCAACAGACTACCAGCAAACACAATGTTTGCAGGACTTCTACAACTAGGATAAAGTGACATACTCCAGGACCCAAGTGAAACAGTCTAGCGGTTTGACAAGAAACACTTCTGTCACAGACACTTGGCTTACTTTGTTAAAGCGGTTTACCTGTCCAGCAGAAAGATTACAGGGTCCGTAAGACCCCTAATGGTCACCCATCGTTTATGCTGATGTTTACCCGTCTTTTTAGCTCTTGTACCTTCTTCCTCCGTTTTAAAGCGCCCGTTATTTTGCCAGAGTCTCCAATATTTACTTTGTTTTCTTGCTTTTGTTTTCCGTACTTTCTAGTAAGTGTCTACTGTCCGATGTTGTAGCATGCTAACTTTGTTTGGGCTCATGTACGTTATTGGAGGACGTAGAGCATGCCTCACAACATGAGGGAGCAGCGTCTGCCTCACAACCAAGGTGGGGAATGGCTGTGTTTACAGTCAGAATGAGCGGGCCGCTCAAAAATTTAAAACATTGACAACACAGACATAACAAAACACAGCATTATTGTTATATTACTAAATGTCATTAATAACTAATATCTATTGACTGATATTAAAAGTTTTTTTGTATATACACCACAAAAAAAGATGCTTCTTTAACAGAACCCTGCCTACCCCACCTTTAACTGTACTTACATTTATATGTGGATCAATATAATAGAGACTAAAAGTTTGTCTATTGCATGTTTGTGTGAAATCTTCCTGTTTCTGATGCATTGTTACAGTCAAACCCTCCAAGCCGAAATGCCTGATGGATGGCAAACCCCTGGAGGGCAGTGATGTCAAGCTGAGCTGTAAATCCAGCGAAGGATCTGATCCCATCAGCTACAAGTGGGAGAGACTCCTGGACAAAGGCAAGAGTCTGGGCAAGTTGCCAAACCTGGCACTGATAGGTAAGGAAAATAATTGGCCCTATGCTAACATGCTGATTCACCAGTCAAGCCCTCTGCAGAGAAATGCTATAAAGATTCATTTCAGTATTAGTGATTTTTATTGGCCGCATTTATCCAAGGAAGACTTTTGCTGAGTGTACCGCCTTGCCTTCACCTCGCCCTGACTCCACATTCACAGATTAGCAAACAATGGCCCACGCAAGTACAGTCTCCTGGTGGCTCTCTGAGCTGACTCAGCAGAATAATTAGCTTTGCTTAACTAAAGGGCACTTAGATGGAGTCAGATTGTCTTAATTAGACTATTCATCCTACATGCCTTTCTTATCTTTACACACTAAAAACCAGATTGTGCCTTTTTTTTTTTATTTTGCAAAAATCAAACACAACACAGCCCTGTGATTTCTAGTGGTATTCTGTTGGGATGAGTTGTACAAACATGAGGATCCAGGCTGATGGTGTGATCTGATGAAGATGTCTATGATGATAAAATGTCAGTCTGGCTCAAGTGAATTATACGTGCATGCATGAAACCAGCAGGAATTCAGTGTTTTCTTGGATTGTGTGCAGAGCGCAGGATATCAAATGTAAAAACAGAACTGGACTGGCAGCCTCCTCCAAATTCTGTAATAAAAAGAGAAACATTGGCTCAATAATGGCCTGCGACACTATTCATTCACATGGTGTGTCCATTTGGACCATAACCAGGTATTCTTTTATATCTCTAAATAGTAACAGAGACTATTTTTATCTGGAAAGTTAATGGAAGGGCAATTCTCCCAACTGTTTATTCTCTTAAACAGACACTGAGACCCCCCAGGGTGCCAACCTCTCTGTCTCTTTTTCCCCTCCAGTATTCAACTGGCATCCGTGAACGCACGTGCCCAGACAAAAAACTTCAAATTAATGACCTCCACCAAACAACACCTGTTCAGTCTAATTAGTTTTCATTGGACGATAACACACAGCGTCAGCAGCCATTATTTACGGGTCTGGTGAAAGGTAATATCACATGGTTGTCATTGGTGGGGATGGCTCAATATCTCATGAGGCCGTGGGGCTCAGTTGCTCTCCCAGATTTGCTCCTGTTACTCTCTTCAAGTCCTGCTCAGTGTGCCGGGCCTTCATCCTAAACAAACACTACATAAATGTCTGGCTCTTCTTCTCCTTTTTATTGCTCACTCGTACTTTGACTGTTTAATACATGTCAGTTCTCTTTCCTGTCCCGGATGTAGATGCAGGATTTAAAACAACAAACAGATAGATTGTTATGTGTATAAACTTCCTGTACAGACTTGCCCTCACAGTCTGCTCTCTGTTTTATCGACTTTTTCCCCAGATCTCAAGAACCCAGAGATCGTGACCCTGAGGAATCTCACCATGGACAGCACAGGTGTCTACAGGTGCACAGCGAGCAATGACGTGGGAGAGGAAAACTGCACCGTTGAGGTCACAATGCAGCGTGAGTTCGAAGAGGGACAGCAGAGTCAACCTCTGAGCGTTCACCTCACACCAAACTGCCACGCTGATTGATGGTTATTGTTTGAAACTGCAGATGGAAATAGTTTTATTCCACTCCCCCGCCTGTCCATCTACCACCCCACACCCTTACACTGCCGTTCCTCCCCCTTGTGCTCCAACACTGTGGGGACTGCTCTAAACTAAAAATTGTAGCTACTGGTCGCCACCTATGCCTCAGCTGTTATGTTTCACTGTCACTCTAATACATTTCTTGAGAGGCCCAGGATGTTTGGGGTCACATCATGAGATGAGAAAATGACACATCTGGAAGCTCAGCAGAAATAGGTTGACAGCCCTGGTGTGAAATTGAATCTGAGCACTGTGGCAACAAACCCAGGAAGTGTTAAGGTATTTTTACCAAACGGGACAGGACCAGACGTATTTGTGAATTAAATATCAAGAATAAAAGTAGGAATCCAATATGTGACAGAATTAGACTGTATCTACCAACAATTATCGCCTCCTCTTTCTATTTACAGAAGTGAAGGATGTAAGTAGAGTGTGACCCCTCTTTGCCCGATGAGGTTTAAAGTTCTAACATTAGGTTTCAGTTTCAGTTCACAGTTTGGACCTGTTATCAGGAATCAAGGGAAATACTCATGGAGCCCAGGATGGAACATCAACACTGAACACACACAAAATTTAGTTTTCCAAAAATATTTTTAGTCAACAATAGAACAGAATGACAACAATATTTTTAACTGAGTATGAAAAACAACAAAATGCGCACAAACTAAAATGAAATAAATTGTGCCCTTCATTGTGTTTGGTCCTAATTGTCTTTCTCTCCTTTGTTATGAGCTCAGTTTATTTTTACATCATTGGGGCCTTTTAATCTTTAAGTGTCTTACTGTCACACCACAGGCTTGGTAGGTAAGTTCAGTTGAATTCAATTAGATTGCTACAGGCCATAAGTTCTTACTTAGAATAAATAATACCATAGTTATTGCCTATGTATAAATTCAAATAAACTAACTTTTTTTTCCTTATAGGTCTTGCTTTACCAGTGTAAGTCAAATGAAAATACTCAAATAACTCAAAATAAGCCTTTTAGCATCTATTATTTGGATAAAATGATGAAATAAAGTGAATTTTATCTTTTTTCCCTTTTCACACACAATGCACACACATGTGGCGCACACACACACACACACAACACTTCCAGTACACAAAGTTCACACACAAAATAGTTCAGCATTTTGTCTGAATTACCCCAGCATAATTTCAATTAGCTCATTGGTTTGCTCTGATGTTCGCTGAGTTCAATACAAATTCACATTGGCTGGTACCACAGCGGCTAACACGCGCGGTATCAAATTAGCAGTTAGTAGCTATATTAGCACGGCAGCTAACACCACCACAGAGTGCTGTGCGCAACTGCAGCGTGGTTGGCCCGTGACATCATGACACGCTGCTCTCTGCAGCTCAGTTAACCCTATACATTCATACAGACTAAATAACAGACTTTGACTCTTTGTTCTTTTAACTTCTTCACAGCTAATGAAGCCTGGGCTACAAGAGCAGCAGGCATAGCAGCCGGATCATCCTTCGGTGTCCTCTCTCTCATATCAATCATCTGGCTCGTGCGCCGAACGAAAGAGAAAAAGAAGTACGAGGAGGAGGAGACTCCAAATGAGATCAGGTTTGCTCACTCTCTTGTCTCCTGGGACTCCTTAACTGTTTTCTATTTTACTAGATAAAAGCACTCCAAGATGTTGTGTGGGATTATGAGTAAAGGTAGTCATGTGTGTGTTTCTCAGACTTTTCTCTTTCTCCCCAGGCTGTTGTGCAGTTTGTTATGCTGATTTTCACACTTTTAATGAGTCCAAATCTGCAATAGTCTTGAACTCGAAGCACCAACTGTAAGACATGTTGAGTAATAATGCCTCATTAAATGTATGACGTCCGCTCTGATTGCAGTTTATGCCATTAACATTTTAATTAACAAATTAAGCAAAGAAAAATTAAAAAATTCAACAAGCATGTTTTTTTTAAGTTAGTGTGATATATCATGTAGAAACAGAAGACTCCAGGTGAGACAGGGTCATGTGGAGGCACAGTGACAGAGAAAACTATTGTGTAACAGTACAGGTATAGTCCACTAGAGCATCTAGGAAGGTCTTCACATCTAGCCTGCATAATCTCAGGTTTATTATGCAATGAAATTCCCTATGCACTATTGCAAGGTGAGAATCTAAAGTGAGAGTTTATATGTTACGATCAAATGGTTGAGATTAGGAAGTATTTTTTTATTTTTTTTATTTTGCACTACAGAACATCAAACTAAATCTTCTCCAAACTAAATTGTGGCTGATATTCTCGTATGTGTGAGTCCAAAAGTAGATGTAAGTGTGTAACAATCAAACTGTTGGTTCTCATTTAAAAACTGAAATGTGCAAAGCTGTGACTATCCACTGTTTTGGCATCAGGTTATCTTGGCATTGCATAAAAAAGTTAGTGAAAAAAAAGTGTTTTGTACTCAAAAAAAAAAAGTTTTTCTGTTTTTTTGAAGAAAAGGTCACAATGCAGAAAAGGCTTGTGTCCAAGCTCCAGTAATGAACTTTGAATTTGTGTCAGTACCAGCACAGACAATAGCAGTCTGTTTAAATAATGAAATATTGATATCATACAAAGTTATAAAAACAAGCATGTGGTAACACTGTGACCTCACCGTGATGATCCTCTTACTGATTACCTCACAACAAATGGATAAAGAAGCAACAGACTGCTAGCAAGCTAGTGATAGCAGCCATCTGAGAAATGATTAGGCACTTGTAAAATCACTGTTCAAGGTTAATTGTAAATCCAAAAACAACATTATAGCTTGTGCCTCTTGGTACATTTTGACCATTCTTGAAATTTCATTCAGTTTTGTAACTAACAATCCTTTCAGGAGAAGTGTTTCCTTCAAAATAAAAGCATAGTTTCATAATACAGAAAGTAAATCACCTTAAATAGTGAATACCCATTTTTCTCAAGCACTAGTTGCATGCATTCACAAAACTGTAACATAAGAAGGCATCAGTATAAATTTCAGTCAGTTTCATCAACATATAAAAACCTCACTGGAGCTTTAAGTCGCATTAACTGCACCTTCATGTGTGTCCTTTGTAAACAGTAATGCTGACATATGCGTATGAATGCCGGTATAACCAACATTTTCTATGACCGCCACACTATGTCGGAAAGTTACAGACAGACACATCCTCAGTGTGTGTGCTTGTGTGTACTTACTGTCTGCCTGTTTGTCAGACTATGTTTATAAGTCCAAAAATAAAATCAAGGACAAGGTCAAGTGTTTATTGATTATCTTTTTAGAGCCTTCTTTTCACACCTACCTCGTGTTTGTGTGTGCGTGTCGGTGAGTTAGACCAGAGCCGAGAGGGATAACACTAGTGTTTATTTCTTCCTCTAAAACTCTGTGTGCATCAGTGGACCCTGTGGGCAGCCAATGACACTTGTAAAGGCAACAACATTTTTTTGTGACAGACTGGAGTGGGTGTAGGTGCATATTTACTGTTGTAACAATGAATAATGCAGAGTGGTTGAGGGACAGCTCCAGTTAAATAATGTAGATGTGGGGAAGTGTTTTCTGTTTTTATACCATGTTCAGAGTCGGAGCCTTTCTGCTAATGTGCTCAAGCAGACCGGAGCAGCTTTAGTGACGCACATCCCCAGAGTGTGGACTTTTATGTATTTTTAAAGAGTCAAAGAACTTTCGTAATGTTTCTAAAAAGTTACCACATAGCCATTAGTGCACAGATGAGAGGTTTCTGACATTAAGTATCAAAAGTTGTATATCAGTAAACTAATATTACCTGGCCCATTACCTGAGCCACACACCTCTGTGACCTGCAGGATGATGATTAATAATCACTGCAAAGATCCTCTGCAGTTTCTGCCCCGTCCAAGTAACAGTCACAGCATGAAACTCTATAGGTTTTAGTGATTAATATTGCTGTCAATATTAAACCATTTCCCTGTGCAGTTTTTATTGTTCTGAGCTATTTTTCCCATTCTACTTTTGGCACAATTATGCGGTGAAGTTTTACTTGTGTTCTCAGCAAAAAATAAAAATAAAACTTTGTTTCCCTTCAACATTTCAGGGGGAAATTGTGGTTTCAGCAGATATCATTATCCCATGCAAATGTGTTTCACAAAACTCAAAGGCTGGGGGGTATCTCTGGAACCACATGAGGTCCCCACATGATACTTGCAAATGTGATTAGGGATTGAGAAGGGTTTCAGGGAATTTCACTTTGCTTATTTTGGGGTTAACTGCGTCTCTGTATCTGTGTGTGAGGGCTTACTTTGGATGTAAAATGAACCTATGTTTGCTGTTTGTGTGTGTGTTTGTGTTTCTGACTGCAGAGAGGATGCAGAGGCTCCCAAAGCCAAGCTAGTGAAGCCCAACTCCCTATCCTCGTCCCGCTCTGGCAGCTCACGCTCCGGTGCCTCCTCCACCCAGTCCATGGTGCACAACAGCGCCCAGCGCGGTCATCGCCCCCGCCCACCTGCTGTAGCAGCTCTCAAGGAAAATGGACAGCCTCCAGGTTTCCCCCAGTCCCCACCAGCCTACACTGCAGTGGTGGCCCCCAAGACCCCAGAGCCCCCCACCACTCCCAAATTCAACTCAAGGAACATGTCTGGGCCCACACCCCCAACCCTCATGGTCCCTGCCCAGACCAAGGCCTTTCAGACTGTGTAGGACTGAAAGCAAACCCTGCTCCTGCAGCCATGTGAGACTCCCATCAAGCCCAAGCCCCCGAGCCCCCCTCCCAAAGACTAAGACTCTTCTATAAACAAAGAAATGCAGCTAGTTAAAGGATGTAATTAAAAAAATCAATACTCTAAGTCCAAAAGTACTTTAAATGAATGCATACTTAAAAAGGGAAAATAAGACATGCTTGCCCCCTACTGAATTACATAAACCAACAAAACAAAAGAAGACAACATGACCTGAGATGCAATACTGTTTGTGTCTCATAGCTCAAGGCAGAACTTCTTTTCTGAGTTCCTGTTTTTGGCTGTGAAAGACACAGGGAAGCACGGTGTGCAGCAAGGTTGAAGGAGCCCCCTTGAAGAGTTTTTATTTATTTATCGAACCGAGTGGTTAGGCATGCTGTGAAGGAAAAAAGGTGAAACAGGTAAACAGGAAAAGCTGGATGATAAATAGATCCAAACTCTGAGCCAAGTACCAATGGAGTTTTTTGCAGCTTCTGAGCTTTTGTCATGAACAAATTCAAGATGGATACAAGTGAGACATGATAAAAGGAGGATGAAAGTGCCAGAGTGTAAAACAGGTACAGATTTTTTTAATTTTCCAGGATGAGGGGGGGAACGAGGTGATGGGTGAGTATCCGGTTCTTGTCACCCTTCGCCTCTGGGTTGCTGCTTCCTGCACCTGCTCTGATATCACGAACCCCTTCGCTTTCCATCGGCTGGGCCGGTTATGCCCATTCATGCGCACAAACACAGTGCTCGGTGTGTGCATCATCTGCCTCAGGTGGCTCACAAACAGCTCATCTGCTTTACCAATCAGCAGGGGAATCTTCAGGTATAAGGATGTGGAAGTGACAGTGGAGTCAAATCATTGGAGTTATTAACCCCCTTCCACACCCTGTCTACATCTGAACATCATTTTTATGGTACTAAATATCCTCCCTGAATAATTAATAGTATGTATTAGGCCTATAGCAAGTCAGTACTTTGAATATAGGGAATAAGCATCTATTTAAACCAGCTGGACTTGAACTGACTTCTATTCTGTTTCTATTTTCCTGTGTCTCTTCTCTTTGAACAGGTTGTAAAGGGTGACAGACGTTATATGTCCATTCATCCATATTTAGAAGTGCCACCAATCCCTCGGATGAATTTTTTTATTGTTGCTTCTTTTTTTTTTTACTCATTTGTTTACCTGATTTACTTCTGAACTGAAACCAAAATCTGTCACCATGAATGTGTGATGTACAAAGATGGTAGAGCCCATTATTTTCAGCTACTTGTAAGTTACTGAATCAATATTCCAGCTAAGGCACAAAGAATTGACCTCAATGTTCAATTTTACAACAACTTTAGTCTGAATGAAAGGAGAAGACAGTTTGATTCTGGAGACTTCAACTCAACAGGGTGTGTATGGTATCATTGTCAGTATTCTCCCTGGATCCATAACAATACTGTGGCACTCGATTGCTATCTCGCTGAAGCACCAGGTCCTGCTTGGTTATTGGTCGATCTGTGCTGTTAGCCAAACACTCATATGTTTTATCCCGACACAGTACCAGTGTAGTTTGATTGAAAGTATCAGAAAAAAAGGGCAAATTGCCTATCTAGTGTGCCTTTGCAATCCCTCTCCCCTTTGATGTTTCTTTTTTTCTTTGTCCTTATCTTCAGCACACCAGTGGTTAGGTCTCTGTTCACATCCAGCTTTAAGGGTCAACAGTGGCATCTTACTGAGCGGAACAACGTCACAAACTCGCCCTAGAAATATCAGATAGAGCCAAGAAAGCACCAAGCAGAGTCAATTATCCATGGTGAGAAAGCAATCCTATGCCATCGGACAATGTACTGTACATTCTGTAATCAGTCTTGTTTTATATTGTACATACAGATAGATATACGCACATGATGTCATTTAATTTAATAAATAAGGGTATGTGAGGGGGGAGATATTCCCCTTACAGAAGAGTCCCCTGTGACCCAAAAGTGAATTTAAACCTCATGCTTTGGAGCAAATTTGTGTGCAAATGGAGCCCTTCAGTCTGATATTAAACTCCTTAAGAGTGAACATCCTCTGATTTTCATGAACTCTTGACCTTCACTCAACCACTACCATAGTGTTAAAGTCATTTCAGAAAAAGATCAGCAGTTTGTCTCCAAAATTTGCATTGAACCAGCTTTTATACCCACCTTATTCAGATACTTTGAATAGTCTAGACCAATCAGGTAAAATTTTCACTCCTGAATTTGATGCAGCCAATTTGCATGCATAGTTTTTTTGAAGCATGTTCATATCATTAAAGGAAATAAGCTGTTTTAATTTTAATGACTTTTCAGCTTTTACTCTCAGATAGATTTCACCATTTAATTTCACTTCTGAGCAAAAGCAGAGCAGATTTACATAAGGCAGAAACTAATAGCTTGAAATTAACTTTGTCTCTTCAGACTTGTTGCGGTGCGTCACTCCGTTCTATTTTTGAAACTATATTTCCCTTAAATACCTCAAAATATGTGAAAAGGAAAATCCGACTCAAGCATGTGGTTTGACTTCACAGGCAGGACTTCACATGTGGATTATCTGTAAGGGAAGATAAGAAAAAAAAATGCCTTTTATATTCAACTAGAGACAGCAGTTCATATTTGAGCAGGGAAGCTACTGTGAGTGTGTGTCTGGGCGTGTGTGCTTGCGTGCATGCATGCATGTTTGTGAATGTGTGTGAGTGTGCATGTGTGGGTGTGTGCATGTAAACTCAGTATAAGCCCTTGGGCCACACCCACACATTCTCATGTTAGCCATTCAGTGAGAGAGAAGGATCCAGTCGGGCAAGTAACCTCTATTTCAATTGATGTGACTGCAGATTGGCAGTTTTTACTTTAGTTTTCAAGGACGTATATGCTTATTGCACTTGGCTTTACAGACAGCAGTCATGTTTTTGCTTGTGGGGGTGGTGTCTAGAGACAAAGCACGTCCATAATTCATAACCATTGTCAGCTCTGGAGGCCACTTGTAAGCTCCCTCCTTGCTCTTGCTGTCTCTTAACATGGAATGCACTTGGCCCCAGGAGTACTGATGGCATCTCAAGGCACACACATTTACACACCATAAAAACAGGTTAAAATTGTATATACACAAACATAAAACAGGTACACAAGGCACATCCAGGTCCACACGGTGACACAGGTTTGTGCTTCGTGCACACTCACAGTTGCACATGCACACATGCGCTCTCAAATACACATGCAGTTTGCACAAACATAAGCCCAAACAGCAATCGTTGCTATTTCTACTCCCACAGAATCAATTTGATAGATCGAATGTCTCGAGGTATTTCGACTGACTGATGAAAGCAGGAATCTAAATGCAGCACCGAAAGGGACAGTCTACATCACCCAGGGGACATGTGCACACACACATGCACACGTACAGATATGTATTAAAAAAAAAAAAAAAAAAAGGTATTGTAGCAGAACACACACTCACATGCATGCAATTACACATGCAATCAGAAAGATAGCCATTGCTATGCATTTTAACAATGAGTATAGCATATGCTTTAACAGTTTTTTTTTCATGGGAATCTCTGAGAGTCGTACCGGGAATCAGGGGAGCTATAACAGGATTGATATTGAGCCAGGGCTGTAGGCTCTTGCCATTGAAATTCCCTCCACCATGTAGCAGTGGAGGTGGAGGATGGGATGCAAGTCTTCCAGCTGTTAAATTCCTCCAAGCGTTTTGATTTGCTTTCCAAGCAACTGCAAGTCTCAGGTGGTTTATGGGCCTCCGTGTTGCATCTCTCCTCTCTTGTGTGCAGCTCTGTGGCCTGGCAAACTTGGGCTCTTTCCAACAAATTAATTTTAAAAAGAGTCATTGTCAGTTCAGTAGAGAGCAGAGGAGGATTGTTTTAACACATGTCAAGAGTGTCAACAGCACATGTAATATCATTCTTTGGACACAGTACCCATCAGCACTATATATTGTCTTATTATCGACACTCAAAGGTGCAGCAAACATGAAATCGTTCATGGTTGTCCTGCATTATATGATATGAATATGAATCTCATGTAGCCACAGTGTTTTATGTTCTATTAAGCGGTTTTATTTCTGATTAAAGCTGTCGAGCAGGGCAAAGAGATGCTCAGACTTTGTGGTGTGGCCTTGTGTGTCAGTAAAGGGGGAATGTGATGTATTGTTGCTTGTAAGGGAGGAGATGGAGGGGGCTGTAGTCAACCTCAATAAGGAAAGCAAAGGTACCTGCATGTCAAAGGAGATTGAGCAGACGAACGGGAATGCTTTGCTTTGATGTAACATAACTGTATTTGGCTAAAAATAGAAAAAAAAAAAAGGTATAAAATCTGCAATTGTAAATATATTCACAGAAATTTTATGAGGCTTTATTTTGGTTTTATTTTTTATTTTCTTGACTTTATCATCCATGTACTTTGCACTTTTTTGTGTGCTGTGCTCATCACCGGCCTGTGTGGGATCTGTGTGGTTGGTTCTCTTGACTACATTGTTTCGATGTCAGGAGGTGACACGCTCAGCGCGGCATTACTAAAGGGAAATGTAAGACACTTTTGTTTTCTCGACTCTCATCAGTTTTTCTGCCGTGGCTTCTCTTAAGTTTTGTAAAACAGTAGAGAATTTCCTTGTTTAATCTTTTGATGAATACAATCCATGTAAATATCACAAGTAAAAAAATGTATATTTTTACGACTTCTGAGTTATTACTCTTTCATTTGCAAATAAAATATTCAATGACAACTTATTTGTTGTTGTGGCGTCTTGATTTTCGAAAGCCATGTAAAGGTATTTTTCTTATCTTGCTCTGTTGTATGTCAGTTGTAACTTCTTCTTGATTGGTTGAGAAGAGGTTATAGCCTCTTGATAAACCTGCTACCATGTTTGGTACTGTTTGTACACAAACAGTAGAAAATCAGTCCACAAGACTAGGCTGAAATTTGACAGCTGCCAAACTGCATTACACCCATGACCTACTTTTCAGATGACTCTATCCCAGGGGGAAAAACATAAGAAGATATAAATCTTTATGAGTAAATCATGAGTAGAGCGCAAATATTTTCCGATTTTTTCCAGTATAGGTTGGTGCAGTTCAGCGACTGATGATGGCTCCAGAAATACCCTCCTCTGAAAGGTTCAATGAAGAGGGTTTAAAACAGGTGATGGAAATGTGTTGTTTATACATGACAGACTAAATGTCAATGTCAAACTAAAGCAAGTTTGACATTAAACTTTATTATTCTGTACGTCTGATTAATATTTAAATCAAAACACAAGCTAATGACTGTTTGGCTCCATTTGATGTGCTGAAAATAGGTGATAAGAAATGTAAAGGTCATGGTAATATCGGCCTTGTGAGGGCCAATGCTGCTATAATACTGATTATATAAAAATGCTGATATTCAGCCAACCAATCACTTGTCCTCTCTGTACTAGATAACAATGAGATTTTGGAAAAGGTTGATATTTTCTGGTCTAAATCTTCATAACTTTGTTGAATCTGGGTTTCTCTTACAGACAGTAATTTTTTTCTCATCTTAAGATATTACACTTCTGACAAGATGTATTCACACAGTGAATTCGATCGAACACGGCCCTCGTGTTATCAATCCTGCTGTGTTTTGTAATAAAATTCTCCATGTTACTGTCATGAGAAGGACACTTTTGCTTTATGCCACACTTCCACCGGAACCATTTTCAGTCGGTCTCTGCTCTGCTCACTTTGTTTTCAGATCGCACCACAGGGCAGCTGGAGTCAAGGATTTTCCACGTCAAACACAGAAACCAGCGGTTCTATACCTCTAGTTCTATAAACCTCTGCTGAAGGGGTGGACTGAACACAGAACTGGTGGAATTTGGGGGTCGGAGTAAATTGTCTCAAATATTTTTGGATGGGTTGCCATGAAATCACACGTGCCCTATTATACCTCAACTTTTGGATTTCTGATCAGGGTTTCAGCATGAAATACAACATGAAATTCCCTTCTGTCTCCCTTCCACACTCAGCCTTTGACAATAGTCAGCATTTTAGCATGCAAAACTGAATGGGAAGATAACCTGGTACACCTAGTGAACATCAGTACAACACCCATGACTTAAATATCAAATTATAGATACTTTTGTAACTAGCACATCATGATCTGTGTTCCTACAAAAGACGGAGGGCTTTCTTCTCAGCCCTCTTCAACAGCCTCTGATCTTCAGTCTTTTTTTATTTTATTTTTTTTAATGTGACGCTCAAGCCTGTGGCAACAAGGTCAGCGGTGTCTATTGACTTGTCAGCCACCTATTGACTGACATTCATCTCCTTCCTCTGAAAAGTTCCTCTCATGTTGACAATCAATTGAGCTGCCAAGATGGAGTGTCTGTGTCAAGCCTTGTTAAAGAGACAGGGGTGACTTTATCTCTGTTTCAACAATGCACACAAAAGATATGACACAAAGTCACTTAAGTGGGTTGAACGAGTGGAAAGGATGCTGCGAATAAATGCACATGAAAGAGCCGTGGGGCATAATAGAATTACCAGTGTGTTCGCTGACATCTGTTTGTTGAGAAGTTGGCGATGGACTGCGCGTTCATTTGCATATTTTCAAAATGCAGCATCCATATTAAGCAAGATGAAATTTTCAAGGCCAGATCGCATTTCCCCCACTCTCCATTCCACGCCTCTGTGCCCACAGTTCTACATGATTAGCCATGTGTGATGGCTCAGTCATAAGCCCATCTCATTGGCATGTCCACACCCACACATGCACACATGTACTTATCAATGCGTGCATATGCTGCATTGACGTCATCTGGTTTTGACATGGACAATTAGAGCACTCAAGATGGGGATTTCAAGCAGTCCAGATTATCTGTGTTACTTATGCTTAAAATGAAGAGGCTCTACATTTGCAAGTTTTGCGCCTATGTAAGAATCATCGTTGATGCTGCGATTCATCCAACAGCACGATGTGTCACAACTTTGAGTTAACACGGACGCTCACACTCTAATTAGCCCGAGTACAAAATTAATAAAATATGTCATCACGCAGATAAGAATCTTTTAGCTCCCAGCAAGCTTTGTGGCCTGATTAAATCTGAATTATATTTTGCTCTTGGTCCCCTTGTATAATCTACAAAGTAAATACTTCAAGTTTGCCACACAAGGCCCTCATAATTGGAGTCACTTATATAATTGCACCCCCTGGTGTTGATTGGCTAGAGCCCTCTTGTTATCTATGATGCTGAAAGGCTCTTAATGAGATCAGTGAAATCATAAGTCACACATGATGCATAATCAGTCATAATAATTAGCTGATTAAGAATCTCATGAGTAACCTATATAAGCAGAAAGGGGGGCTGCCAGATTTTGGAACACGGTGGTCTAATTTCAGAGGTTGAAGTACGTTTGCATCACTTTTAGTTCATCTAAGTTTTCAAGACTGGATGATATTTTTAACAACTCGATCATTAACCTTATTTCTAATTAGCAGATCTGCTTTTTGGGGTCCTTAAGAGTCAAAAACTCTTGATATTTGTAAATATTATCAGTTGAAAAATAAAGAAGGAGGAGTTGTTTGTGGAGTGATCCAGTTGTCCTACATGGCTCAGTGGAAAATCATAACAGAAGTACATTTAATGGGTCTCATTGGGTGCAGGTACTGTGCAATAGTGTCTTTGCTTAAAGCTCCCTCTGGTGGAACCAAACACATGCACCGAGTGCTGCACAATAAAATGAAGAAGTGAAGTGCAGCAGAGGTTAAGACTATTGCTGTCTACATGTTGGCTTTTCTACCTCAATAAAGCCTTTTGTTCATGCTCTCTTCAACGAGAAGCTAATCATCTCTTATCTTTGACGATCAGCTTTGAATAGAATGGTGTAGAAGGACATTATTTCACCAAACCACCAGGGACTTCAAATGGGTTTCACTCTTGTCGATCTTTATTCATAATACTGCGGGCCGCTGCTTTGTGTGTCTTTGCTATGATTATCCCGGGCTAATGAACAGTGCTCCGTGACCCACATCCACAGTATATTTCTCTCTCTGACAACCATACTAATTATACAGCTGCCATAAATTTAGATAGAGGTTAATAGCATGCTATTTCAGAAACTTCTTCATTGCTGTGGTTCAGGTTTAAAGATTAATTTTTTGATTGAAGAGCCTTGGACAACACTAGCAATTCCTGTGCATCTATTTACATCTTATAGCTGAGAAATACAGAGGACAGTTGTTATATGTATTGTTGTTTCAAATTGAGAAGTGGAAAAAACTAGTGTAGCATTAAAAAATACCTGCACAACAGCAGTGTGTTCACATAATACACAGCCAACAGAGTTTTAAAATATTCAATAATTAAGCTCCTTCATTTTCTACAACCAAACAGGGAAAGTGAGATGAAAGAATATCAATAAACTAAACTAGAATCTTAATTTTGAAAGCTATTAGTCCATCTAATTGAAAAATGAGGCAATTAATGATACAGTATCTTTTAATGGAGCATACAAGTGAAATTAAGTGTCGGCTAAATTAGACAAAAGAGATCCGTAATTTCATCCATGGGAGAAGAGAAGCACCCAGCTGAGGTTTTCACCTTCAGACTCTATTCATTCATGTAATAGGTTTTTCTGTGAACACAAAGACGCATTTGACTGAAACATTTCTTTCCAAACAAGCCCGTTTTTTTGTGGATTGTTACAGTGTGCATGGTTAAAGAGTACTTAACCACTTAACCACTTAAAAGTAGGATAAAGAATTGCATCTAGACTCACAGTTGCAGTAAATACAAAACATCAGACAGAGCCCTGTCCAGTGAAACTACAACTGAAGGGATCCAGAGGGAGAGTTCGATCTACTGCACAAATTATTGAAGTTGGTTTGTAATCATTGGACCAAAATATTGATGTCTACTGAAAATAACAGTGTGATCAATTTAATTTAACAACATGGCAACTTACGCTTTAAGTTTCCTTACCAGCAGACAGGCAACTATTGGGAACAATTTAGAATCTATTTAAATAAATAGCCTGAAAGTTTTCATTATGAATTTAGCTCAAACAGTCAGTTCCTACTAGTTCAAGTCATTGTTATAAGGCCCAAGATAGTGTATCAGTCTCGTTCTAGTTCTAAAAATGTTTAATAATAATCATAACCAGTGCTATTTATGTTGGTACTCATCTTTGTTGAAGTCCTGTATTTAATCTGATTTTATTTAATGTTTTTAATCGTTGTAGTCAATCTGTAATTTCTGTTTTTATTTATGGGAGCTTAATCAGGGACAGAGTCTGCAAAGATACCTGCATGCTTGGCGTCTTCTTTACATACACCATGAAGAAATGTCTTATGTAGACCCATTTCTCCCTGTCAATAAATATGAATAAATAAACTGAGTCCATTGTGCCAAATATAATTTACCCTTTCAGAGAAGTGTTCTGTTAGTTTTTGTGTGTCTGTAGGGATTTGATGTTTCTGTGTCATAAAATGTTTTTCTACTCTTATAACCAAAACCTCTGAGTGAACTAAGACTTTCTAAATGCGGTGTTAATGGCTAATCCAGCACAAAGTGAAAGTAGGTGACCCTCTTGAGGACATCCGCATCTGTCAGAGAGTCTGGGCAGGAAGCAGCTCAACACACATCCCGCAGAGCAGAGCATGGACGTTCTCTCTGCATGTCAATAACAGCAGCTTTCAGGAGGTCACAGGTGGCGTACTGGCACGGAGTGAAGAAGTCAGGGAACTGCCTGTTTTAAAGCTTGAAAATCAGGACCCACACACCTGACAGGACATGGCCTCTGGACATCACATCCCTCAGTTAAGGCTGGAGGAGCAAACCGAGGACGGGCTCTTCAGGAGCGTCACCTTCCGACCCTTCCATGGACACCACCTACGAGGGAAGTCAAGTTCTCCCTGCAGGGACAGAAAGCAACACAGGTAAGATTTCCTGTTCAGCAGTAAGGTGAAGGGGTTTAGGCTTCCAGTAAGGAGCTAAAGTTATGTACGCACAAGGAGATTACCGTGGGTGATGGTGAAAGGATTTCGGTTGTCAAGAAATACATCTCGCTACAACCTTCCCAAGCTTAATGTAATATGAAATAGACCACTGTAATCCACTTTACCAGCGCACATTCAGCTGTCCCTCTGTCTTCTTTTCATAGTGAAAGATAAAACCAAAGGTTTTGTGTGTGTTTTGCCCATGGCAACAGACTTAAATTTGTTAATATGTAGAGTGGATACAACGCTACAAATGTAGGCCTATTTCACGGTTTTGCCTGGCTAGAGCATTTGAAAAAAGAAACTGTGAGTAAATGATTTTAAAGCCCGTGTAAGGAAATTTTAACTTGATGTGAAATAGATTTAAGTAAATAGTGGTCATACCTCTATATGACATAAAAAGCAAACACAGTTGAAATGTATTAGATGTATCCTAATATTTAAAGCCTGTAACTTCTGCAAGAGGGGCGGGTCCAGACCAGATGATTGACAACATGCTGGAAATATTACATTTTAATGTTTTCAGAAAAGTTTTAGTATCATGAGGAAAAAAAGTCCTAATGTTGCAACAACTAAGTTTCAGTTTCAAAATAAGTTGTATGGTCAATATATTTTCCTTGGTGAAATTCTGGGGGTCTACTGTCCGGACTTATGTTTTGGTCAGCAGTGGTTCAGTAACGTATTTGTCAGCTCAGAGTCAAAGCAAGCCAAGACACTAACATCAGGAAAGGTTCTAGACAAACACAACCAAACTTTAATTACCTCTCACCTCCATTACTGTAATTGACTACTCATGTCTCAACCAATAATTGATTAATCGGGGTCAAACTGTTGTTTTAGGAGTTGATTTTAAGGTCCTCTTACCACATTTTAAGACCCAACATGGACTCACCCTTTCCTATATTTCTGATCCACTTCTAGTAATTTGCTTGCTGTTAAAACGTCCAGATTTATAACCAAAGGGGAAAGAGCTGTGTGTACCACTGGGGAGGTTGTTTTGTATCTCTTCTTTGACACAGCCCAGAACTGTGACACTCTTCACACTATTCCTACAAAGGTGATATGTGTGATGTTGAGTTTTCTTCACAGTGCCTCTGCACTTGGCAGATGGCTGACACAAACTCTCATGTACTGTAAGCCTTAGGTAAGGTTTATGGAGCTTGACTGTTGCAAGATGATACAAGACTACAGTGTGAGATATTGCTGTGACACTGCAGGCATCCCTGCCTGTTGCTATGGGAGCTGTCACCTGGGACACTTGTATCTAATTGGGGCTTTGTCTAATATGAAAACTGGCTGTTAGCAGCCACAGTGGTGTGGTGATTAAGCATCCTTCTCTTTCTCTGTCAAATACTTATCAACCCTTTCAGTGTCATGAATGTATCTTGTAATTCTCGGGATGCAAATGATGCACACCAAGTGTGTCAGAGCCCGATTACACAGCTCAGTGATAGTGTTAGAGCACTGAGGGGCATATGTTTAATGATGTGGCTTCTAAAGAAAGCTTCTGGGCTGAGAAAAAAAAATTGTTCCACACAGTGATCAGATTAAACCCAAAAATTGTGACATATTCCAATCTTTTTATGACAGACTCTCACTCCAGGCTGGAATTCATAGGGGTACTTTCTGTCCCGAGGAGCTGCTTCAGTGTGGCTCTAATCACTTAGGAATCATGTTTCAATGAGAGTCAATTGGATGTTCTTCTGTGCCTGTCTCCCTTTGAATGTTGCTAGAGGCATTACAATGTGGTCTTCTGGTCAAAACCCAGCACTGATCATCATCTCTACTGATCTGATAACTGTTTGACTGCTGAACACAAGATAAAGCACCCGTTCATGATGAAACTTTTGAGTAACATGATGCATTTTAATGCAGAGGAATACAGTCTCTGCAATGTGTGTTCTTTCTGACAGAAAAAGTGCAGGGTGACAGCTCAGCTGGATGGGGCATAGTTGTCATTTTTCAGGTTCCCTGGTTGGTCTGCAGTAGTTGTAATTTAAGGTTTTGTGTAAATGTTGTGCCAGTCCCCTCTGGCATACTCTGTGGCAGCGTTGTACTGAAATACTCAAGCAGTCCCTGACAGTTTTTTGGGGCTACTCTGCAGCTGTTTCTTGCTATTGCATAATCATAAATCCATGACATTACTCATCATTGAGTCTTTTCGTGTTTGTTTCTTTTTTAGTTCCCTCATTGCCTGCAAATATGTTGAGAGCAAATTGACCGAATGATTGGATTCACATGTCAGTGATATCAAATGTGACAAGTGAACTTATTTTAAGTTATGTAAATGTGTGTCATGACGTCATGGGTGTTATTTAAAAAAGTTTTTAATCCCTGATGATTTGACTGCTTTTGAGAAAATAGCCTACTTAGAGGAACTCTTCAGGACTGACCAACAAAACTTCTTCATGTCTGTAATTACTCCAATTGCTGTTTTCTAATCTCTATTTAGCACGAACCAATGGTGCAGATTGTACTGCTGGGTTATTTCCAGTTGTAAAAGAGAGGAATAAATTAACAGAAAGGCTGTAGAGTTTTTTTTTTTTTTTTTTTTTTTTAGAAATACATGATATCCAGTAATAATAATATGTCCATTACCAGTATTGAAATTGGTACTTATACTTTTTAACTGTACAGAACACCAAGTCTCTGCTGAACTAAACAGACCTATACTGTTACTATCTATTTGTTTTACAAACAAACAAATGTAGATAAACAACTTTTGGTTGGACCAAAATTTTATTCCTTTCAAAATTTTGTAGTCAACAATATGTCTGGCATCTTTTTTGCTATGCTATAAAATAGGGCTGAACTATTAATTGGAATTGGGATTACATGGCAATATAATACGTGATTTTCTTACCTGCTATTTTGACTGGTCGCATGATCTGGTCACGTGACTCGCGAGCGGGCTAAGCGAAGCAGAGCAGGTAGAGAGAGAAATCGACACTACACTTTGTCGCACTGTGGACTGATTTCGGTACAGAAGTTGACACTGCAGAAAGTTTGGTACCAAAGAAGGGCAGCATGGCAGTTGTGTGGATATATTTTGGCAAAAAAAGATGCAGCTGCGCAACCTGTGCAGAGCCTGACGTACTACTGTTGCTACATCAGGAAGTAACACTACGAACCTTTATTAACGCTTAAAAAACGTGACAAAGCCATAAACAATGGCTAAAACATCAGCGACCGGAGCGCAAACTTCGAACCACCTCTGCATAAAGACGGGAAACGCATCCAATACGGCGATGGCAGCACAGCTGAATGAATAGACCGGACGCCAGTGTTTTGGGCGTCAATTACATCTCATCACCGGTATGTAGATCGGTATAATGGCGCATAAGATGGCGCGTGCATGTTTATGTGTATAGTTTGTGAGCAAAGACATCATCGGTGTGCGTGTGTGAGAAATGATATTTGTCAGAACGATTAATGTATATTAAATCTGCTATTGTTTACTATAATACAGATTTATTTATTGTTTGTGTTTGTTGACAAATACATTTGAAGAGGACCTTGAAAAAATAATAGCATATTAAATCGGAAACACAAAATAGTTCATTCCTAATTTAAAATGCTTCCAGTCAGGTATGAAATGTATTCCAGACAAACACATGCAAGCTGTCATGGCATACAGCCGATAATTTTCATATATAATTATACTGATACTGAACTTTTTAAGCAAGTATACTCTAATACCAATATATGCCTAGAATATATTGCATTGATGGATTACTGCAGAGCAAAATGGATACTCCTAAATACTATAAAAGTATGTGGTGCTCGTATGACTCTGTCAGCAAGTATGGTGTAGGTCTGGTCCAGGTTAATTTTGTTGTCATGACATGTTTGCACATGAACATTATTATGCTACATTTCTGAAGCAGAATCACAAATCTCTATTTTGGTAAAGCAGTGGTTAGAAAACTTATATATATATTTTTTAGTGTTTATTTGTCAGTGGCCCTCTATTATCTGCCAGCCTTTTTCTCTCTGCCATATTACAGTTGCAGTTTCACCATTTAATGTTTTACTTCCTCATTTGTTTTTCTGTTAAGCTGTTGTTTAGTCTTTAAAATGTATGCACCTCACATCTTCTTCGTGTCTGCATCAGTGAATCTGTGATTGACTTCACAGTCAATTTGAGAAAGCTGTTAGTGTGCAATTGCCAGAGTTACTCACACAAAACTGAACCTCTTCATCCTGGCTTGGCAAACGAGTAACAGATTGAGCCTGGATTAGGGTTGCAAAATTCTGGGGATTTTCAAAGTTTGAAACTTTCCATGGGAATTAACAGGAATATATGGGAATTAACGGGAATAAATCAGAAATTTACTAAATTGAAGGTTGGCCCTCAACAGGAAACTTAAATATGGCTGGGGAAAAATATGTTGTAGCATAATCTTGGCTAAAACAACCAGATGATGCAAAACGATGCCCTGCAGAAGAAATACCAAAGTGGCTGACCTGCAGAAAGGAGTAAAGATGGAATGATGTGAGGGCTGTGAATTGGTAATTGTGCAGCTTAAAGAGGAACTAAAACATTTGAACCCGTCCTATGCCGTGCCACAGAACATGTTTTATTACTCTTGAAAAAACAAAGGAGGAGCTTATGGGTGTCATTTCTGCCCAAAACAAAAAGTTACTTGCGCTACACTCAGGTGGTCCAATGCCCCAAGAGGAGGCCTTCAGCACCAGCCCCAACATGGACACTTTTGAGAATGAGCTCAAGGCACAGATGGCTGCTAAACAGGCTATGGAAAAAGAGATGGAAGAGTTAAAAAAGGAGTTGGAGCTCTGTAAATCACCGGAAAAGAAGCCAGATAATACAGCCGAGATGCAGGCGCTCAAAGATCATGTTGCATCTCTTGACAGCCAGCTGCAGGCTGAGAGACTAAGGGCTGATGCCCTCAAAAAAGAACAGGAGGAATTAAGCTGCAAGCTTCAGGAGATTACCTGCCAGAACCTGAGGCAAGTTCACATGTTGGAGGCAGAAAAACTGGCCCCGGAGCAGAAGGTAAAAGACCTACAGAAGGATGTCTCAAGAAGTGCAGAGGAAGAATCAAGCTGAAGGCTTCAAGAGACTGACAGCAAGGACTTGAAACAGGTTGATTTGCTGGGGGCAGAGAAAGTTGCTCTGGAGCAGCAGGTAAAAGACCTGCAGGAAGAAGTCTCAAGAGGAGCAGAGGAGATTTCAATTGATACCATTAAAATAAAGGAGCTCCAAGACTATCTTCAGTCCTTCAATGCTCAAATGGGTACTGAAAGATACTGGAACGTGGCCCTCCAGAATGATCGGCAGGACTTATGCTTAAGACTTAAGTGTGCAGACCAGCTGCACACCAAGCAGGTTGAGCAGCCTGAGGCAGAGAAGCTTGCCCTGGAGCAGAAAGTGAAGGACCTGCATCTTTGAAGACTCAGCTGCAGGCTAAAACAAACAGGGCCGAAACCCTCCAGAAAGAAGGGGAGAATTTAAAATGCAAGCTTGAAGAGACTGCCAGCCAGAATCTAAAACAGGTTCACATGTTGGAGGCAGAAAAACTTGCCTTTGAACAGAAAATAAAGGACCTGCAGGAAGATGTTTCAAGAAGGGCTGAGGAATTAACAAACAACACCAAGAAGACTCAAAAGCTCCAAGATCTTGTTAAATCCTCCAAAACTCAGCTGCAGGCTGAGAAAAACAGGGTTGAAAATCTCAAGAAAGAGGGGAAAGATTTAAGGTCTGAGCTTCAAATTGCAAATGACACCTTGACACAGTTTTACAAGTTGGAGGCAGAAACACTTGCCCAGAAGCAGGAGACAGAGGCTGAAAGGGAAGAGAGAAAGAGAAAGGAGGACTCAGTTAAAGCCAAGAAGGTAGAAGCGCTCCAACAACTTGTGGAATTGTTCAAAACTAAGCTGCAGGCTGAAAAAAACAGGACTAAAACCCTTCAGAGTGAACAAGAGGAAATCAGGTCTTCCCTTCAGGAGATTGCCAACCAGAACCTGAAGCAGGCTAACCAGTCAGAGGCTGAGAAACTTGTCCTGGAGCAGACTGTGAGGGAGCTGCAGGAGGAGATCATAAGCAGAGCAAAGACTGAAACAATTTATCTCACCAAGATTCAAGAAGACCTTGATATGGTAGCTTCCCAAAACATTCTTCTGCAGGAAAAGGGGCAGATGGCTGATGACCTCATGACACAACTGGAGGAAGTCAGGCATCAGCTTCTGGACAAAAACAGCGAAGAGCTTAATCTGATTGAAGAAGTGACAACAGAAAACAAGTCTCTGAAGCAGAAGGTGAGTGACTTGCAGAGAGAGGCCCAAAGCAGAGAGAAGTTTTATGAAGATCAGCTGGAGACCTTAAACAGTCAGCTAAAAGAAGCAAACAGCACCTGGTTCCAACTGGCATCCGATCTAGAAGACACGAAAGAGATCTGTCAGGCCCTGCGCAAGGACCTGATTGAGCTCCAGAAAATACCTGAGGTCACAGAGGAAACCCCTGAGATGAAGGAGGTCTCCAAAACAACACCTGAGACCATCAAGGCAACACCTTCGATAAAGATCTCCTGGTGGAGGAGAGTTAAAAAGCGAATGACTCCCAAACATCTGTGCCAATACAAGCAGTGGATGTAGGACCAAGCAGCGGATGTGTTGTTTTCTCCGGTATAGCTCTGGTTTTCCCACACAAAGTTGATTTAAAAATATATATATTAAAAAAAAAAAAGTCCCCTTCTCGGGCTACCACCTTAACGTGGTGGAGGTGTTTCAGTGATCCCAGGGGCTAAGTTGTCAGGAGCTTAATGCCTCTGTTAGAGTCACCCATGACCAACAGGTCCTAGTAGAGAGATCAGACTAAGGGTAGCCCAAATTGAAACCTAATAAGAATACAATATTTGATAATGGGATTTCCCTGCCAGTACACAGGTCACCAGGGCCTCCCCCTAGAGCTAGGCTCAATGGATGGCGCCTGGTGGCCAGGCCTCCACAACTAGGGCTGAAGGACAGGGCCCATGCCTGCCACCAGAGCCATTCTCACAGATCGTCGGGCCCAGCTTCGGAGAGCCGGGGCCTCAAGAGAGGACTACTTGCAGCTCAGACGTCTTATCAGCCTTAAAATTAGCAAGATTTAAATCTTTCACTAGAAAAGTATCAGCCCAGTGTGGCTCTTTCAGACCATGCTCAGACCCTTCCTCTAATATGCATGCCTCCATAATCCTAATGTGCCTTACAGTGATTAGGTACAGTGCAGTAATAACATGCACATTTCTGATTAGGCTACATGTGATATGGGGCCTGAGTGGTTTAAATTATTGAATATTGTCAGTTAAAACTTGGCGGCTGATTCTGAGGCACTTTCTTCTCTGTCACAGTGCCCCACATGGATGCTGTGACAGTGGATCCAATGTGCGGATGAGGATACTAATGAGGACTCAGTCAAAGCTCTGACTGGTAAATGAGGCAGATCCAAGCCTTGGACGAGGAATTGATCTTTTCTTTTATCCCTTGGAAATTTTATGCAGCCGCTCCCCCTGATAATCCACAAACACAGCAAGATCAAAGGCATGACGTAGGGCATTTTAAAATCTGGGTTTATGAAACAGGCTTCCCTCATTCTGGTCTACTTTAGCAAGCAAAACTATCAGATGGTTGTTGTTGAAGAGAGAGAGATGAAGAGCGAGAGGGACAGAAAGAAAGGGAGATGGAAGCTTTTGGATTTTGTCTCAAAACTTTCCCAAATGAAAAATTGAGCTATTTTTTCACAGCATGTGGGCTATCACATGCTCATATCCTCTGCCACTTTTCGTACTAGATCTTATTTGCATGTAAGTGAGCTCTTCAGAGCCTCAAGACTTCTTCTGCAATGCTGTGTGAAACCTGCTGAGAAGCTCGGTAAAAGCACTTTGAGATTCTGAAATAAACTTTCAGAGGGAAAAATCACAGATTCAAGTAAAATTCCTTTTGAACTGCCAAAAATTATTCCTCATTTTAAGGATCACTCAGTCACTTTATGTTTGGATCTTCATGAGAGACGGGTTAATGAATTAAAGATGAGTATTTATTTTACAGAGATGATTTTGATATTGAATTATTGTCAGTGTCTTTGGTGCTTGCATGTCTACAGGGAAATAAGGAGATAGGAGCATCTGCCCTGGGATCTAGCTGAAGCTACCGCCCTCCTGAGTCTAGACAAACTCAAGGGGGCTGAGACTGGACATGGAGAGGTGGTGGTGGTGGTGGTGGGGGGGCGTCTGTCAGGCCCCCTCGACTTCATTCATGCCATGGATGAAGTGGAGGAAGAGAAAACCATGCTTAAAAAAGACAGCAGCAATGTGACAATATCCCTGCAACACACCCTCATTCTCATGTTCATTTTATGGTTAATTTATTTTATCTTTCTGATGTTACAATTTATTTTGACATTTTCTGTCTCATGTTAAGGTTGCATGGTTCCTGCATGGTCTTGCTATGTTTTTATTTTGAAATACGAGACACTGGTAGATTATAAGTCACAAAACTGAATGAAACTACTAGAAAATGGTTAGAAAGTGTTGAAGTTAAACTAATTAGTAACCAAGAGACTGTAGGTGTAGTGTTGTGATCTGATCCACAATTAAGTTTGGATTCTCAATTTTATAATCTTATAGAAAGCTCCTGGAAGCTCTTTTCTGTTTTATAACATGTTGCAACCAGCACAATATCAATATTCATTTAGAAAAAGTTGAAATGATTCATCAATTGCTAATAAGGTGGTAAATAGTCTTAAACGATATGCCTTTTTGTGATTAGCAAGAAAAATTAATTAACTCTATGTGTGTCAGGTCTGGAAAATATTGTCATTAAACACTAGTGTGAGTGTTTGATGAAAATAGTGATGAATGCTGTAAGGATGCCTGTGCCAGTAGAGCATGTGTGTTGTAAAATGATAATTAGACAAGCAAGGCTCACAATGTTAATCTACAAGTAAACACAGCGCTGTAGCTTGACCAACAGGGGGCAGTTCTATTATGAATCTGAGCTTCTTTTTAATCACTGTAGCACTGCCAAAACCCTGTATTTTTCCCTATAGTTACACAGACAACACTAAAGCCTAATTATCTCCCGCCACAGCCTCCTAAAATGGTCTCACTGATCATGCTGAACCTTATATTTTCTTGTTATAAGTTCTCACTACTCTGTAAAAACTAGCCTAAATGCACTTCACACCATGAAGGAGGACTTTGCTGTTAAATAAATGTAGTCACAGTACATTTATGTATTTTACAATTTCTTGTCAGTTGAGGGGAAAGTGGGCCAGAGGTGGCTTTTATGATTTTCACAGTGCTCTATATAGAAAGAGGAATTTAGGTTCTTGTTTGAGTAAAGATTTTGCTGTGATGGAGTCTAGGAGGAGCAAATAGCCAAAGTGCTTTCCAAAGCAGCATGGTAAAGCCAGCTTGTGTTGAATTTTAACAATGTCCCCAGACTCTTTCCTGCATGCCTGATATCATCGAGGCACAGCAGTATTTTATGTGCGGTTAGTATACAGAGGATTTGCAACAATGAACCCAAACCCATCTGTGAATTAAATTCATAGTAATCCTTTCACCTTGGTCAAATAAAAATAATAATAAAATGTAGCTCATCTGTTTTGTCCTTAAATTATGAATCTCTCCTGCTTTTAACAGCTTAACAACCAGGCAGATAGGCTGCAGAGTCAGTTAAGCTCTTCTTCTAGGTAATTAGATTCAGATAATCCAAACAACAAAAGCCGTAATCCTCCTCAAATTTACGGCATTCTGTTGATTTTGAACTGGCAGACCTGTTTACAAACTGCAGCCAAAGAGATTATGAGACTTAGTTGTTAATTCAATCATAAGGCACAAGTTTACCCACAGAGATGTGACGCCTTATGTGCCGTATGTCAGGATGAATGCAGGACATGTGGCAGACGACTAATGTCTGCATGTGTGTGTGTCATTCATTCTGGAGGAATCTTGTTTGAAAACTTGAGTATAAAAACTGGATGACAGCAATGGCCCATTTTTCATCCCAAAAGAATGGCTCTGTTTTGGTTGCAGCACAATTTTCCATGACACTGTTAAAACTGACTTGCGCTCCAGTTTACATCATGCTCAAGTTTACTACTGTATCAGCCAAATCCCATGCCTGTCAATAATGTGTATTGTAATACAGTGTGTATGAACTTTGCAGCGTCTCACTTCCTGGCTTCCACAAGACAAGCTGCAAGTGGCTTGGCTTTGTTTCTCCAAGGGCATCACCATGGAGCCAGGCTCACCCAAGGGCCCCAGCTAATGAGCCAACGCAGAGAAATTGATTTAGTCTCCACCTTCCTATCTCCATCCCGTGCAAGCCAAAGATAAAACAGGGTGAGTCTCTAGAGTCATGGCTCAGTAAAGCCCTCCAAAGTCATTTCCTGTCCTCTGACTGAACAGGCAGATTAATTATAGACCAATAAAAAACCAGGATCAGGTCTAATTAGTGAGCATATTGAGTAGATGCAATCCTGCACTCTTAGCAAGCACCTTAATGACTGTAAAGTTGCAACTGTGGTCTGGAGTAATGTCATGCATTTTTCCTCAGGCAACTGCAATTTATTACCCACGCATGACATGCCTGCAAAACATCAAACATGTAATTTGCACAGGACTTAATACATGATCTAATGTACAGAATGCGCTAAAGTCATGTTGGTAATCTTGATTGAAAGTTAATGAATTATTTTCTCCCTGATGAAGGATATCAGTTAGAGTATTGACAAAACCTGAATAGCCTGAAAAAAGCCTTGAAGATCATTTCCCTCCAGACTGCCAGTGGCTCTCCAGTGTGCATTTTATTTCACTACAGTTATCTTCTATCACAAGCTTGAAAACTTGAGGTTGATTTATTATGATATAATTTTTTAACTCAAGCAACAGTTAAAAACCAATGACATTTATTGAAAAAGCATTGATTTTTAATTGAAATAATCACTCCTGTGCAGCATCGTGCAGCAACTTAAAGATGAGTCTTGAATGTGCAGGGCTTGTTTTATAGCATGTTTTTTTTTTTTTTTTTCATAATGAAGTGAGTTAAGATCTATCTGATTATAATCTGAAATATAATTTCACAAATCACCAGGAAAAACAATAGCTTCTTAATTTCATCAGACATCTTTCACACGGTTTTCTCAAGCCGTAGTTACAGTATATCTGTAGTAGTCATACTTGTCCTTATTACTTCATCTTTGTGGTGTAGAGGACTCTCCACATGGTGGCGTAATAGCATCACTCTTACTTTCTCAGAATTACTTTTTATTGTTGGGCTGACATGCAGTCTGTTAAAGTTTCAAGTCATTTGGTAAGAGGGCAAAGACACGTTTCTCTTCCAATTTTAAGAGATTGTTGATGAGTTCAAAGATCTGTCAGGGCTGCCTGAATACACCTACTACTATTGTAGTGTTGGAGGTGCAGGTGGGATTTCACTGCCAGACACATTTTTTGATATCTTTGATCAAACACTGAAGCTCAACCCAAGGTAATCTTGTCTAAAGACCCACAACAAAATTGCATGTATCAGCGTTCAGGGTTAAGTTGCCTTTTAAACTAGTTAAACAAGGGACGGATATGTGAGTGGAACTCTCAGTCTCAGTCTGT